TGGCGGTGCAGGTGGTGGAGAAGATCGCCCTCATGCCTCAGGCAGGCGATGTCAAAGCAAGCATATCTGTTTGTTAAAAATGCGTGCGCTTGACAGGTGCTGCGGTCCGATTTCAACTGGGCAGCAGCTCTTCCACCAGAGCTGCCGGTGGACGCAGCGAAGGCTGGCAAACATTGTGTCACTTGCACCATTCTTGACACTTTTGGGCGCTCAAAAGAGGTGATGTGCGGCCGGTCCGGAGATCACATCTTGGTGATCTACTTGTCCGAGCCGGTGGCTCGGGTCTCCGATGAGACATTGGAGGCCCTTTGCCAGGCCAGGGATGCAGTGAGCATGTGTTGAATTCCCTCTGGTTCAAGCGTTGCAAAGGCGGTTAAAGCTGTGCCCTTCATCCCGCATAACTCGGACGAGATGGCGCCTGAAGGGCGGGTGTGGGTGGGCGGCCTAATGGGCGATGCCCTCATGACGCAGGAGCTGGCATAACCGTGTGGAAAAAGCATTGCGGTCGATTGGACACGTTGGAACATATCATGCTTGGAACTGGGGCCGACATTACTTGGTTTGAGGTCGTGGACTCTACAAAACTTAGCCAATGCATTCAAGACTCTCTGGAGCACCTTTAAGCTTCAACGGTGTGGTGCTTTACCTTCTTCTTCGCCTCGTGCAGCAATGGCGATTTCCACCGCAATAGTCCAGATCATGGAAAACTGGGCTCAATGGTAACGGTGGCCTGAGTTGCCCGACAGGCTGGATGTGGAGCGCATTTGCGAGCTCCTGCGCTTGGGGCCACTGTTCGAGCAGCTGTTGGACGAAGTCCCCCGCAAACAACGGAAGGAGCTGTCATACCTGGGCGGCATTCGCATTAGTTGCTTGGATGTCGGCTACCCATGCCCTTACAGCAGCGCCGACGACACTCGTGACCCGGGCGATGCGCTGTGGGCCGAGGTATTTGATGAGCTGGTCGGTGACACTGCACGCCTTTTAGCACTGAGCGACGACACCAAAGGAGACTTCCTGGAGCTGACTTTGGGGGCTGCTGCTGTACTTTTGGATGGCAAGATGCACCAGCTTTCGCAGCCCCTCCAGCGCTGTCTTCACGGCGCGCGGCTTGTCATCGAGGACCTGGCTCGAACGTGTGAGGAAATTTGGCTACTGAAGCAACAATGCGCTCCGTTGCCACGCCGCACTCGCAACGGCTGTGAGGTGGTGCATAAGCACTGTTTGCGGTGTCACGGTCAACTCTTTGGTCGGTGGCGCTATGACACGTGGACCGGCTTTGTGACGGCTTTTTGAGCCACCACCAATGTTCGTAGTTGCCTTCGACCCTGGCGCCACTGCACAGATGCGCAAGGAAAAAGTGGCCTGCTTTGTTCATAAAACATGAATGCCTCTTTGCTGACAATCGCTAGCGAGTGTCGGCCCACCGTTTAACCATTTCCTGCACGCAGCTGTTTACACGCCAAGCCCGGTCGAAAAGCTAACTTCTCATCCCAGGCCACGCAGCATCACTATATCAGCAATGACAAAGTATATGATCAACCCCAATGTCACCCAGGAACCATTGCTGGAAACGTTCTTCCAATTTTTGTGGATGATGGGAATTGAATGTTTGGTCGCCCCGTAATTCCATGTGAGTCCCGTCCCCGCCAGGAACCTGAGGGGACCATGCCAGAGGCTTCACTTGCAGAATCTGAGGGGACCATGCCAGAGGCTCCACTTGCATTCCTCACTATTCCTCATGTACAAGCTTCAGCCGCGCGTTTTCCTGGACCATGACAGGTGCCGCCAAGGACACGCTGGTCCAGGCATGCTTCCCACATGCTGCGGGCTCAGCGATTCAAGCAGTTGCTGAAAGCGCACCCAAGACAACAATCATTCACCCTCAGGTCTTCAGCGGATCAGGCAGACGCATCAATGCAATTGATGTTTTCTATTATTAAGCCGATTTATACATGTAACTTCAATGATGACAGGTCTCAGATGGAATGAAGTTGGAGCCAGCAGACAAGTCTTTGGTGGTTGAGAAGTCGAAGCCTAAGCCATCCATTTCAACTCATTTTCTGACACCGACATGACATGACATGTCATTGCCCAGGTCTGGTGTGATTGTGCCGAAAGCTCGCAGACCGCTTTGTGTCACTCCGACATGCATGCACCGGACTCAGTTTGAATCCAATTGTGAAACCATGTAAATGCGTTCTCCGCATCCGAGGTTTTTGGCACACGAAGACCACGATAAGTTCAAGGTCTTCTGTTGCTCTCGCTGCTTCGAAATCAACGCGTTGTCCTCAAGCATTCAATGTCGCAAGCATTCAATGTCGCGTGCCTGTATTTGTTGAGGCCCGCGGCAATGGGAAGGTGGCCCATGGCAAACAATGCGGCCAAGAAACCTCGCCACCAGGGCAACAAACTCGGTCGTGGTACGTTGGAGAGCCGGTTCGCTGCTTCTATTGGGATCGCTTTCGTATGAGTTGGGCTCCACCGCCCAGTGGTGTCATCCCAATCCATGCCCATTCGGAGACATTGTGATGATGAAACTGATTATCTTATGGATTTGCCATGTCGATATCATGTCCGTGATGAGAAGCAATGCTGAGATTTTGCAAAAAAAAAAGAGCCCGTGTGCATGCATGCGTTTCTTCCAATGACTAGTGCTCTGAGATTTTACTGCACCAGGCTGTTGAAAGTATGCGTGGCATGACCAGCAGCTGTTTGGATCAAGTTGGCTTCCAGGATTGCATCATCACTCTCGGCTTTCGCATTAGCGATGGAGACGCCTCGCCGCTCGGATAGTTCAGGTCCACCAACGCCTCGGGCGCCTGAGAAGGTCATTTTGGGCAGCATCGGGATCAATCATCAAGGCAAAAATGCACGAACCATGGTGGTAAGAGGCGCCACCGCACTTCAAGTGGTCAGGCAGCTGTGTCTGCAGATCGCTAGCCATGTGTGCACTGCAGGGTCTCCATTGCGATTCCCGACTAAGGACAGATGCTGAATCCATTTTTTTGAGCTCTCCAGCCCTGAAAAATTGGAAACCTTTGGGGTTTTAATATAAATCGTTTTTTCTTCTGGGTTCTCCAGCCCACAAAAATTAGAAAACTCTGACGCTTTAGTATGAATCCCTTTTTTCTCAAAGCCCTCCAGCCCAAATCAATACATGAGAAACACCTTTTTAGTTTGAGTATGAGTCCATCCTTAATTCATAGGGCTCTCCAGCCCACAAGAACAAATATAAAAAACCTGGGGGCTTTGCAGCCCATCTTTGTGAGGGCCCTCCAGCCCACAGTGTGAGGGCTCTCCAGCCCACAGTGAACCACAATTTCTCAAGGCTCCCCCCAATGGGTCTGCAGCACTTTTTCCGTCCTGTGCTGTGGGCTGCCCGGCTGCTGCTGCTGCTGCCACTACTAGTCATCTTCCTCCCAGGACAGCTTCTGCTGCTGCTCCTGCTGTTCCTGCTCCCGCTGCTGGTGCTGGTTCACTTCCTCCGTGTGCTTCTGGTAGTTGGAGACATGCAACTAGCTGACTAGCTACTAAACTAGCAATATTGCAAGTGCAGCTTGCAGACGTGCACCTTGCAGACTAGTAAGCCGGTTCCAGTTCTACTAGGTGCTTCTTGTACTTCTGGTGGCTCTATGATTACAACTCCTTCTGTTGCTGCTCGGCCTGGCACGTGTAGAACTAGACTAGCAGAAACCCGCTCTCTTCCTTCACAGCCACAGCGGGAAAGCCGGCCCACATAGCGTGTCCCGATCCATACCCCGATCCATACCCGTTCCATACCCGTTTCATACCCGAACCCAGTCACGCCACAACAAATGCCAATATGAAAGTCCGATTCTATTACTACTCCTATTGCTGCTGCTGCTGCTGCTACTTCTACAACAACAACAACAACAACAACTACTACTACTACTACTCCTCTGCTACTACTACTACTACTGCTGCTGCTGCTGCTACTGCTGCTGCTGCTTCTGCTACTGCTGCTGCTGCAATTACTACTCCTACTCCTACTACACCTGGTGCTACTGCAGCTGCTGCTGCTGCTACCATTAGACTGCTACTATTATGAATATTACTGCGTCTTCTCCTTCTATTGCCACTACTGCTGCTGGTGCTGGTTTTTTAACTGCTCCCTCTACTAGCAGTGGTAACAGTTTTAGCAGCAACAGTAGCAGGAGGAGAGGTAATAGCAAGTAGGAGTATCAGCACAGTTTGTATGCTATGCTGAGCCCTTGCGAAAGGGTACGGATCAGGCACCTTCCGAAAGCACTCCCAATCCATAGTACGGATCACCGCGGAGCGATCCATACCCGATTTTTGACTCGCACCCATACATGTTTTCATGTTATATACAATATCATGTATATTTTATATGCAAGTATATGATTGTGTTTACCTTGAGGAAACCATCAATGTCATGGCCCAACTAAACGATCTTTAAGACAGATACAGGGGTATTGCTTATAAGTTGGTGTCAAGACAATATGCAGGCTGAATTTAGCCAACAAACACATATATGTAATGATATGTAGTGTAACTTAACATGTACAATTCATTTGGGTATGTATGGGCATTTCTGGTCAAGTCATTGGGTGCGAAAAATACCATGGTGGTTTGCGATCCACAAACGTTGTCAGTCCTTGCGGGTCCAAATGAAGTTTTTGCAAAAGGAGGTCCGAAACAAATCAAACAAAATTGGTCATTTCCAATGGAAAAAAACAGTGATTTTTGGGCGCCACACAGTGGGGTTTCAATCTTAACCCAGGCACATACACATGTGATGAAAGGGAACCGGTGTTGTTGTTGAATTTCCGAGGCCCTTCCTGGTAAAATGATTTCCAAATAATGCTACAGTGAATCAAGCACATGGTCAGTTCCTATTAGGTCTCAAACATTCTTAAACCCGTGAATCAACTATGAAAACATATGAAATCCATATGATATCCATGAATCCATATGAAAACCTTTTCTGTTTGGGCCACCGCCAACCGCCATCCAAGATGACGACCTACCACAACCAGAACGCCCGGAACCCCAAGAAGAATGAGGTAAACCCAAGAACAGAATAAATAGATATAACATGATATAAATCGATTTGTTTTCGGGGGATAACAAGTAAACAAGTGGGGATATTTGTGGGATAGTTGTTAAGATAGTACATGTGTTGTTGTTTTGTTCGATTTTTGTATATTTTGAACATTCATGGTGGGACAGAGTTTGGGGAATTTGAAACTGTGAAACATTGCAAACTTGAGACATGTTGAAACATGTTGAAACGATAAATCTAATGACAATGAATCTGCAATTTGCGGTACAAGCGGCTGATGCTTCGGTATATAAGTTTCCAGATTTCCACTTGGAAAACTAGCAAGCGGAAATCCCCACATTTTTCCATCGGGGACCCTATCTAAACGTAGTGGATGTTCATGGATGTTTACCTTCTTTCCGTATTGTTGGATGTGGTTCCTTTCAAGAACTGGCTTGGTTTTGTTTGTCATCACTTGAGTTTGGATGATTCAACAATATTCATAGGCAATTTTTCGGGTTGTCAAACCACCAACCAGATTCCACCGACATTGGCGAGAATTCGCAAATCCGAAGAGGGCCGTTGAGTGTTTTTCTCATTGGTATGTGGTGATCAAATTCAAAGGCATCGGATGTGAGTTTGTCCAAAAGCGGAGATGTTTCAAAGTATAATGACCATGATTCAGCATGATGTTTTCAACGATGGGATTTTGGAATATCCTTTTCTCAAAAGATGCTACAACGGCCTTCGCGCCTTCCCCTTAACCGCTCGGAAACCAGGAGCAACACGCCAAGGATGTGCAGTGGACAGCTGGATCCTCAAATATTTGGTGGTGATGTCTTGGTTTGCCACACATTTCAATGTTTTTCAGGCCGGTGACATAATATCTACAGTACATTTTGGGGATCAAGGCTGCCAAATATGTTTTTTTTTAAATCTACGGACAGGTTTTGTGATAAGAAATGCGTGGTGTTGGGTTACGGTTAGAGACTAGCAGAACATAGCAGAACATTTTTTTTTAAAATGACTATTCCCCCATTGGCAAAAAATATGGCTGCCAATTACACTTGACTTTTAGGTTTCTTAATCTACGGAGCCATTTGTGAATGCAGACAACACAATTTTAGCAATGGACAAGAACGGAAAAGAAGGACATCGCTTGCCAGATAAGATCCGAGAAGCAAGATGTAGGGATCATGTAGACGGGCCGCTTTTAAGCGGTTCAGACCTGTTTCAGATGTGTTTCAGGCCCCCCTTGAGTAGCTCTGTCAATCTCGGAAGGACACCTGACAATGTCTGACAAAAAGAAATACTACAAGGTGGATGACAGAATAAGGAATGGACACGAGGCATGGGGAAGGGAAAGAAAAGGAAAGGCAGGATAGTACCTTCCATTTTTGAGGTCGAGGCTTCCTTTCAAAGGAATGAAATAAGGACGCAGAAATATGTATATATATATGAATAGAAAAGGACATGGACTCCAATTACGAGTCTACATGCGCCCAAGTACTTTGCTATTCGTGGGTTACGTATTTAAGAAGGAAAAGGACATACCTAATGTCAGAATATATATATATATGTCAGACAGAATTCCAGATAAAAGTGTCAGATAGAATGCCGGAATTCTGCCAGAAAACATGTCAGATTATGTGTCAGATCGACTGTCAGACAAAGTGGCGGAATATATGTCACATAGCACCCCAAAATATATGTCAGAAACACTGTCAGATAGAATGTCGAAACATATGACATATGTCAATATACACACACTTGCCAGACAGAATGCCAGATGAAATTATATGTGTTAGAATGAATGGCAGAAAATATGTCAGGGGAAATGTCAGTTGGTCGGGTTTATTCGAAGTAAAGCAATCGTGGTTTTTCTTGCCTTGTTCCGACCAAGGTATTTACATAGGTATGGGTCTTCAGTTGGCACACACACACAGATATGATATGTGAACTAACATGTACAAGTTTATCTTGTTACGTAATGAACTGTGCGGGTCCAGTCATTAAGTAAGGACAAAAAGGCAATTGTTTCCTAGTCACGAGCATTGTCCTTTGTGCGTCTAAAAGGGGTTGTCTTACAAAGGAGGCCCCAAAGTCATCCCAAATTGATCTAAATTTGTTATTTGGGGAAGCCCTGTTTTTTGAGCGCCGCACTGTAGGGCTGCAATTTGACCCTGACCCATTGGCTGTTTAGGAAAGGGAACCGGGGAGTTTCTGCTCTACCCAGAAATAGTGACTGCCAAATATAGCTACTGTATACAATGAGCTCTCATGAGGTCTCAAACCCATGAATCGGCCATGAACCATGACTGCCTGGTCCGATAGTTCGATGGAACCATATGCAACCCTTGTTGTTTGGGCTACCAGTACCACAGCGGACGCCCATCACAGGCATCACAGCCGTACTACCAACCGCAGAAGGCGCGAAAGAGAATGGTTCATGAGGGACCCCAAGGGTGATGAGGTAAACACGATTATATATACGTACGTATATATCCCTATGTGGGATAACAGTCGCCACATCCCCACCTTTGCTTCTTGACACCTTGTTGCAATATCCCACCGAGCAGGCCATGGACCACATGCAGTCCGCGCAAGCTGATCACCAGGCTGGGGGGGCGGGCGGGAACTCAGGCATGGGGAAGCGCCTGGAGAGTTTGAGCTTGTGACATATCGCATGTTGACATCGTACATTTTAAGCTGCGAATCTAAAAAAAGGCTTGTGCCGGTCCGTGATAAATGTGTATGTGTTTTTCGCCTAAAACTATTCCATGTCAACACCCAAAGGGGCAGTTTCTATAGGGGGGATACTTAACATGGAAACATGGACCCTCCCGCAAAGTATATGCCATATTAAATTGTCAAATATACTGAGGACGACTAACATGGACCACCAGTCATTTTGAAGGAAGCTAACAGGAAAAAATATGGGGGGACAAACATAAATTCTTGGGGTCATTCTTGAGGTGAAAATTGGTCCCAAAATCGCTAACATGGACCATTGTGTAAGCAATTTGTGTTTTTTTGTGCCACTTTCATGTCAAGGATGAATAAATGTATTGCATGGAAACTAAATTGACATATACACATAATATATATAATATAATATTATATTGAAATATACACTATTTGTCTTCCATGTTAAGTGTTGTAAAAGGGAGGGGTTCTGCATTATTAACTGGGCGTACGATGTATGTCAATGCCATGGGCAATTCTAGAATTGCTGGATACATATTTCTTCCTGTTATGCATGTTAGGCTTGTGTTTATAGGAGTCATTTTTTTGCAATACTACTCTGGAGAAGTGTTCATGCGTTTGTAATTTGTGGTATCAGCGACCGATGCTTGGTTATTTATATAGGTATCCCGCTTTCCCTTGGCAAACTAAGCTGCGTGCGGAAACCCGCATAAACATCTTAACGTGGATGCTAACGTATTCTCACCTTCCTTGCCAATTTGCAAAGGGGTGCTTGGGGATATGAGCCACCTATTTCTCTGCAGTTGTCATCACCTGAAATTAGTGAATTTGGATGATAAATTCTTGAGTGTTCGTTTCGATTGGATATCATTGGTGTGTGTCTGTGTGTGTGTGGATTGTTCAAATGCAGACGCAAGACTATGTGAGTTTCTCCAAAAATGGCTGATACACCAAAATCACCCAAAATGACCATGTAAATGCAAAATATACGAAACAAGATGTTCTCAACCATGGGATTTGGATGGATTTGGGGATATTCCCTTCTCAACCAAACCTAAATGACCAGGAGAAACACGCAACAGAGGAGCAGTGGGCAGCCGGCTCAGATTTTTGGTGACGATGTCCTGGTTTGCCACAAAATTCTAGGTAAATTCCAGGTATTTCAGGCTTACATAGAATTACTCGTCTTGGACATCAATTTAATACAATTTACTAAATATGTGGCCCTTTAAAGTTAATTCTATTTAACATAAAATTCATAAAATCGATAAACCATATCTGTTTTTGCTTGCTTTGTGTTGGCCATGGTATACAATATGGTTCAAATGGCTATGTTTGAATAGGGTTGTCATGGGTTGTCTCAAATTTTGGAACTCCCAAATCCACCAAAATCCCAATGGTTCAGAGAATCACTTCCTCCTTAATCATAGGCCGTAAATTGGTGATACCCTGCTTGAGACAAGCCCCCATTGCAGTTTAGCCAGCCGAAATGGGAAGTTGAGTTGATCCACTAGACATCGGCGTTCAACCCAGAAAAACGGAACACTGTTCTGCCATTTCAAATATTTGCTATGTCCCACCAAGACCGATGAGAACGGTTATTGGTGATGGGGAAGCCACTGTTTTTGAGCGCCGCATTCTGGGGCTTGAAAATTGGCCCAGACCCATATAATTAATATATGCTGATGATGAATTGGAACCATGGAATTTCTGCGGCTCTTCCCAGGAATCATGACTTCCAAGTAATAGCACTGCTACTGCCCATTATGGCCCATTGAATCAAGCATATAATATGCAAGTCATGAGGGCCAAATGAAACCAGATGAAACCCTTGTTGGTTGGGCTACCGCAGCAGACCCCATCACAGGCATCACAGCCGTACTACCCACCGCAGAAGGCGCGAAAGAGCATGATGCCTGCACTGAGTGTTTAGTCATTATAGGGAACCCCAAGACTTAATGAGGTAAATTAAATGAATCCCTATGATATATTCTTTTGCGGGATAAAAATGAAGCAAGTACTGGACGATTCTGGAAAAGTTGTTGAGATAATCCACTATCAGTTTTGCTTTGTGACATTTGGCATATACCCCTGGTAAAGGGGATGGTGCAAAATGTCCCCCAGATGGTGTACACTTGGTCACATAGCACAGAAACATAATAAATGCTCATTTGTGATATGTAAGTGTTTTGAGCATATTTTCTCCAAATGAGCGTATTTGCAGCATTTTTCCACTTTGTGCGTTTTGAAGCCAAAATCCTGAGCGTTTTTCCCGGGAAATGATCGTAAAATACCCGGGAAAACAGCGTAAATACATGTAAATACCCCTCTGTCAGGATACAAACGAGTTTTTTCTTGGATCAAGTGAGCATTCAGAATGAGAAAACATCCTAGCAAAAAAATGTTCTCAGCAGAAAAATGGTGCTAATCGAAGATCCAGGACTCCAGGTACTGGCTGTCCACTCGCCACATCCCAAGCCTTTGCTTCTTGATGCGTTGTTAGAGAATCCAACTGAGCAGGCCATGCACCACACGCACTCCGCGCAAACCGATCACCAGGCTGTGGGACGGGTGGGAACTCAGGGGGGGGCGGGCGGGAACTCAGGGGTCATTTTGAAAGACCATGGTGGGGGAGAGCCTGGAGAGTTTGAACTTGTGACACATTGCATGTTGATACGTTTTGAAACATTTCGAAGCTGTGGATCTGAAAAAGACTTTGCCGGTCCGTGTTTAATTCACATTTTTCCGCGGCACTGCCTGGTAAAATGACGTCCAAATAATGCTACAGGGAATCAAGCACATGGTCAGCTCCCATGAGGTCTCAAGCGGACCGCCATCCCAGATGACGACCTACCACAACCAGGCCCGGAACCCCAAGAAGAATGAGGTAAACCCAAGAACAGAATAGTTTGTTTTCAGGAGATAGCTGAGGTAATGATCCCAATCATATCTCCTCTGTGGATAACAATGAAACACATATGGGATGTTTACGGGATATTTTTGGATACAGTAGTTGTTAGGATAGTGCATTTCCAGTTTTGCTTTGTTATTTTTGTAACGTCCATGGTGGGAGTTTGGGGAGTTTGAAACTGTGAAACATCGCAAGTTTGAAATTTTGAAGCATGTTAAAACATGTTAAAACAATAAATCTGATGAAATCTACATGCTGTAATTCTGGAATTTGCGGTATAGTATACACGCGGCCAATGCTTCGATATTTAGGTTCTTGGACTATCTAGGTAATTATCCGGATTAGCAAACTAATCTGCATGCGCGAAACCCACATTTTCCAATGAGGAAACCCATCATCCCATCTAAACGTGGTGAATGCTTATGACATTTTCTTTTTCTTGCTAATGGGACAGGGGTGCTTGGGTTGTGAGCCACCTATTTCATTTCAGTATTGTTAGGTATGGTTTTCTTCAAGTACTCGTATGTGTTGATTGTCATCGTATTTACAAGCAATTTTGTGGTTTTTGCAGGCTGTCAAACCATCAACCAGATCCCATAGGCGAGAATTCGTAAATCTGAAGAAGGCCCTAGCGTGCTTTTTCTCATTAGCGTGTGGACTGAAGGCATTGGTGAGTTTGTCCAAAAGTGCGGGATACCTCAAAGTCATCCAAAATCACCCAACATCGCAGTTTAAATGGGAAGTACGGTTTTAACATCATGCTCTAAAGTCGTCTAAACGTTATCCTATTCCCAACACACACCCTAATGACAGGTTTGCTTTTTAGCCCCGTGACAACTAGGCGCAACGCGAACTGCATGAGCCGCGGGCACTGGCCGAGGCTCCTCAAATTTTCGGTGGTAGAGGTCCTGCTTTGCCACTAAAATCAAGGTGGTTTCAGTCTGGTTACCTATCCGCATCTATCCACATCTTGGAAATTAAAGGCAAATATGCAGGTTCTTTAGCTTTAACTGCTACATAAAATCGATGAAGTGGTATTTCTTTGTCGGCTTTGTATTATGGATGTGACGTGCTGTTGGCCATAAAATGGTAGGTATGTATATACATGGGGTTGTCTCAAAATGGGTAAAGGCTTGACGCTCCCCGGAACGCAATTGAAGTGGAGCTGGACTAAGATCATGAAATGTCATTGTTTGCAGCGTTTTACAGTGTTTTTTGGAAGTGATTGAACATAGTACATTGAATGCATTCATTTCGGCGCCAACATAGTTGGACTTTGTTGGTGTGGAAAAAACAACGTTTTTTTTAAAAAAAAATCTTTGGGATGTGTCATCTAATGTTAATTTTAACTTTGTACGAACCATTGTAATTGCGTCTGGATAGAATTTCAGCGCTTTTCTTGATCATCTGGAAATGTCATGATCCTCCAGGAAACCATGGACGAAATGAGCATCCGTCTTTTTCAACCGAAAGTCCACGACATCTTCAACGTAACAACATGTATCAACATCTTCAACGTAGCAACATATTCAACATCTTCAACGTAGCAACATCTTCAACATCTTCAGCATCTCCAACGTAACCAAAACTTCAACGTAACAACATCTGCAACGTAACAACATCTTCAATGTAACAGCATATTCAACATAGCAACATATTCAACATCTTCAACGTAGCAACATCTTCAACATCTTCAACGTAGCAACATCTTCAACATCTTCAGCATCTCCAACGTAACCAAAACTTCAACGTAACAACATCTGCAACGTAACAACATCTTCAATGTAACAGCATATTCAACATAGCAACATATTCAACATCTTCAACGTAGCAACATCTTCAACATCTCCAAGGTAAGATAATCTTTAACGTAACAACATTTTCAATGTAACAGCATCTTCAACACAGCAACACGTTCAACATTTTCAACGTAACAACATATTCAACATCTTCAACATCTTCAACATAGCAACATATTCAACATCTTTAACGTAGCAACATCTTTAACATCTCCAACGTAACAACATCTTTAACGTAACAACATCTTCGACATCTTCCACACGACGTTATTACCTCCCCACCCCCCAACACCCATCTGTATACCACAACGAAGATCAACGTAACAACATCTTTCATCTTCCGCAGTCCACAGGACGTTATTACACCCCCCCACCCCCCCACTTGTATATTGGATGGCCAGACCTGCATAAAGGACGGCAAGACTGAAGGTTCCTTGAAGCTCCGGGGAACCCCAAGCCTTGCCCATAGGATTGTGGTATCCGGATTAGCAAACTAAGCTTCCCACATTTTCCAATGAGGAAACCCATCATTCCATCTAAACGTACAGAATGCTTGTAAAATTTCCCTTTTCTTGCTAATTGGACAGGGGTGCTTGGGTTGTGAGCCGCCATTTTCATTGCAGTATTGTTAGCTTTGTATGTAAAATTAAAGGCATTGGTGAGTTTGTTCAAACGTGGGGGATACCTCAAAATCATCCAAAATCACCCAACATCACAGTTTACATGGGAAGTACGGGTTTAACATCATGCTCTAAAGTCGTCTAAACGTTATCCTATTCCCAACACACACCCAAATGACAGGTTTGCTTTTTAGCCCCGTGACAACTAGGCGCAACGCGAACTGCATGAGCCGCGGGCACTAGCCGAGGCTCCTCAAATTTTCGGTGGTAGAGGTCCTGCTTTGCCACTAAAATCAAGGTGGTTTCAGTCTGGTTACCTATCCGCATCTATCCACATCTTGGAAATTAAAGGCAAATATGCAGGTTCTTTAGCTTTAACTGCTACATAAAATCGATGAAGTGGTATTTGTTTGTTGGCTTTGTATTATGGACGTGCTGTTGGCCATAAAATGGTATAACTAGGTATGTGTATACATGGGGTTGTCTCAAAATTTTGGAACCCCATATCCACCCCAAAATCCCAATGGTTCAGAGAATCATTTTCCCAATTAGCAACATGCCACAAGGGCGGTATCCCATTTTGAGACAAACCCATACGCCAAACTGGTTGCTTCTTTTGACTTTAGCCAACCATAAATAGGAAGTTGATCAACCAGACCAGACATTTACCTGGAAACAAACGGGAACTGGTGTGCAATTTCAGATATTGTTCCACCATTACTTACTAGTAGGATGATAACCACGAATGGCTTCAATGAGGTTTGAGGATGAAACCACTGACCAAGTGTGTATGATGATGCATGATGCATATGTTGATTTTTTCCGTCGCGACCTCGCGGACCAAGCCCCATGTAGACGATGGCTTCATTGAGAAAACCATCTATGTCATGGGCCAGCACAAGAGGTTTGAGAGTTGTCTTATTTGATGTAGATACGCAGGTAAGGGTCTTCAGGTGGTGCCAACAGAATAATGGGGGTTAGCCAACCATCACAGGTGTGTAACCCAACATGTCAAGTTCATCTGGGTATGTATGAGCGGTGCTGGACAAGTCATTGGGTACAAAGATACAGTTCATTTGTCGGTCCAAATCAAGTTTTGGCACAAGGAGGCTCCGAAGCCAATCATCGAAAATTGGTCATTTCTAATGGGAAAACATTTATTTTTGGGCACCCCACACTGGGGCTTCAATCTAGACCCAGACCCATACACAGGTAGTGAAATGGAGCCAGTGTTGTTTCAGATGGAAATCAGACTACAGATTGCAGCCTTCTGAGCCAAGCATATAGTAATTCAGCGTCAGACTTCTTAAATCCTCTTACCATTTTTGTTTATTTTTGCGATTTGAATATGAGTTTTTTTGATTTTCAGAAAGATATGGTTTACGATATGGTTTGGATAGGCACCCTCCATCCCACCAGGTCCCTACCACTGTCCCAACCCAGGTCCTAGGTCTATCCCAAACCAAATCAAAACCAAAAAAACATATCCAAACCCACAAAAAAATCATATTCAACAACCATAAAAAGCAATATTCAACACCATAAAAAAACATAAGTGATTTTTCCAGTCGTACCCAAAACCATATCGAAACCCATAACCACAATTTGAACCCCCCAAAAAAATCATAATGGACATTGTATCCAAATCGTTTAATTAAAACATGAAAATGATTATTTCGAAACCCCGTCATCCTAGAGGCTTATGATCTCTGAGAATTAAGCTCTCATGAGGTCTTCTTCGTTCTTCAACCCATGAACTAACTATTCGTCACGAACGCATGGTTTGATGAAACCGTATGAAACCCTTGTTTTTTGGGCTACCGCAGTAGACCCCCATCTCAGGCATCACACGCATACTACCAACAGCAGCAACAGCAGCAGGCGCGAAAGATAATGATGCCTGCACTGAGTGTTTAGTCATTGTAGGGGACCCCACGACTTAATGAGGTAAACCCGATAATGTATATTGTATTTTTTTGGCGGGATAAGAAGGAAGCAAGTAGTGGATGATTCAGGGAAAGTTGTTGAGATAGTCCAGCATCAGTTTTGCTTTGTGAATTTTGGATATACCCATAGTAAAAGACGTCCCCCAAATGGTTGATAATTGGTCAGATCTTGGCTGCACTCACCACATCCCCACCTTTGCCTCCTTGATGCTTTTACAGAATCCGACCAGGCCATGCACCACGCGCAAACCGATCACCAGGCTGAAGGGGCTGGAGCTGCAGTTATCATTTCAAACGTCCATGGTGGGGCAGAGTTTGTGGAGTATGAAACTGTGAAAGATTACAAGTTTGCTACATTTTGACTATGAATCTGATGAAATCTACCTACATCTGTAATTTGTGGTACAAGCGTTTGATGCTCGGGTATTTAGGTACCCAGATTACCCTTCAGCAAACTAAGCTGCACGCGGGAAACCAACATTTTCCGATTCGGAAACCCATTTTAACATGGTGGATGCTCGTGGATTTTCATCCTCCTTGCCATTTTGGCAAGCAAGTGCTTGTGGATATGAGCGATCTATTTCTCTGTGGTATTCTTAGGTATGGATCTTTTCAAGCACCAGTATGTTTTGATTGTCATCACCTGAATTTGGGTGGTAAAATATATTCACAAACAATTTTATGGGTTGTCAAACTGTCAAGCAGATCCCATAGGCATTGGCAAGAACGCGTAAAATTTAAATAGGGTCCTTGAGTGTTCATTTCGATTGGATTGAATTGGTGTGTGTGTGTGTGAGACCGGCTAGCTTTCATGCGGGAAAGAATCAACAAATGTCATATCTAGCAGGGGCGCCACGGCTCCATTCATCAGTCCGTGGCCAACGAACCTACTGATGTTTGGAGAGGATATGCAGTCTGATCAACTGCACGTACCTGCGATTGGAACTGTTGATTTCTGTTTCTCCATGATGCTGTTTACTGTAAGAAGTTTGACATTTCACCCTGTTTGGTTTGGTCAGGTTTTTCACTTACACATCCTCAAGGCATCGATTACTTCAACATTCTAAAGTTCCAGTTCAGAGTAAGTAATTACTCTCAGCAATGTGTGGACTGTTCAAAGGCATACTCAGATGTTGGTTTGTCCAAAAGTGGGGATACCTCGAAATCGTCCGAAATCATCCAGCATCAGAATTTGCACTGGAAATGCATGGGAACTATGGGTTCAACCTGATGTTCTAAAGTCGTCTAAACGATGGGATTTTGCGATATCCTTTTCTCAAACACCCACATGACAGGTTTGCTTTTTAGCCCCGTGACAACTAGGCGCAACGCACCCTGGATGAGCCGCGGGCACTAGCCGAGGCTCCTCAAATTTTCGGTGGTAGAGGTCCTGCTTTGCCACTAAAACCAAGGTGTTTTCAGTCTGGTTACCTATCCGCATCTATCCACATCTTGGAAATTAAAGGCAAATATGCAGGTTCTTTAGCTTTAACTGCTACATAAAATCGATGAAGTGGTATTTGTTTGTTGGCTTTGTATTATGGACGTGCTGTTGGCCATAAAATGGTATAACTAGGTATGTATATACATGGGGTTGTCTCAAAATTTTGGAACCCCATATCCACCCCAAAATCCCAATGGTTCAGAGAATCATTTTCCCAATTAGCAACATGCCACAAGGGCGGTATCCCATTTTGAGACAAACCCATACGCCAAACTGGTTGCTTCTTTTGACTTTAGCCAACCATAAATAGGAAGTTGATCAACCAGACCAGACATTTACCTGGAAACAAACGGGAACTGGTGTGCAATTTCAGATATTGTTCCACCATTACTTACTAGTAGGATGATAACCACGAATGGCTTCAATGAGGTTTGAGGATGAAACCACTAACCAAGTGTGTATGATGATGCATGATGCATATGTTGATTTTTTCCGTCGCGACCTCGCGGACCAAGCCCCATGTAGACGATGGCTTCATTGAGAAAACCATCTATGTCATGGGCCAGCACAAGAGGTTTGAGAGTTGTCTTATTTGATGTAGATACGCAGGTATGGGTCTTCAGGTGGTGCCAACAGAATAATGGGGGTTAGCCAACCATCACAGGTGTGTAACCCAACATGTCAAGTTCATCTGGGTATGTATGAGCGGTGCTGGACAAGTCATTGGGTACGAAGATACAGTTCATTTGTCGGTCCAAATCAAGTTTTGGCACAAGGAGGCTCCGAAGCCAATCATCGAAAAGTGGTTATTTCTAATGAGAAAACATTTATTTTTGGGCACCCCACACTGGGGATTCAATCTAGACCCAGACCCATACACAGGTAGTGAAATGGAGCCAGTGTTGTTTCAGATGGAAATCAGACTACAGATTGCAGCCTTCTGAACCAAGCATATAGTAATTAAGCGTCAGACTTCTTAAATCCTCTTACCATTTTCGTTTTTTTTGCGATTTGAATATGAGTTTTTTTGATTTTCAGAAAGATATGGTTTACGATATGGTTTGGATAGGCACCCTCCATCCCACCAGGTCCTACCACTGTCCTCCCAAACCAAATCAAACCCAAAAAAACATATCCAAACCCATAAAAAATCATATTCAAAACCATAAACAACAATATTCAAAACCATAAAAAACATAAGTGATTTTTCCAGTCGTACCCAAAACCATATCGAAACCCATAACCACAATTTGAACCCCCAAAAAAAAACATAATGGAAATTGTATCCGAATCGTTTAATTAAAACATGAAAATGATTATTTCGGAACCCCGTCATCCTAGAGGCTTATGATCTCTGAAAATTAAGCTCTCATGAGGTCTTCTTCATTCTTCAACCCATGAACTAACTATTCGTCACGAACGCATGGTTTGATGAAACCGTATGAAACCCTTGTTTTTTGGGCTACCGCAGCAGACCCCCATCACAGGCATCACACGCATACTACCAACAGCAGCAACAGCAGCAGGCGCGAAAGATAATGATGCCTGCACTGAGTGTTTAGTCATTGTAGGGGACCCCACGACTTAATGAGGTAAACCCGATAATGTATATTGTATTTTTTTGGCGGGATAAGAACGAAGCAAGTATTGGATGATTCAGGGAAAGTTGTTGAGATAGTCCAGCATCAGTTTTGCTTTGTGAATTTTGGATATACCCATAGTAAAAGACGTCCCCCAAATGGTTGATAATTGATCAGATCTTGGCTGCACTCACCACATTACAGAATCCGACCAGGCCATGCACCACGCGCAAACCGATCACCAGGCTGAAGGGGCTGGAGCTGCAGTTATCATTTCAAACGTCCATGGTGGGGCAGAGTTTGTGGAGTTTGAAACTGTGAAAGATTACAAGTTTGCTACATTTTGACTATGAATCTGATGAAATCTACCTACATCTGTAATTTGTGGTACAAGCGTTTGATGCTCGGGTATCTAGGTACCCAGATTACCCTTCAGCAAACTAAGCTGCACGCGGGAAACCAACATTTTCCGATTCGGAAACCCATTTAAACATGGTGGATGCTCATGGATTTTCATCCTCCTTGCCATTTTGGCAAGCAAGTGCTTGTGGATATGAGCGATCTATTTCTCTGTGGTATTCTTAGGTATGGCTCTTTTCAAGCACCAGTATGTTTTGATTGTCATCACCTTAAATTGGGTGGTAAAATATATTCACAAACAATTTTATGGGTTGTCAAACTGTCAAGCAGATCCCATAGGCATTGGCAAGAACGCGTAAAATTTAAATAGGGTCCTTGAGTGTTCATTTCGATTGGATTGAATTGGTGTGTGTGTGTGTGAGACCCGCTAGCTTTCATGCGGGAAAGAATCAACAAATGTCATATCTAGCAGGGGCGCCACGGCTCCATTCATCAGTCCGTGGCCAACGAACCTACTGATGTTTGGAGAGGATATGCAGTCTGATCAACTGCACGTACCTGCGATTGGAACTGTTGATTTCTGTTTCTCCATGATGCTGTTTACTGTAAGAAGTTTGACATTTCACCCTGTTTGGTTTGGTCAGGTTTTTCACTTACACATCCTCAAGGCATCGATTACTTCAACATTCTAAAGTTCCAGTTCAGAGTAAGTAATTACTCTCAGCAATGTGTGGACTGTTCAAAGGCATACTCAGATGTTGGTTTGTCCAAAAGTGGGGATACCTCGAAATCGTCCGAAATCATCCAGCATCAGAATTTGCACTGGAAATGCATGGGAACTATGGGTTCAACCAGATGTTCTAAAGTCGTCTAAACGATGGGATTTTGCGATATCCTTTTCTCAAACACCCAAATGACAGGTTTGCTTTTTAGCCCCGTGACAACTAGGCGCAACGCGAACTGCATGAGCCGCGGGCACTAGCCGAGGCTCCTCAAATTTTCGGTGGTAGAGGTCCTGCTTTGCCACTAAAACCAAGGTGTTTTCAGTCTGGTTACCTATCCGCATCTATCCACATCTTGGAAATTAAAGGCAAATATGCAGGTTCTTTAGCTTTAACTGCTACATAAAATCGATGAAGTGGTATTTCTTTGTCGGCTTTGTATTATGGATGTGACGTGCTGTTGGCCACAAAAATGGTACAACTAGGTATGTATATACATGGGGTTGTCTCAAAAATTTGGAACCCCATATTCCACCCCAAAATCCCAATGGTTCAGAGAATCATTTTCCCAATTAGCAACATGCCACAAGAGCTGTATCCCATTTTGAGACAAACCCATACGCCAAACTGGTTGCTTCTTTTGACTTTAGCCAACCATAAATAGGAAGTTGATCAACCAGACCAGACATTTACCTGGAAACAAACGGGAACTGGTGTGCAATTTCAGATATTGTTCCACCATTACTTACTAGTAGGATGATAACCACGAATGGCTTCAATGAGGTTTGAGGATGAAACCACTGACCAAGTGTGTATGATGATGCATGATGCATATGTTGTTTTTTTTCCGTCGCGACCTCGCGGACCAAGCCCCATGTAGACGATGGCTTCATTGAGAAACCATCTATGTCATGGGCCAGCACAAGAGGTTTGAGAGTTGTCTTATTTGATGTAGATACGCAGGTATGGGTCTTCAGGTGGTGCCAACAGAATAATGGGGGTTAGCCAACCATCACAGGTGTGTAACCCAACATGTCAAGTTCATCTGGGTATGTATGAGCGGTGCTGGACAAGTCATTGGGTACGAAGATACAGTTCATTTGTCGGTCCAAATCAAGTTTTAGCACAAGGAGGCTCCGAAGCCAATCGTCGAAAATTGGTCATTTCTAATGAGAAAACATTTATTTTTGGGCACCCCACACTGGGGATTCAATCTAGACCCAGACCCATACACAGGTAGTGAAATGGAGCCAGTGTTGTTTCAGATGGAAATCAGACTACAGATTGCAGCCTTCTGAACCAAGCATATAGTAATTAAGCGTCAGACTTCTTAAATCCTCTTACCATTTTCGTTTTTTTTGCGATTTGAATATGAGTTTTTTTGATTTTCAGAAAGATATGGTTTACGATATGGTTTGGATAGGCACCCTCCATCCCACCAGGTCCTACCACTGTCCCAACCCAGGTCCTAGGTCTATCCCAAACCAAATCAAAACCCAAAAAAACATATCCAAACCCTTAAAACTAGACGACGGATGGCCCGAGAGCGTAGAGGAGCAGAGTCTTCTGTTGTTAGTATGGAGACACTATATTAAAGATGTATTATAGGCAGACGAGAAGAGTAGTATCAAGACAATATATGACTAGTACAAGACAATAGTTTGCATCGTATTTTTGTAAAGTTTTTCATACACAGAACTTTTTACAGACAGACGCTTTTGCACACAGAGAGCACACAGAGACTTTTACACACAGACACACACAGACGCTTTTACACACAAACACTTTTACACACAGAGAGCTTTTACACACAGACGCTTTTACACACAGAAGCTTTTACACACAGACGCTTTTACACACAGACGCTTTTACACACAGACGCTTTTACACACAGACGCTTGTTACACATAGGCTCTTTTACACACAGACACTTTTACACACAGACGCTTTTACACACAGAGCCTTTTACACACAGACGCTTTTACACACAGACGCTTTTGCACACAGAGACTTTTACACACAGAGACTTTTACACACAGAGACTTTTACACACAGACGCTTTTACACACAGACGCTTTTGCACACAAACACTTTTACACACAAACACTTTTACACACAGACGCTTTTACACACAGACGCTTTTACACACAGAAGCTTTTACACACAGAAGCTTTTACACACAGACGCTTTTACACACAGACGCTTTTACACACAGACGTTTGTTACACATAGGCTCTTTTACACACAGACACTTTTACACACAGACGCTTTTACACACAGAGCCTTTTACACACAGACGCTTTTACACACAGACGCTTTTGCGCACACACACACAGACGCTTTTACACACAGAGACTTTTACACACAGACGCTTTTACACACAGACGCTTTTACACACAGACGCTTTTACACACAGACGCTTGTTACACATAGGCTCTTTTACACACAGACACTTTTACACACAGACGCTTTTACACACAGACGCTTTTACACACAGACGCTTTTACACACTGACGCTTTTGCACACAGAGACTTTTACACACAGAGACTTTTACACACAGAGACTTTTACACACAGACGCTTTTACACACAGACGATTTTGCACACAAACACTTTTACACACAAACACTTTTACACACAGAGACTTTTACACACAGAAGCTTTTACACACAGAAGCTTTTACACACAGAAGCTTTTACACACAGACGCTTTTACACAGACGCTTTTACACACAGACGCTTGTTACACATAGGCTCTTTTACACACAGACACCTTTACACACAGACGCTTTTACACACAGACGCTTTTACACACAGACGCTTTTGCACACAGAGACTTTTACACACAGAGACTTTTACACACAGAGACTTTTACACACAGACGCTTTTACACACAGACGATTTTGCACACAAACACTTTTACACAAACACTTTTACACACAGACGCTTTTACACACAGACGCTTTTACACACAGAAGCTTTTACACACAGACGCTTTTACACACAGACGCTTTTACACACAGACGCTTCTACACACAGAGACTTTTGCACACAGACGCTTTTACACACAGATGCTTTTACACACAAACACTTTTACGCACAGACACTTTTACACGCAGACGCTTTTACACACAAACACTTTTACACACAGACGCTTTTACACACAGACGCTTTTACACACAAACACTTTTACACACAAACACTTTTACACACAGACGCTTTTACACACAGACGCTTTTACACACAGACGCTCTGACACACAGACGCTTTTACACACAGACGCTTTTACACACAGAAGCTTTTACACACAAGTAAAATCGCAATTTTTCCTCAGTTTTTGACGATCGACCCTCATTTCGTGCGAAAGGGTTGCTCGGGGGCAAGTAAAATCGCAATTTTTCCTCAGTTTTTGACGATCGACCCTCATTTCGTGCGAAAGGGTTGCTCGGGGGCAAGTAAAATCGCAATTTTTCCTCAGTTTTTGCCGATCGACCCTCATTTCGTGCGAAAAGGTTGCTCGGGGGCAAGTAAAATCGCAATTTTTCCCCAGTTTTTGACGATCGACCCTCATTTCGTGCGAAAGGGTTGCTCCAGGACAAGTAAACTCGCAATTTTTCCTCAGTTTTTGACGATCGACCCTCATTTCGTGCGAAAGGGTTGCTCCGGGACAAGTAAAATCGCAATTTTTCCTCAGTTTTTGACGATCGACTCTCATTTCGTGCGAAAGGGTTGCTCCGGGACAAGTAAAATCGCAATTTTTCCTCAGTTTTTGACGATCGACCCTCATTTCGTGCGAAAGGGTTGACGTTTCGTGACTCACCGCCGGTACCACCCTCGGCCTAAAGAGAGAAAGATAAAGAAGGCGAGAGAGAGAAAAAGGAGAGAGAAAGGAGAGAGAGAAAGGAGAGAGAATGAGAGAGAGAGAGAGAGAGAAGATGTGAAGATGAGAAGGTGTGAGAGAAGGTGTGAAGATGAGAAGGTGTGAGAGAAGATGTGAAGATGAGAAGGTGTGAGAGAAGATGTGAAGATGAGAAGGTGTGAGAGAAGGTGTGAAGATGAGAAGGGTGTGAGAGAAGATGTGAAGATGAGAAGGTGTGAGAGAAGATGTGAAGATGAGAAGGTGTGAGAGAAGATGTGAAGATGAGAGGGTGTGAGAGAAGATGTGAAGATGAGAATGTGTGAGAGAAGATGTGAAGATGAGAAGGTGGGAGAGAAGATGTGAAGATGAGAAGGTGTGAGAGAAGATGTGAAGATGAGAAGGTGTGAGAGAAGATGTGAAGATGAGAAGGTGGGAGAGAAGATGTGAAGATGAGAAGGTGTGAGAGAAGATGTGAAGATGAGAAGGTGGGAGAGAAGATGTGAAGATGAGAAGGTGTGAGAGAAGATGTGAAGATGAGAAGGTGTGAGAGAAGATGTGAAGATGAGAAGGTGTGAAGATGAGAAGATGAGATACAGACCCCCACTATTGGAAGAACCCTGCGCTCAGACGCTCTCGGGAAAAAATCATATTCAACACCATAAAAAACAATATTCAAAACCATAAAAAAAACATAAGTGATTTTTCCAGTCGTACCCAGAACCATATCGAAACCCATAACCACAATTTGAACCCCCAAAAAAAATCATAATGGAAATTGTATCCAAATCGTTTCATTAAAACATGAAAATGATTATGTCGAAACCCCGTCATCCTAGAGGCTTGTGATCTCTGAAAATTAAGCTCTCATGAGGTCTTCTTCATTCTTCAACCCATGAACTAACTATTCGTCACGAACGCATGGTTTGATGAAACTGTATGAAACCCTTGTTTTTGGGGCTACCGCAGCAGACCCCCATCACAGGCATCACACGCATACTACCAACAGCAGCAACAGCAGCAAGCGCGAAAGATAATGATGCCTGCACGAGTGTTTAGTCATTATAGGGGACCCCACGACTTAATGAGGTAAACCCGATAATGTATATTGTATTTTTTTGGCGGGATAAGAACGAAGCAAGTATTGGATGATTCAGGGAAAGTTGTTGAGATAGTCCAGCATCAGTTTTGCTTTGTGAATTTTGGATATACCCATAGTAAAAGACGTCCCCCAAATGGTTGATAATTGGTCAGATCTTGGCTGCACTCACCACATTACAGAATCCGACCAGGCCATGCACCACGCGCAAACCGATCACCAGGCTGAAGGGGCTGGAGCTGCAGTTATCATTTCAAACGTCCATGGTGGGGCAGAGTTTGTGGAGTTTGAAACTGTGAAAGATTACAAGTTTGCTACATTTTGACTATGAATCTGATGAAATCTACCTACATCTGTAATTTGTGGTACAAGCGTTTGATGCTCGGGTATTTAGGTACCCAGATTACCCTTCAGCAAACTAAGCTGCACGCGGGAAACCAACATTTTCCGATTCGGAAACCCATTTTAACATGGTGGATGCTCGTGGATTTTCATCCTCCTTGCCATTTTGGCAAGCAAGTGCTTGTGGATATGAGCGATCTATTTCTCTGTGGTATTCTTAGGTATGGATCTTTTCAAGCACCAGTATGTTTTCATTGTCATCACCTGAATTTGGGTGGTAAAATATATTCACAAACAATTTTATGGGTTGTCAAACTGTCAAGCAGATCCCATAGGCATTGGCAAGAACGCGTAAAATTTAAATAGGGTCCTTGAGTGTTCATTTCGATTGGATTGAATTGGTGTGTGTGTGTGTGAGACCCGCTAGCTTTCATGCGGGAAAGAATCAACAAATGTCATATCTAGCAGGGGCGCCACGGCTCCATTCATCAGTCCGTGGCCAACGAACCTACTGATGTTTGGAGAGGATATGCAGTCTGATCAACTGCACGTACCTGCGATTCGAACTGTTGATTTCTGTTTCTCCATGATGCTGTTTGCTGTAAGAAGTTTGACATTTCACCCTGTTTGGTTTGGTCAGGTTTTTCACTTACACATCCTCAAGGCATCGATTACTTCAACATTCTAAAGTTCCAGTTCAGAGTAAGTAATTACTCTCAGCAATGTGTGGACTGTTCAAAGGCATACTCAGATGTTGGTTTGTCCAAAAGTGGGGATACCTCGAAATCGTCCGAAATCATCCAGCATCAGAATTTGCACTGGAAATGCATGGGAACTATGGGTTCAACCTGATGTTCTAAAGTCGTCTAAACGATGGGATTTTGCGATATCCTTTTCTCAAACACCCAAATGACAGGTTTGCTTTTTAGCCCCGTTGCAACTAGGCGCAACGCACCCTGGATGAGCCGCGGGCACTAGCCGAGGCTCCTCAAATTTTCGGTGGTAGAGGTCCTGCTTTGCCACTAAAACCAAGGTGTTTTCAGTCTGGTTACCTATCCGCATCTATCCACATCTTGGAAATTAAAGGCAAATATGCAGGTTCTTTAGCTTTAACTGCTACATAAAATCGATGAAGTGGTATTTCTTTGTCGGCTTTGTATTATGGATGTGACGTGCTGTTGGCCACAAAAATGGTACAACTAGGTATGTATATACATGGGGTTGTCTCAAAAATTTGGAACCCCATATTCCACCCCAAAATCCCAATGGTTCAGAGAATCATTTTCCCAATTAGCAACATGCCACAAGAGCTGTATCCCATTTTGAGACAAACCCATACGCCAAACTGGTTGCTTCTTTTGACTTTAGCCAACCATAAATAGGAAGTTGATCAACCAGACCAGACATTTACCTGGAAACAAACGGGAACTGGTGTGCAATTTCAGATATTGTTCCACCATTACTTACTAGTAGGATGATAACCACGAATGGCTTCAATGAGGTTTGAGGATGAAACCACTGACCAAGTGTGTATGATGATGCATGATGCATATGTTGTTTTTTTTCCGTCGCGACCTCGCGGACCAAGCCCCATGTAGACGATGGCTTCATTGAGAAACCATCTATGTCATGGGCCAGCACAAGAGGTTTGAGAGTTGTCTTATTTGATGTAGATACGCAGGTATGGGTCTTCAGGTGGTGCCAACAGAATAATGGGGGTTAGCCAACCATCACAGGTGTGTAACCCAACATGTCAAGTTCATCTGGGTATGTATGAGCGGTGCTGGACAAGTCATTGGGTACGAAGATACACTTCATTTGTCGGTCCAAATCAAGTTTTGGCACAAGGAGGCTCCGAAGCCAATCAGTCATTTCTAATGGGAAAACATTTATTTTTGGGCACCCCACACTGGGGCTTCAATCTAGACCCAGACCCATACACAGGTAGTCAAATGGAGCCAGTGTTGTTTCAGATGGAAATCAGACTACAGATTGCAGCCTTCTGAACCAAGCATATAGTAATTAAGCGTCAGACTTCTTAAATCCTCTTACCATTTTTGTTTTTTTTTTGCGATTTGAATATGAGTTTTTTGATTTTCAGAAAGATATGGTTTACGATATGGTTTGGATAGGCACCCTCCATCCCACCAGGTCCTACCACTGTCCCAACCCAGGTCCTAGGTCTATCCCAAACCAAATCAAAACCCAAAAAAACATATCCAAACCCATAAAAAAAAAAATATTCAAAACCATAAAAAACAATATTCAAAACCATAAAAAATATAAGTGGATTTTCCGGTCGTACCCAAAACCATATCGAAACCCATAACCACAATTTGAACCCCCCAAAAAAATCATAATGGACATTGTATCCAAATCGTTTCATTAAAACATGAAAATGATTATTTCGACACCCCGTCATCCTAGAGGCTTATGATCTCTGAAAATTAAGCTCTCATGAGGTCTTCTTCATTCTTCAACCCATGAACTAACTATTCGTCACGAACGCATGGTTTGATGAAACCGTATGAAACCCTTGTTTTTTGGGCTACCGCAGCAGACCCCCATCACAGGCATCACACGCATACTACCAACAGCAGCAACAGCAGCAGGCGCGAAAGATAATGATGCCTGCACTGAGTGTTTAGTCATTATAGGGGACCCCACGACTTAATGAGGTAAACCCGATAATGTATATTGCATTTTTTTGGCGGGATAAGAAGGAAGCAAGTATTGGATGATTCAGGGAAAGTTGTTGAGATAGTCCAGCATCAGTTTTGCTTTGTGAATTTTGGATATACCCATAGTAAAAGACGTCCCACAAATGGTTGATAATTGGTCAGATCTTGGCTGCACTCACCACATTACAGAATCCGACCAGGCCATGCACCACGCGCAAACCGATCACCAGGCTGAAGGGGCTGGAGCTGCAGTTATCATTTCAAACGTCCATGGTGGGGCAGAGTTTGTGGAGTTTGAAACTGTGAAAGATTACAAGTTTGCTACATTTTGACTATGAATCTGATGAAATCTACCTACATCTGTAATTTGTGGTACAAGCGTTTGATGCTCGGGTATCTAGGTACCCAGATTACCCTTCAGCAAACTAAGCTGCACGCGGGAAACCAACATTTTCCGATTCGGAAACCCATTTTAACATGGTGGATGCTCGTGGATTTTCATCCTCCTTGCCATTTTGGCAAGCAAGTGCTTGTGGATATGAGCGATCTATTTCTCTGTGGTATTCTCAGGTATGGATCTTTTCAAGCACCAGTATGTTTTCATTGTCATCACATGAATTTGGGTGGTAAAATATATTCACAAACAATTTTATGGATTGTCAAACCGTCAAGCAGATCCCATAGGCATTGGCAAGAACGCGTAAAATTTAAATAGGGTACGTGAGTGTTCATTTCGATTGGATTGAATTGGTGTGTGTGTGTGAGACCCGCTAGCTTTCATGCGGGAAAGAATCAACAAATGTCATGTCTAGCAGGGGCGCCACGGCTCCATTCATCAGTCCGTGGCCAACGAACCTACTGATGTTTGGAGAGGATATGCAGTCTGATCAACTGCACGTACCTGCGATTGGAACTGTTGATTTCTGTTTCTCCATGATGCTGTTTGCTGTAAGAAGTTTGACATTTCACCCTGTTTGGTTTGGTCAGGTTTTTCCCCACAACTTTGTGTGGGGTTCTTGTTTTGATTCTGTATCCCAGGCTCCTCCTCCCGCCTCCCGCCTCCACCTCCACACATGTCACATACCATAACTTCAGACACACAAATTTAACATACAATAACTTCACACACACTAACACACACACACACAACTTTGTCACATACCATCTCTCACATACAATAACTTCACACACACAAACTCAACATACAATAGCTTCACACACACTCACACACACAAGTTTGTCACATACCATCTCTCACATACAATAACTTCACACACACACACACTCACACAAACACACAACTTTGTCACATACCATCTCTCACATACAATAACTTCACACACACACACACTTAACATACACTAACTTCACTCACACTCCACTAACTTCACTCACACTCACACTCACACACACACAGACACACAGACACACAGACACACACACACACACACTCACTCACTCACTCACTCACTCACTCACTCACTCACACACACACACACACTCACACACACAACTTTGTCGCATACGGCAGGCGTGGCACTTTGCGTGGCAGGCCGCGGCGCGGCACAAACTCACATCTACCGTGGTCTTGCGTGGCAGGCGTGGCAAAACCTCACATCTACCATCGTTTTGCGTGGCAGGTGTGGCACTCATGGCACTCCGTGGCGCGCTTGGGTCTGGTTTGGGCGCGCGTGACGCCGCGGCATTTTGCGTGACAGGCGTGGCACAACCTTACATCCACCTTCGTTTCACGTGGCAGGCGTGTTACAATCTTACATCCACCTTCGTTTCGCGTGGCAGGCGTGGCACTCATGCCACTCCGTGGCGCGCTTGGGTCTGGTTTGGGGGCGCGTGACGCCGCGGCATTTTGCGTGGCAGGCGTGGCACAACCTTACATCCACCTTCGTTTCACGTGGCAGGCGTGGCACAATCTTACATCCACCTTAGTTTCGCGTGGCAGGCGTGGCACTCATGGCACTCCGTGGCGCGCTTGGGTCTGGTTTGGGCGCGCGTGACGCCGCGGCATTTTGCGTGGCAGGCGTGGCACAACCTTACATCCACCTTCGTTTCACGTGGCAGGCATGGCACAATCTTACATCCACCTTCGTTTCGCGTGGCAGGCGTGGCACTCATGGCACTCCGTGGCGCGCTTGGGTCTGGTTTGGGCGCGCGTGACGCCGCGACATTTTGCGTGGCAGGCGTGGCACAACCTTACATCCACCTTCGTTTCACGTGGCAGGCGTGGCACAAACTACATCCACCTTCGTTTCGCGTGGCAAGCGTGGCACTCATGGCACTGGGTGGCGCGCTTGGGTCTGGTTTGGGCGCGCGTGACGCCGCGGCATTTTGCGTGGCAGGCGTGGCACAACCTTACATCCACCTTCGTTTCACGTGGCAGGCGTGGCACAATCTTACATCCACCTTCGTTTCGCGTGGCAGGCGTGGCACTCATGCCACTCCGTGGCGCGCTTGGGTCTGGCTTGGGCGCGCGTGACGCCGCGGCATTTTGCGTGACAGGCGTGGCACAACCTTACATCCACCTTCGTTTCACATGGCAGGCGTGGCACAATCTTACATCCACCTTCGTTTCGCGTGGCAGGCGTGGCACTCATGCCACTCCGTGGCGCGCTTGGGTCTGGTTTGGGCGCGCGTGACGCCGCGGCATTTTGCGTGGCAGGCGTGGCACAACCTTACATCCACCTTCGTTTCACATGGCAGGCGTGGCACAATCTCACATCCACCTTCGTTTTGCGTGGCAGGCGTGGCACCCTCTTTGACACACCCTCTTTCACACACCACTTTGTCACACACCATCTTTCACACACCACTTTGTCACACACCATCTTTCACCACACCCTCTTCCACACATCACTTTGTCACCACACTATTTTTCACACACAACTTTGTCACACACTATCTTTGACACACCATCTTTCACACACCACTTTGTCACACACCATCTTTGACACACCCTCTTTTACGCACCATCTTTGTAACACTCCATCTTTCACACACCATCTTTCACCACACCATCCTTCACACACCACTTTGTCACACACCATCTTTCACCACACCATGTTTCACACATAACTGTGTCACACACCATCTTTCACCACACCATATTTCACACCCTGCTTTGTCACACACCTACACACCATCTTCCTTCGTCACACACCATCTTTCACATTCGACTTTGTCACGCACAGCTGTTTTAACTTTTCGATCCTTCACCACCTCCTTTGCCTTTCCTTCCTTCTCCGTCCCTGCTACAACCTTTGGCGCTCATTATTGGAAGAAGTTGCCTTGTGGGGTTATCCGGTCCTTTAATTCACTTACACATCCTCAAGGCATCGATTACTTCAACATTCTAAAGTTCCAGTTCAGAGTAAGTAATTACTCTCAGCAATGTGTGGACTGTTCAAAGGCATACTCAGATGTTGGTTTGTCCAAAAAGTGGGGATACCTCGAAATCGTCCGAAATCGTCCAGCATCAGAATTTGCACTGGAAATGCATGGGAACTATGGGTTCAACATGATGTTCTAAAGTCGTCTAAACGATGGGATTTTGCGATATCCTTTTCTCAAACACCCAAATGACAGGTTTGCTTTTTAGCCCCGTGACAACTAGGCGCAACGCACCCTGGATGAGCAGCGGGCACTAGCCGAGGCTCCTCAGTCTTTCTGTGGTAGAGGTCCTGCTTTGCCACTAAAATCAAGGTGTTTTCAATCTGGTTGCCTATCCGCATCTATCCACATCTTGGAAATTAATGGCAAATACGCAGGTTCTTTAACTTTAACTGCTACATCAAATCGATGAAGTGGTATTTTTTTGTCGGCTTTGTATTATGGATGTGACGTGCTGTTGGCCACAAAAATGGTACAACTAGGTATGTATATACATGGGGTTGTCTCAAAATTTTGGAACCCCATATTCCACCCCAAAATCCCAATGGTTCAGAGAATCATTTTCCCAATTAGCAACATGCCACAAGAGCGGTATCCCATTTTGAGACAAACCCATACGCCAAACTGGTTGCTTCTTTTGACTTTAGCCAACCACAAATAGGAAGTTGATCAACCAGACCAGACATTTACCTGGAAACAAACGGGAACTGGTGTGCAATTTCAGATATTGTTCCACCATTACTTACTAGTAGGATGATAACCACGAATGGCTTCAATGAGGTTTGAGGATGAAACCACTGACCAAGTGTGTATGATGATGCATGATGCTGCATATGTTGAATTTTTCCGTAGCGACCTCGCGGACCAAACCCCATGTAGATGATGGCTTCATTGAGAAAACCATCTATGTCGCGGCCCAACGAAGGAACATAGGATGGTTTGGGACATCCAAAAACATTGTCCCTTGTGGGTCCAAATGATTTCTGGAAACCATTTGTTTCTGGACACCACACTTTCGGGCTTCAATCTTGACCCAGAGCCACACGCTGGCGATGGGGAATCATGGTTGTTTCACATGCAGTTTCTGCAGCACTGTCTGGAAAAATGACTTCCAGAGAATCCCGCCCCAGCCCTTTGAATCAAGCAAAATAAACGTCGATGAGGTCTTGAACCCGTAAAACAACCACTCCCTGGATAGTGAAACCGGTGTTGTTTGGGGCCTGGCTGCAGACCACCGTCCCAGGCTGCGCGCTTACAATACCATCAACAGCATCAACAGCATCAACAACATCAACAGCATCAACAGCATCAGGCGCTGACTGGGATGGTGCCTGCAGTGGACTTCCTCAAGACCCAGGATTAATAAACACCCAGTTTACAGTGATGAGGGGGACCAAATTTTCACTTACAACGTGTGCTTTGATTATCCCACAGAATAATGAACTTGGTGTTGGTGTTTATTGATCCTGGGTTGACACTTTCCGTCTGACAGTTTATAGCTATTCAGACATGGAATCGTGCAAGTTGCCCCAGTAATGATTGGGAGCAAGAAGTCCAAGTGTCCACTTTCAAGACAGGTTGACAACCCTGAAGAAACCTTTATTCGCTATATTCCCCTATCAATACTGATATTCCCATGTCTTGAATAGTAAAACATATTGTCGATTTTTTGGATTTCAAATAACGGGTGATTCCTCTTCTACCTGCACTGTTTGTGAAATGTCCTCTTAAACTATTAGGCGGTCATGGAGTAAACGACCTCTCAGTGGACAAGACCGGTTTAGGCGAGAATCTAAAGGAAGCCCCATAAGCCCCAGTAAATGTTGGTGAAAAGAACCGTTGTTTCCTATATAACATACCAGTAGTACCCGCACGAGGCTGGGCGGAAGTTGCCTTAAAGATATATATATATATATATGACCTTTCTCATCTATAGAACTTGCATGCGCCGTGCGCCAGCCAAGCCCGTGCGTGCGTGCACTCTGCGAAAGTGGTGTCCTGTTTCACATGTCACATTTGAAGCTCCACTTCGCCCTTCACACTTCTCACTGCACTCTTCACACTCTTCACACTCCAGCACACTTCACACTTCACACTCCACACTTCTCACTTCACACTGCACTCTCCCCAATACACAGTTCACACTCCACACTTCACACTTCACAGTCCACACTTCACACTTCTCACTTCTCATTGCTTTCTTCACACTCCACACTTCACACTTCACACTGCACTCTTCACGCCCCACACTTCACACTGCACTCTTCACACTCCACACTTCATCTCATCTGAGCTCTTCTCGGTGCTTCTGCACGTCAGCAAGGTTGAGCGTAACTCATGTTGGTTCTTCTACATGCCAAAAGGCGTAGACCATAAAATATTTACAATATTGAGGTCAGTAATGCCAAGCGTTGATGCATTGCATCAAATCGCAACGGCTTCCTCCCCAAAACAAAGCCCATGCAACATTCATGCAGCCATTACAATGCGGTTCGCAGCAGCAACTCGCAAACTTGCACCTATCTACGCACAGAACAACACCAGAACACCAAATGACAACAGTCATGCAGCCATTCCAATGCGATCTGCAAGCACAGATTCCAAAACACCCTATAACTACGCACACACAAGCACACCCAAAGCAGCTTGAAGCCACCGTTACACTGCGGCAAAAAAAAAACGACCAACCGACCCCAGCCGCAACCGCCGCACAGACGAGGTACCTTTCATCGCCGCCTGCAGCCACTTTACACGGAAAAACACAAGGTTTCGCGCTCCGGCTTCCTCCCCAAAACAAAGCCCATGCAACATCATGCAGCCATTACAATGCGGTTCGCAGCAGCAACTCGCAAACTTGCACCTATCTACGCACAGAACAACACCAGAACACCAAATGACAACAGTCATGCAGCCATTCCAATGCGATCTGCAAGCGCAGATTCCAAAACACCCTATAACTACGCACACACAAGCACACCCAAAGCAGCTTGAAGCCACCGTTACACTGCGGCAAAAAAAAACGACCAACCGACCCCAGCCGCAACCGCCGCACACACGAGGTACCTTTCATCGTCGCCTGCAGCCAATTTACACGGAAAAACACAAGGTTTCGCGCTCCGGGTCCTCCCCAAAACAAAGCCCATGCAACATTCATGCAGCCATTACAATGCGGTTCGCAGCAGCAACTCGCAAACTTGCACCTATCTACGCACAGAACAACACCAGAACACCAAATGACAACAGTCATGCAGCCATTCCAATGCGATCTTTTCGCACAGATTCCAAAACACCCTATAACTACGCACACACAAGCACACCCAAAGCAGCTTGAAGCCACCGTTACACTGCGGCAAAAAAAAACGACCAACCGACCCCAGCCGCAACCGCCGCACACACGAGGTACCTTTCATCGTCGCCCGCAGCCACTTTACACGGAAAAACACAAGGTTTCGTGCTCCGGCTTCCTCCCCAAAACATAGCCCATGCAACATTCATGCAGCCATTCCAATGCGATCTGCAACCCTTCGTCACCACTTCCCTTCTTGACCACTTCCCTTCCTCACCACTTCCCTTCTCCACCACTTACCTTCCTCACCACTTCCCTTCGTCACCACTCCCCTTCTTCACCACTTCCCTTCTTCACCACTTCCCTTCGTCACCACTTCCCTTCTCCACCACTTCCCTTCCTCACCACTTCCCTTCGTCACCACTTCTCTTCATCATCACTTCCCTTCGTCACCACTTCCCTTCTCCACCACTTCCCTTCCTCACCACTTCCCTTCTTGACCACTTCCCTTCCTCACCACTTCCCTTCGCCACCACTTCCCTTCCTCACCACTTCCCTTCGCCACCACTTACCTTCCTCACCACTTCCCTTCCTCACCACTCCCCTTCTTCACCACTTCCCTTCCTCACCACTTCCCTTCGTCACCACTTCCCTTCTCCACCACTTCCCTTCCTCACCACTTCCCTTCGTCACCACTTCCCTTCATCACCACTTCCCTTCTTGACCACTTCCCTTCCTCACCACTTCCCTTCTTCACCACTTCCCTTCGTCACCACTTCGCTTCGTCACCACTCCCCTTCTTCACCACTTCCCTTCTTCACCACTTCCCTTCTTCACCACTTCCCTTCGTCACCACATGTAGTGTAAAGTCTCACACCACCCTTCATCAAGGTCAATTCTATTGTTATGTAGTGTAACGTCTCACACCACCCTTCATCAAGGTCAAGTCTCAATCGCGCACCACCCTTCATCATTTCAAGTCTCAGAATTCTATTTGTCCGTAACACGGAAGTATTGCTTCCCAACTTCCTTTGATAAGTAACAAACAAAAAATCCATTGATTCATGGAATGGATTGAGGGGAGACTTTGAAGGAAATCCATCAATTCAGGGGTAACAGCCCATGAATTCCTGCAAAATTCCATCATTTTGCATCAATCCACTGATCCATTCGTTGGGCCGACGTGAGACCTATGAGGCCTGGGCTGCGGCTTCCAGCAGCAACCCCTCGTGGCGTGGTTGGGGGCCTGGTATGGCCTGGTGGACGGGACAAAGGAATGGTAACTGGATCAGTAACGTGTCACCATGTCCATATTATGTTCCTTGGTGCTCGTATATATATATATATATGTTCTTTTGATTTGTAGTCTAATATTTGCTGAACAAGTGATTCATGTCGGGAAAGAAAACATTGTATATGGAGCATATGGGATATATAGAAAACTGGATGAATTAACCGTTGCTTCTTCTCCACATTTTGATCCCTGGGTCCTGTACATCTAAGTGGGAATCCACTTGTTGATGACTGCCAAGCTAGATTTGGAAGATCGGAATTTGGGTCATATTCTGCGAGTTTTCAATCCACTTGTTTTGTACGTGTCCAAGAATCAATCCTCCCATATTTGGCCCAGTTTTCCACCAACTTTCACCATCACAGCATGTCGCAACTTACCCCAGCACGGCCCTTGGAGGACATAGTGCCCCGCAAGCCCCACAGTCGACGCAAGGTGCAGCACTTCTTCGGTTTTATATATATGGGATGAACGTGGATGGACATCCATATATAATTATCATTGATTATCTATGCCAGCTACATTGATGTGAACAGAAGGGTGCCAGGGCTTTGATCTATAGCTAGGTTCCTGCATGTTCTTTTTTTTGTGGGGTGACCAAAAATAACATTGGAGGAGCTCACCATGATTTTTTTTTTGAAATCGATTTTGTTTTGGTCACTTTTGACACGAACTATACACTTTTTTGGATGTATTCTCGTCCAATTGTTTGGGATAGAACCTGTCATCCACAATGGTTGGATACAACAAGCACAACGGCAATATCAGGGTGGTAGCGCAGCCAGCATTGGCGATTATCATTGTGACACCGTCGTTGACACACACCTGGGTGTGGGTCGCGGCCTGGGTGGACATCCTGTGACAGCAGATCCCAAGAAGAGCACAGATTGTGCCGCAAAAACATGTGTTCAGCAGCAACAAAGCTGAGAAGAGACTACAAAAATAGGAGTTAATGGACATAGTGGAGTCTACATAAAATTTAACACACCTGTTGATTAATGGAGATGGGTCAGTTCATATTGGACATGTTTCTCTGGACGAACTATATAATGTTTCTTCTCCCTTGAAGATTTTGGGGAGGGTCAGTAGAGCACCATCAAAAGTCGGAAAAATAATCAACGTGTCCATCTTTTTGGGACTCCAGGGACCGAACAAATCTGCCAGCGCCATGGATTCCATGGATTCTACGCACTTGAAACTAACCTGGAACCCCATTAACAACAAAAATGCGGAACTGATCCACTTTGGTGGTGCATCTTAGTTTACCCCATTCCATCCCATGGTTGAAAATCGTGTAACACCCCCTGTTTTTTTCTCAATTTACCGTAGTTCAACACCTTACCTAAGCCATTTACGTACTCTGAAACTTCATGTTTCCCCATTGAAAAAACATTGTGAAACTTTTTTCCCCTTTCGGCTGCTTGGGCAGGTCTCTCCTGGCCCTGGGGCCAGGTGCCACAGGCACAGGTGCCGCAGGCTCCGGGAGCCCAGCTGGGAGACTTCCGGTTGGATTGATCGATTTCTGATGCTTGGGGAAGCAACCACCTGATGATATGCATGGAGAATGAAGAGATATAAATAGATAATGAATGGATCATGAATGATCATGAACGGACAATGAATGGATATGATATATGGTAATCGATCTAAAGGTCCATGTAAGGAGTTTTAATTGCGAAAGCCGTGCGTGTTAAGTTGGAAACCCTCGCGAAAGTTTTTCTCGAGTTCGCGAAAGATTTTTTTCGCAAAAGTTGGCTACTATGAATCATTATCATTGTATACATTACGGCTTGTTAAGGGCTACCACCTCCTGCCGCCCTGGTCCGGCAGGAGAATGGCACTGCTCCATAGGTAGAAGCCAAGCTTCCGAAGGTGAGCCAAATACCATCGTTTTGAAGCACCTCCTTGCACCTGCCACTGGTACTGCCTAACGTTGCTTTCTGAAGTCTCAAGAAGCAAGCTCCAAATGTAGCCAAACTTCCAAAAGTGAGGCTTTGCGAGAGCCAGACACCAAGGTCCCTGGTGTTTGCTTTTCCTCTGATGCGCCATGGCTGGGGTCTGCGGATAGTGGTATTTTCGCGAAGGTTCCGCGAAAGTTCTGCGAAGGAGCGGGCGAAAGTCAAAACGCATTTTGAAGGGAGTGGCCCAGTAAGCCTGGCAACAAATTGCCTAATTAGCAACAACTTGTCCTGAGAAGGGGATTCCGTGATGCTAGCTGCATGTTTACAAGGCTGTGAAGAACTTATCCGTGATAATTTTGTGTGATTTGGCAGGTGATGAATGAATCTTTATAAGAGGAGTTGTTGCTCAACATGCGTTCCGCGAAAGATAAGCATGGAGGTCGCGGAAGATTCGCGAAAGGTTTTTGTTTTTCGCGAAGAATGGCCGTTCCCAGATGAAGGAATTTTGATCAACAACCATATATAGCAACCACCAAGCAGATGCCGAGTGACCAGGATGTTCGTTCGATGATATGTCCTTTATATTTCAAGGTTTTCCACTGTTCTATCTTTGTGTGGGTTGCTGTACTCTGCACTTAACACTTTCCATAGTTAATGGATATGATCGGGGATAATTGATGATAATTGGTAATTGATCATCCCATAACTATGGGACATTGCTGGATATTCCGTTTTGAATTAGTAGCAATTTATTGGAAACAATTCCATGAATATAGTCAATCATTATCAAGCATCTGAAATCTTTTCCAACGGGATAGACACAAGTAAATAGTTTTATTTAGCTTCCTATGGGATAATGATACAAACAATATACTTAAGTCAAAATATGTTAACCAATTTTAAATGATAGATAGATGGTAGTATTTCAATATTTCCATAATGGCTGGGGTATTCATAGCTAATGATAACTCACGGGGATAATCAGAACTGACGACAACGATAGTATACAATTAATGGAACGGCTATGATTTCGGTTTTACAGTTTGTTGTGGAACATGGTGCCGGTGCCTCTCAGAGGCGGTGCGTTTGTGAGTGTTTAAGATACATTATCATTTTCTGAACTGTCAAAAAACGGCGGTTTTCAGTGATTTCATCTGAACTTGACCCTCGAAAAATGTTCAAAATCCATGTAAAGGTTTGCTCAAGAATTTGTTTTCGACAAATAGTCCAATACATCGGACGTGTTTTCCATTTCGGACTGGGATTAATGCCACAACCTACCCGGAGCTTTATGACGTAGCAGGAAGGAAAGTATATACTGTACTATATACCTTAGTTCTCTTACGAAGCAGCAAGTCAAATATTTAAGGTAGCCGGAAGTGCTTGAGAAGTTCTTATGACGCAGCAGCAAGTCAAATGGTAATGTAGCCGGAAGTGCTTGAGAAGTTCTTATGACGTAGCAACAAGTCAATGTTTAACGTAGCCGGAAGTGCTTGAGAAGTTCTTACGACGTAACATTTTTTCACGTGCTCCCAGTATAAGGACATTATTACCCCAACCCACCCCAACATAGAGCAATTGAAGAGAAACCTAGACGGGGGAGATAGAAAAAATACATTACATTGGAATAAAAAACGTGCCTGCACGGCCTCTTACAGGTGCCGCCACCTGGAACATGGGCCATTTATTTTCATGATTTACCTCTTTTAAACATGATGTTTACACAGTTATTTATCTTGAATATCAGAAATGATAAGTATTTCCATAATTAATGGTGATATTCATGGATTCAACAAGAATAATCCGGGATTTTCATAGTTTGTGAAAACATATTTGGATTCTTGCATTTTTGGATGGAGGATGATAGCTTCCTGACTGCCCCCAATATGTCAAGGATGATGCAACCCTCCAAGAAAATATCAACACTTTTTTAAACTGCTATGGTGTTGCGTGGAGATTCCACTAACTCACCCAGCATCTGGGTGACCCCGATAATAAATGGTTAAGATTCACCCTGATTGTTGGTGTTGTTGTTATTGGGGTAGTCATCTTTAGGGCGGTTGGCTGAATCCCCATGAGTGTTTGTGATGCCTTGATGCAATCTTTCGTATTACGCAATGACTTGGATGTGCCAAACATGTATGTACACTTTATAGTCTCGCCCCTGCTTGCTGATGATACCCAGTGTAGCTGCTCAGATACCCTTGTTGTTCTCATTGACCCTTCATCGTTACCTACGGTATACTCATTTGTGGTTTCAAACATTTTTGTTTAAATAACTATTGCCATTTCCATCCTTACTTGGAATGGTGATCCGAATTGACTTTCATATCTTCCCTGTGGGCTCCAAGCTAGCAAGCGGATTTCTGTGGATGGGGATGACTTCAGCCCAATTGACCCCTGCAACTACCAAGGCCACTAACCTGTGCCGTCACAACATGGGCCAAGTACTTGCGTTGCTTGACGGAAACCATGAGATTGGCAGAATGGGGGTCTTGCAGAACCCTTGCCAATCATAGGAGGGATGCCTTGATTTGTAGCCATCAAACAGTGAGAAAATGATGTTCTAACCGTGCTGGAACTAGGGGTATCTTGAGAAAGGGTATTATTTAAGCCCTCATCGTTCAAATCGTGTGGTGAGATAGCCAAACAACGGTTGGCATTAGTCGTATTCTGGGGTACCACTGAAATTCACCAAAGTCGTCATTTGTAGGATCTAACACTTTTTTTGCCCACCTGCCAGGTGAGGGTCTCTAGATTATTTCAGAGTTCTCAACTGCGACCTACGAATCTCAGTTTGCAGTGCCGGACCTCAACTGCGAGCTCCAGATCTTAGCGGGCACTGCCGGGCCTCAACCACGAGCGCCAGATCTCAGTGGGCACTGCCAGGCCTCAACACATGTCAGAGAGAATGTCTATATTATATATATATACCAGATACAGTCAAGGGTCAAAGTCGCAGCGATTCTTTACTTTTGAGTCCATACCACTGGGCGAAGCTCTTCAGGGGGGGTCGTAGCGATTGTGGCTGTGCCCTATGGGATTTTTGCGATGATTTGTTGAGTCGTTTTAGAGGTTGTGTGGGTAAAATCCATGTATATACTGTCTTTCCGTTGGGTTCTTGGATGACCACACGAAATATTATTTGCTGAAGTTGTTTAGCATATTTAGCTTACATGGGGGAAACGTCCCCTTGGTCATTCCTCCTACATACCTCTTTTGGATGGGACGGAGGTTTATCTTCTTTACTTGATTGTTTGGGATGAAGAAGGGGCGCGGTGGCGCAGGGAGTTGCACACTTCATTTTGTGGTCAATGATGGCCCTGGGTCCTGCGTTTCACAGCTCATGAGTATATAAGGGGTCGTTCGGGGGGTCGTTCGGGGGTCATTAGGGGGGTTGTTCGGTTTTATTTCCAGCACTTGTTTTCATTTGTGTTCTTTGTTTGTTCCTTCTAAAACCTTCTTCTCTTGCTTTCTCACAGGCTGTCACTTCTTCTCTTTTCATCTTTTTCCTTTTGTTCACTCCGTCTTACTCCTTCTCAAATCAAACCAATCTGCCAGGTTTAGGGTTTAGTAGAGTTTGCAGAATGATTGTTTGTAATGCGAAGTATTGCTGGCAGAAGAGTAGTCTGCAGTGCGAGGGGTGCGCCCTTTAGTGTACCCCCTTGTGTTTTGGTGCATTGCTGTGACCCTGCTGTGCCCCGGTCGCGGCGACTTGTCCGCAAGCGATTTATCCACATTCAAGAAAACTGCTCTGACTGCAGCCCTCGACTGTATTGCCAGATAGGATGCCATAATAGAATGCCAGACTGAATGCCTGTATAGATGCCCGATTAGATGCCAGATAGGATGCCTGATAGAATGCCAGAATAGAATGTCAGAATAGGTGCCAGATAGAATGCCAGATGAGAATGTGAGAATAGATGCCAGATAGAATGCAAGCTATAGAATGCCAGACTACAATGTCAGAATAGATGCCAGATAGAATGCCAGATTAGAATGTGAGAAAGAATGTCAGAATAGATGCCAGATAGAATGCAAGCTATAGAATACCAAATGGAAATCAGAATAAATGCCAGAAAGTCAGCCAGAGAAAAATCCAGAATAGATGCCAGGAAGGATGCCAGAGAGAAATGTCAGAACATACGCCAGATAGAATGCCAGAGTAGAATGTCAGAATAGAATGTCAGATTGAATGCCAGAAAGAATGCCAGACTGAATGCCCGAATAGATGCCAGAATAGATTGTCATATAGAATGCCAGAACATATGCCAGAAAAAAAACAGAACACATGCAAGAAACAAATATCAAAATAGATGTCAGAAAGGGTGCCAGATAGGATGTCAGCATAGATGCTAGATTGAATGCCAGAAAAGAATGTCAGATCGAATGCCCGATAGAATGCCAGAATAGAATGTCAGGCGATTATACCATATATACTTCCAGATAATATGTCAGAAACAATGACAAAATATTTTGTCAGGGTGGGGATCACTCGAAGTATAGTATTTTTGTGGATAGTTTTGATTTATTAATCCCCATTGTTTGGGATCTGCGTTGCTTCAACCTTTTACAAATCATTTCCCCGGTTTCCCCAGGAGGATTTGGGGTGTTGGACCAACTTGTGAATGACAAGTCTCCATGATATGTTAAAATAATCAGAAGTCATTATACATTATGTGGAAGATCCACCTCTGATCATTGCAGTCTTTGTAAAGCCCTTTTTCATTGATGAGCCTGGGTACTGGGGATCATTGGAACCCATTTTGGGAGTCCCTATCAAATAGCCTTTTACGGACATGTCAGGGTGTTAACATTGCACATATGTTCGGGCATCTAATGACCCATCACCAAAAAAAATCCTCAGCATTCAGGATCTCTTTCAGCTTGGTGGCAGTGTAGTGCATGGGAGTGACGCTTTCGCATAGCTCTTGGTAGAGCCAGTCCATTTGACTGCAGGATTTGGTTGATGCTGTGATAAGCCTTTATGGTTGCGTCCATTTTACGGTACTTTACCCACTGTGGGGAAGCAGCAAAGGTCTGCGTCACTCCCGAGCAATACCACGCGACAGTTCAGGGTAACCATGTGGATCAGATTCGGGAACATGCTCCTCCCATCATGTCACACCTGGAGTCGAACGCATGCCAGAGATAGTGTCAGATAGAAGGCCGGACAGAATACCAGATAGAATGCCAAACACAATGTCGGAATACATGTCAGATAGAACGGCAGAAAAAATGCCAGATAGAATGTCAGAACATATATCAGATAGAACTTAAGGATAGATGCCAGAATGAATGCTTGAATAGAATGCCGGAAAAGATGCCAGAAAGAATGTCAGATCAGATGCCAGATAGAATGCCAGAAAGAATGTCAAAATATGCCAGAAAACATGCCACAGAAAATGCCAGAGAAAATGTCAGAAAAAATGTCAGATAGAATGGGACACAATATATATATATATAATACATATATATATATAAATAAAAGTCCTAAGGCCGTACTTGCTGAGTCCTTGCCGAAAGTGGCACAAAAAAGGAACGTCGCCGAAAAACCATAGCAATGCTGAGGTTCTACGGCCGAGGGTTTATAGCAATGTTGTTGGATTCCACGGCCGAGGGCACGATTTCTCATGATTTTTGAGCTGCTATGTGTACCTTTTAGGGCCGCTATGTACCTTTTAGATTTTTTTAGGGCCCTGGGGCCATACTTTTTAGGGTCCTGCTCACGATTACTCACGATTAATTACTCACGATTAAGGATGCTATATAGCAATGTTCCTTTTGAGGTCCGGGACCTCAAAAGGTACATTTAAAGGGTGTTTATAGCAACGTTCCTTTTGAGGTCCGGGACCTCAAAAGGCACATTGATGTATCAGACATGGACGATTTTTTTTGGTCCACTTTCTACGGATATTCATGAGGATGTACTTTTGGAATCCTCGGACTTCCAGGGTATATTTTTTTTGCCATATACTTCCAGGCGACATTTCAGACGCCATGCCAGAATAGTGTGCCAGGGTGGGAACCATTCGAAGTATATTTGTAGTTTGGGACTTGGATCCTGTCTTTTGGTATGACAATAAACCTTTTCTTGCCAAACTGAGGCCGCAAGCCATGAGCCCACAGATGAACGCACAGATGAACGGACAGATGAACGCGCAGATGAACGCGCAGATGAACCCGCAGATGAACGCGCAGATGAACGCGCAGGTGGGACCAGCAGAGTTTGGGGGTGTTCAGCAGCAAATTTGGGCTGAGGGCCACGAATACGGAGGAAGAGTAGCCAGATATATCCGAAGCATTCTGAACCGTACTCTGTCTATTCATATAGAATCGGTAAAAACTGATTTAAAATAGATTATTTGTTTAACTTCAATCGTGCTCTCAGGATATCTGGATGTGATTGGATACTACAAACGCTGTCTTCCTGCATCCCTGAATCCCTGGTCCATGAGTTCACGAAAACATTCTGGAAATGAGGGCGAAAAGGGGGAAATGGTTTCTTTCTGGCACCCCAATCACCACCTATCATCAATATCACCATCAATATCCGTAAGCTAATTTTATCTTCACCCCTCAAAAACTAAAGGGCCCTCCGGTATGGGCACCGCTGAGGCGCCACCGCCACCTCCAACTGGCGACAACCTGGGGACAGCCCCTTGGCGCCGCGAGCCACCCAAGAATCAGGACACGGATATGGCAATGGATCCAGAATTCCCCATATCGTTGAGTTGGATTATATAAATAATTATAGGATGAATTAGACCAATGATTGGGTTCATGGTGGGTATGTAGATATATTATGATATATTATATAAATTAGATTGGGTTATATATAATATTAATATTATATATATATTTCATTATAAATCAACTTTATAACTGGGAGGCCTTGACTGTAGATTTTTCGTCATTTCTCCTATCTCACATCAAAGAATTGAATAGTTTCTGTCAAAAGTTTGGAATCCTGGACGGGAATTGTATAGTACTCAATAACCCATCGATACCCTCAAGTGAAGTACATCCACCAAGTAGGTTCTGGGTGCTCGCAAACACCCTGGGGACATCGCGTTTAACTCTGCAGTATTTGACATGATTTCTGCTGCAATTGGCATCCCTGCCAAATTGCCCTCGCATCAGCTTACCTTGGATTAGATATCTTGCTGGTCTGTGGTGATATTTACAGACCCCCCAATGATGAGACCCCCATTCCCCTGGTCGTCGGTCGCTTTCCATTTCCTGTTGGGGTCATGCCAGCCACTCGGACCCCATCCATGGACCTTTCGGTCATGAGATGTCATGAGATTTCTTGCCAGGAAGAAAACAACATGCTGGCTCTGCCTGGAATGCTCCAATCCGATACTGGCGAGGATCGCGGGGAGTGTCCAGCAAGGATAGAAATTATCGAACAAGGGGTAGGATAGTAGAACAAGGAATTTCCAATCAAGAGCGAAGCACACTGTAGGAGGTGCTCGTTGTCATAGGTCAAATAGAAGATACGATTTGGAATTCAGAAACATCAGATCGAAAATTACGCTGGGTTCATCTATGATTGGCATGTGTTCACCTTGCGGGTCTAGGGAGCTAGAATCTGGACTATGGACATGGGCTTTCAGCCAAAAACTTGAGCAGATTACGAGTAAGCAGCTGGGCCCACTCAGAACTCGGGTGCTTCCCATCTTAAACACATGATCCTTAGGACAATCACGGACGGTCTGGTAGATTTTGATAATTTTGGTGCATAGCGTCGTTTCAGCAGAGACTTCCTGGTGGTGGTCAAAAATGTTGGCTCGCTGGGTCCAAAAACCATCACCATCAGAGTTTGGTCAGCCCTTTTCTGGATCCGAAAATCACGGCCGCACAGACCGCTCAAGTGATTTGTTTCATATGTTGGCCATGGTTCATACTGGTAGCTGACTGATTGTTCATTATTTAAGTGTATATATATATATATATATCGTATTCATCATCATCACCGATGGCCCGTGCTAGGTGAGAGCAGTGTCCATGGCCGAGCAAATGAACAGGCTCAACGCCATGAATCCAGTGCCGGAGCTGCCGGCTCGGCAAGCCAAAACGCAACCTGCGACTTGGCGTGGCAAAGCCTGGCATTGCGTGGACAACATATATAATCATTTTTGTAGACCTGTATATTCCATATTGAACTTTTTGGTTTTGGGCCAACTTTACCGGCAATGGTTTAGTTTTTTCCAAATAGTTCAAAAACGGGAAAGGGTTGAAACAGCTCAATTCGTAGCCCATCCTTGCCAAGATCAAGTTGCACCAGGTATACTGCATGTTTACCATATAAAACATCACAAACGCATGTTGAACATCAAATTATCTCCTTGAACTTTATCTGTTTTATTATCGTTTTATGTATTTAATTGTTCATTTCTGGATCTATGTTAATTTTCATATTCTTCGTACAGTTTATACACATTTATACACATCACGTTAACAGTCATGTTGTCCGGGGGAGGTAGCTCCATATTCCAATTCCATCAGTTCCCGGCGAAACCAGGATGCCAGACAATGGGCGGCTACACCGACCAAGGAGACTTGGATCCTGCTTTAAGCCATAGGTTTTCATGGATTTTGTATGGATTTTCTTTGACTTTTCTGTGAATGTTAGAGATATTTTTCTACTGGTAAAAATGGAACCTACTTTGCTGGTAAGCCGCAAACAATGGGAATTTAGGAATGCAACATGGGGATCCAAAGAACAAGGATTGGACTGGATTGAACCGACTGAAATGGCAGCTTCACTAACTAAACATATATGGATTTTATCCCAAATAAGGAGTTGGAACCCCATTTCTTAAATTAGTATGTGTCAAAACCATAGTACTAAAGGTTTCACACCCAAAACGGTGAAAACATCTGAATGTTCATCCCCTCTGCTCGTCCCATCGGTGGCATGAGCATTTAGTAGTGGATCTATTCATGGGCCCAGTCATGCAGGTGATTAGTATGATTGGGGGATTATCGCCTTTACATCCTCAGATTCCCCAAATGGGGGCTCAATCCTATCCGCCTATCCCAACCTTTTCGCGTGGCCGTTGCAGGAGGTAAAGGACGACTTAACAGGTCGCATGTTGGGGTTGCAGGCAAATATGAAGCATGAGGAGGCGCTACAAGGGTGGACATTTCAACCGATTTTGATCTTTTCTGGGAGATGACATGTTGGATTGTTTTTCGTTGGATCGAGACAGTGTTAATTTCTTTTCAACGGTAATTCTATGTTGATCTATTCGTAATTTCCTATGGGCCCGCAATGATTTGCAACCAAAACCATGTTGCAACGAAAAATGTAGGTCGTGGGTGCGCTGTGCGGATATATACACAATTATCGAAGGAAGTTTAGAAGTCAAACTTCCGACAGGGCAGAGGCAGAGAGAAGAGGAGAGTAGAAGAGAGAAGATCAGAGAAGAGAAAGAGTCAGAAGAAAGAAGATGCAGATGCGCGAAAAGGTAGGAAAGTCGCGAAACACTGTGTTTTTCCAATGATTTGAGGCTCCGGAGGGTCGAAAAGTAGGCTCGCTAAAGCGGCGGGTGCGAAGCCAGCTGGCCAGATGAGAGATGAAAATTTGCACGCCGTTGTGGCGCGAAGCACATTTCGAAGTCAAAATGCACAAAACACACCATGGTCGGAGCACTTTTGGAAGTTGAGATGTCGAAAAAGTGCACGCCGTTGTGGCGCGAAGCACACTTCGAAGTCAAAATGTACAAAGCACACCATTGTCGGACCACTTTTGGAAGTTGAGATGTCGAAGAAGTGCGCGCCGTTGTGGCGCGAAGCACATTTCGAAGTCAAAACGCACAGAACACACCATTCTCGGACCACTTTTGGAAGTTGAGATGTCGAAAAAGTGCACGCCGTTGTGGCGCGAAGCACACTTCGAAGTCAAAATGCACAAAGCACACCATTGTCGGACCACTTTTGGAAGTTGAGATGTCGAAGAAGTGCGCGCCGTTGTGGCGCGAAGCACATTTCGAAGTCAAAACGCACAGAACACACCATTCTCGGACCACTTTTGGAAGTTGAGATGTCGAAAAAGTGCACGCCGTTGTGGCGCGAAGCACACTTCGAAGTCAAAATGTACAAAGCACACCATTGTCGGACCACTTTTGTATACTTTTGTAGGCTCAGATGTCCTGCTAATGTTACACACGCAGTATATAACGGTATATAGGCTAACGGTGGCAAAATTGTATAGCTGATATACCGCAGATGTGGCGTTCTAGGGGCTCCCCATGATGGGAAACTAATGGACCCCCATTCCCAGGAGCTTCCGACAATCTTCCCATACTACCTGAGTTTCTGCAAAAATGAAGGATACCTCATTTTAGGGCCATTCAATGGGAAAAATATGGCTAATTAATTAAATCGTGATCAATCATGATATTTGGAGTAATTGTCAGACAAATCTGTAACCTTTTCCAGTGGCGCAGGTGTCGACTTCTCAGCCTTCCCAGCCCAAGATCCACATGAACAAACCTCTGGTCAACTATCAGGCCAATGGGAGGCTGTTCACCCCAACCAAGTAGATACCCATCAAATCCCAGGTACAGAAGATACACATAGCATTACATCTCTCTCTCTCTATTATATATATATATTAAGACATATATCATATAAAAACATTAAACAACATACACATATATACATATAAATATATGCGTGAGATCTTCAACTCTTTAACTGTTTGGGCCTTTCTAAGATCATATAAGATACAAATACCATTCATGTGATGGCATTCCTGCGGATTTGTTCGGTTCATTTTAGGGTTAAAATTCATCCAAAATGACTGAACCACATGGGTGGCCTTAGATGTTTTTTGGTCTGATGTTCCACCCGCCTAACTGTTGGAGTTGGTTGGGATATATTCTGCTTGGCTATCTCCATGTGGATTTGGATTTGTTGCCTGCAGAAACTGTCAGGAGAGCGACTCTTCCACTGAGGAGGTCCGTTGGCCTTGGTGGTAAACATCAGAATAGCTGGAAGCATGGGGCTAGTTAAAAATATTTATGGATGCTCTTCCCGATTCACCTCCAGAAGAGATCCAAAAAGTGGTATTCAAGGTTTTAAGATGTGTTTCTGTTTTTATCACTTTTTATCCATTCCCATCTCGTGAGATTACTAGATTTTTTTTTTGGACATGTGACAATGTGGAATGTCGGCACGCGCGATTTGCCCATTGATTTGGAACTCCTCTTGGCTTCGAGGGATGTGTGAACTTCGCGGGTATCATACATCTGGATATTTTTTTTGTTTCTCAGGAGTTGAATTTGGTTGAGACCCGATAAGGTTGGTGAATATGTTCATTTTTTGGATGACGCCGACAGAGAATGGGTCAGCATTGAGCCCGTGCAAGCGATGTGCCCCGCGAGAAAGGAAAGTGACAGCGACTCCGATGCCAGAGAGGCGGAATCCCAAGGGGAAAAATGCACATTTCCGACCACCTATAATATATTATATATACATTATACTGTTTTGGGCCCGGGGATCAACATTTAGCAGCTGTTTTGGTGTTAACACGAGGGCAACAGGGGATCACAACCATGTATACAAATCTATGGGAGTTCGATGGAACTAGCTTGAACTTGTGATGTTAGAACTGGGAGAAATGATGAATTTGTCCTTGATGGCGGATGATATCATGATACTCGATTTCAATTTCCATTGTTTGATGAACCCCATCCTAACTAAAGTCTTCATCAGGTCGTCCAGGAGGGGCAGATATCAGATTCAGTTTCCTTGAGGGAAATTTACTCGTACCTTGTGGTACGCATTTCAGACGCCAAGGGCCAAATAATTGGAAGAACACGTTAAACCAATTGGTTCAAGAAAGCTTGTCAATTCCTGGTATCTGAGAGATGTTTGAGAACAGGCTCTCACATGTTTTAGCCAATACCAAAGCCACAAGTTATGGCCAGTCGCATTGCAGGATGTGCCAATTCTTTGTCGGTTTGTCTTCTTGATGCGGGGAAGTGATTGTGAAAGCATTTCCCGAAAGTTTCTCCAAAGCAAATAACCCCAAGACTGAAACGTGTCGTACCTCAAAACTTTAGCGGTGGCACTACCACTCATTGTTTATCATTTTTCGAGGTGTTTCATCTACTGACGAGGCCATAGTTTTAGGAATTGCCTCAGCTGTGTTCCTCGACGACGTAGCTTGTACATTGTGCAGTACTGCACTTCCTCTGACGTCTACTTCATTTATATAAATAATTATAAATACATGGACTTGATCTGTATCTTTACATTACATACTTACATGTTGACAAGGATCTGAATGAGTTTGTATCCAGCAGTCACCGAGTCACCGAGACTTGTATGAAGCTATCTTGTTGCCATTGTTTGGATGTCCATGCTTAACAATGATGATGGGCGACACACTGCTGGTACAAGTTCTCCCAGGCATATGCTTCGGTGGATCCTTCTTGCAACCCCCCTGACGAGAAATGACCTCATACAACCTCCGTCACTACTTGCATCTACTTGCAGTATACATTGTCCCCAACAGGAGGTTTGATCGGCAGTCCAGTTTCCCGCTAAGCCAGGAGGCTGAAGAGGGGAGCAAAGACGATGAAATGGCTCGCTATTTGCAGAAGGCGGCCCATAAAGCTTCCTTAGTCGCAGCAGCCACCGCACGGGGTCACATGAAGAAGATGCGTATAGTTCAAGTCACTGGGTGCACCAAGTTGTTGAAGTGCTCAATTTTGATCCAGACGCATACGCGCAATAGATGGGTATCAGCCATAGAATTTGGCCAGATACATAAGGTTTGGGAAACGACCCTCGGGTGGGGGATGTTGGGAGGTGATAATTCCAACTGGGGACCCTTCTGTTATAATTATACATGTTTCCACAAACTTGTCGCTGTGTGGTGTCAGATGTTTCTGAATATGTTATATCACATGTTTGATATTCAGAGGGCTGATGATTTGAGTCTATGATTCTATCATTGATCAAAGTTGGAAAGACGTTTCCAAAGTTCAACGCTCAAAATGACCAATCATTTCTGTCTCAATTGGTAAAATGTGGTAAACGTTTGAAGCATACTCTGACAGAATTGGTTGAAGGAAAAGTTGACAGGAAATCCCAATGTTAAATATTGTTTACCATTGAGTAAACACATGTAAATGATGTAAAATCCATTGCTTTCGTCTAGAAATTCCAAACAATCCCTTAGTGCCTGCGGTCCAGGAACTTGGTCAGGATGCAGCTCAGGCAGAGGGTGAAGCCAGTAAAGCTGAAGCGAGAGCAGGGTGGTTTACAAAAGGGTGATGTTGACAGAGGAGATATATGGAAATATCAGGAAGCCAGTGGAACATGTTGGAACTAGGGTTCATAATGAATAATGACCCATCCAGGTACCGAACATGGAGGTAGCGTGCAGTAGGCGGTTCAAGGAATGGCCCCTCATGGGTTGAAGACAGAAATAGGTGTTACACCATGCGCCATTTTGAGGATACGGGTGCGCTCACACTGTTGTATGTCAACATTTAGTTCACCAGGAACCACATATGTTGTCGGAAACCATCATCCCGTTTTGGTACCCAGCTTTGACGCATACATCGGTACACGCGGACTGCAGCTACCATCTTTGTGTGCGTGCGTGTGGGTAACTTTCATGCCAGAGAAACACGATCTTTCTACCGTTTCATGATTACCTGTTGCCCTGATTGCATACCATCCTCATAATGTATACAAGTTTGCGCTGTACCTGACTGGAAGATTTTAGAGGTCAATTTGGGCCGTTGTTGGTAAGTGCACTACCTACTACCCATATACTGGCGGAGTACCAGCTATATTATATACCAGATACCAAACTTCCTTTGATCATATGATATATATATATATACCGACTACAAGACCTCCCATGACCGTTACTGCCAAGCTGCAACCTGTATACTACCTACCACCTACATAGACTGCCTTACGCATTAGTTCAGATCTACTTACCTGCTCTCTATACGTATGCTACCTCTAGACTACCATTCAAAAATGAGAGATTCTCTGGAGCACCCTTCAGACTAGGATTCATGATCCAATCAATAGACCACTAGCCGAACGCCTACCTCTTTCTCACAGGGAGCCATTTCTTGAACCCAGAACATATGTAAACAGATGGGATCAGGCTATCACACGGGACTTGTCCATTGTGCGCGCTTCAATTGAAGCTGGCCTGTCTGACAGGATGCGAGGAAACCACAACCATTGGTAGAAGACAAACCAAAGACTGAGGACAGCGTGCCCGGCATATCTGATAGTGTGATATTATATATATATATGATTATATATATATACACATAATGTATACAACAATATACATATATATATGTATATACATAATGAGTCATAATGTATACAACATTATATGATATATATTTAGATTATTCATGGCAATTCATGGTCATTCTATACTTTGAGAATTCAAGTCTTGGGAGAGCAGAAGGAGACAAGTGCTGTTCGACTTGATTACTTGAATTCAGTGTCAATCATAGATTTCAAGACCTCTTTGTTTGATGTTGAGTTCATATTGATGACAGCCTGTCCAGCGTGGGGTTGGCCGCAAGGTGTTTATGTTTTGGATGTGCTTCCCAGCAAACGTTGGGTACGCTGTGCCGTTTTTGCCGTCTACCACATGCCATACAAGACCAAAGTGTTACACGGATATCAGGAAAACTCAACTGTTTGACAGGATGCGAGGAGACTGCGCCCACCGGTACAAGACAAGCCACAGACCGAGGACAGCATGCGCAGCATATCAAGAAAAAGCTGTGATGCTAGTAAATGGTATGGTATGGAATGGAGGGGCATGGATAGTGATTAGCGCAAAGGTCATTCATGGTCCTTCATGGTCCTTCTGGGAGCATGCAATTCTTGGTGAAAGGAACGAGACAGATGTTGCTCGACTTGATGGATTGACATATATTGAATTCTATCATAGACCTTCAGATCTCTTTGTTTGATGTTGAGTTATGTTGAGTTATATTGATGACATTCTTTCCAGAGTTGGGACAGAGCCGCAAGTTGTCCTACATAACCATAAATTATATATGTGTTGATTTTCTTCCCAGCAAACGTTGGGTACACTGTGCCGTTTTTGCCGTCTACCAATTGCCACAAAAGACCAAAGTCTTACGGATATCAGGAAAACTCAACTGTTTGACAGGATGCGAGGAGACTGCACCCACCGGTACAAGACAAGCCACAGACCGAGGACAGCATGCGCAGCATATCAAGAAAAAGCTGTGATGCTAGTAAATGGTATGGTATGGAATGGAGGGGCATGGATAGTGATTAGCGCAAAGGTCATTCATGGTCCTTCATGGTCCTTCTGGGAGCATGCAATTCTTGGTGAAAGGAACGAGACAGGTGTTGCTCAACTTGATGGATTGACATATATTGAATTCTATCATAGACCTTCAGATCTCTTTGTTTGATGTTGAGTTATGTTTAGTTATATTGATGACAGTCTTTCCAGAGTTGGGACAGAGCCTCAAGTTGTCCTACATAACCATAAATTATATATGTGTTGATTTTCTTCCCAGCAAACGTTGGGTACGCTGTGCCGTTTTTGCCGTCTACCACATGCCATACAGGACCAAAGTGTTACACGGATATCAGGAAAACTCAACTGTTTGACAGGATGCGAGGAGACTGCACCCACCGGTACAAGACAAGCCACAGACTGAGGACAGCATGCGCAGCATATCAAGAAAAAACTGTGATGCTAGTGAATGGTATGGTATGGAATGGAGGTGCATGGATAGTGATTAGCGCAAAGGTCATTCATGGTCCTTCATGGTCCTTCTGGGAGCATGCAATTCTTGGTGAAAGGAACGAGACAGATGTTGCTGGACTTGATGGATTGACATATATTGAATTCTATCATAGACCTTCAGATCTCTTTGTTTGATGTTGAGTTATGTTGAGTTATATTGATGACAGTCTTTCCAGAGTTGGGACAGAGCCGCAAGTTGTCCTATATAATTATAAATTATATATGTGTGTTGATTTTCTTCCCAGCAAACGTTGGGTACATTTTGCAGTTTTTGATAGTTTTTGCCAGGTTACCAATCTTCATAAGAAGCCAATCCTCACAGGAAACCAAAGTGTCGCGGATTTCAGCCAAACTCAACTGTTTGACAGGATCAAAGAAAGCAGCAGCCACTGGTACAAGACAAACCAAAGACTGAGGACAGCGTTACCAGTATCTCTATGGAAAAGTGCTATGCTAGTGGATGGTGTGGGATGATAGTTGATAGTAGGTGGGTAGTGACTGGTATAGGTCATTTGTCGCCATTCATGGTCATTCACGGTCCTTCATGGTCATAGTCATTCTATACTTGGAGCATGCAATTTTTGGAGAGACTGCAGTTTTTGCCAGTCTAGCAATTGCCAGAAGAAACCAAAGTGTTTTTTACACGGATATCAACCAAACTCAACTGTTTGACAGGATGTGATGAGACTGCTCACACCGGTGCCTAAGGCTGAGGACAGCGTGCCCAGCATATCAAGAAAAAGCTGTGATGCTAGTGTAGGGGGTAAGATGGTGGTGCATGGTAGGTGATGATACCAGTATGGTGCAAAGGTTATGTATGGTCATTCATGGCCATTCGCGGCCATTCATGGTCTTTCATTGTCATTCCATACTTGGCGCATGCAAATCTTCGAGAGAGGAACGAGACAAGTTTCTTTCATCTGCTTCGCAGCAGTTTTTCCCAGTTTCGGATATTAGCCAAACTCACCTGTTTGACAGGATCCAAGAAAATCACAGCCACTGGTACAAGACAAACCAAAGACTGAGGACAGCGTTCCCAGTATCTCTATGGAAAAGTGCTATGCTAGTGGATGGTGTGGGATGATAGTTGATAGTAGGTGGGTAGTGCATTGTATCTGGCTAGTGCATGGTACGTGGCTAGTTCATGGTCCTTGATGACCATTCATGGTCATTTATGGTTTTCACGGTCATTCTATACTGAGGGCATGCAGTTCTTGAGGAGAGGCAAGAGCCAAATCTTGCTGGACCTGATTGATTAAATTCAATTGAATTCTATCATAGACCTTCAGACCTCTGTGGGAAATTGTTCTGTTTGTTTTGTCTTTCTTTTGCTTCCCAGCAAACGTTGGGTGTACTTTGCAGTTATTGCCAGTCTCCAAATCCCCACGAAAGACCAACGTGTTATGGATGTCGGCCGATCTTACCTGTTTGACAGGATCCAAGAAAATCACAGCCACTGGTACACGACAAACCAAAGACTGAGGACAAGGTTCCCAGTATCTCCATGGAAAAGTGCTATGCTAGTGGATGGTGTGGGATGATAGTTGATAGTAGGTGGGTAGTGCATGGTAGCTAGCTAGTGCATGGTACGTGGCTAGTTCATGGTCCTTGATGACCATTCATGGTCATTTATGGTTTTCACGGTCATTCTATACTGAGGGCATGCAGTTCTTGCGGAGAGGCAAGAGCCAAATCTTGCTGGACCTGATTGATTAAATTCAATTGAATTCTATCATAGACCTTCAGACCTCTGTGGGAAGTTGTTCTGTTTGTTTATGTTTTTCTTTTGCTTCCCAGCAAACGTTGGGTGCACTTTGCAGTTATTGCCAGTCTCCAAATCCCCACCAAAGACCAGTGTGTTATGGATGTCGGCCGATCTTACCTGTCTGACAGGATCCAAGAAAATCACAGCCACTGGTACAAGACAAACCAAAGACTGAGGACAGCGTTCCCAGTATCTCTATGGAAAACTGCTATGCTAGTGGATGGTGTGGGATGATAGTTGATAGTAGGTGGGTAGTGCATGGTAGCTGGCTAGCGCATGGTACGTGGCTAGTTCATGGTCCTTGATGGCATTTGATGACCATTCATGGTCATTTATGGTTTTCACGGTCATTCTATACTGAGGGCATGCAGTTCTTGAGGAGAGGCAAGAGCCAAATCTTGCTGGACCTGATTGACTAAATTCAATTGAATTCTATCATAGACCTTCAGACCTCTGTGGGAAATTGTTCTGTTTGTTTATGTCGTTCTTTTGCTTCCCAGCAAACGTTGGGTGCACTTTGCAGTTATTACCAGTCTCCAAATCCCCACGAAAGACCAACGTGTTGTGGATGTCGGCCGATCTTACCTGTTTGACAGGATCCAAGAAAATCACAGCCACTGGTACAAGACAAACCAAAGACTGAGGACAAGGTTCCCAGTATCTCCATGGAAAAGTGCTATGCTAGTGGATGGTGTGGGATGATAGTTGATAGTAGGTGGGTAGTGCATGGTAGCTAGCTAGTGCATGGTACGTGGCTAGTTCATGGTCCTTGATGACCATTCATGGTCATTTACGGTTTTCACGGTCATTCTATACTGAGGGCATGCAGTTCTTGCGGAGAGGCAAGAGCCAAATCTTGCTGGACCTGATTGATTAAATTCAATTGAATTCTATCATAGACCTTCAGACCTCTGTGGGAAGTTCTTCTGTTTGTTTATGTCTTTCTTTTGCTTCCCAGCAAACGTTGGGTGCACTTTGCAGTTATTGCCAGTCTCCAAATCCCCACCAAAGACTAGCGTGTTATGGATGTCGGCCGATCTTACCTGTTTGACAGGATCCAAGAAAATCACAGCCACTGGTACACGACAAACCAAAGACTGAGGACAAGGTTCCCAGTATCTCCATGGAAAAGTGCTATGCTAGTGGATGGTGTGGGATGATAGTTGATAGTAGGTGGGTAGTGCATGGTAGCTAGCTAGTGCATGGTACGTGGCTAGTTCATGGTCCTTGATGACCATTCATGGTCATTTATGGTTTTCACGGTCATTCTATACTGAGGGCATGCAGTTCTTGCGGAGAGGCAAGAGCCAAATCTTGCTGGACCTGATTGATTAAATTCAATTGAATTCTATCATAGACCTTCAGACCTCTGTGGGAAGTTGTTCTGTTTGTTTATGTCTTTCTTTTGCTTCCCAGCAAACGTTGGGTGCACTTTGCAGTTATTGCCAGTCTCCAAATCCCCACCAAAGACTAGCGTGTTATGGATGTCGGCCGATCTTGCCTGTTTGACAGGATCCAAGAAAATCACAGCCACTGGTACAAGACAAACCAAAGACTGAGGACAGCGTTCCCAGTATCTCTATGGAAAACTGCTATGCTAGTGGATGGTGTGGGATGATAGTTGATAGTAGGTGGGTAGTGCATGGTAGCTAGCTAGTGCATGGTACGTGGCTAGTTCATGGTCCTTGATGACCATTCATGGTCATTTATGGTTTTCACAGTCATTCTATACTGAGGGCATGCAGTTCTTGAGGAGAGGCAAGAGCCAAATCTTGCTGGACTTGATTGATTAAATTCAATTGAATTCTATCATAGACCTTCAGACCTCTGTGGGAAATTGTTCTGTTTGTTTATGTCTTTCTTTTGCTTCCCAGCAAACGTTTGGCACACTCCCCACAAAAGACCAAGGTGCTACGAATATCTGCCAAACTCAACAGTTTGACAGGATTCAAGAAAACCGCAGCCAATGGTACAAGACAAACCAAAGATTGAGGACAGCGTTCCCAGCATCTTTGTGGAAAAGTGCTATGGGCATGTATGTTCATTCATCATTTATGGTTATTCACGTTTATTCATGTTCCTTTATCATTTATCATCATTCCGTAGTTGGAGCATGCAAATCATGGAGAGGAACGAGACAGATGTTGCTGGACTTGATTGATAAAACTGACTTTGAATTCTACAGTATCACAGACCTTCAGGTCTGTTTGTTCGATGTTGATTTGAACATGATCACAGACTTTCCAGCTCTGGGACGGAGCAGGAAATTGTCCTGTTTATCTTTGATTTGCTTCCCAGCAATGGTTGGGCACACGTTGCAGTTTGTGCCAAAGTGTTACGGAATGTTACGGATATCAGGACCCAAAAAAGCCGCAGCCAAACGTACAAGACCAACCAAAGACTGAGGACAGCGTGCCCAGCCTCTCTGTGGAAACATGCTATGCTCGTGGATGGTGTGGGATGGTAGTGGACGGTAGGTAGCTAGGCCATTCATGGTCATCATGGCCCACCATGGTCATTCTACACTTGGAGCATACAAATCTTGGAGATAGGAGCGAGACAAATGTTGCCGGACTTGGCTGTTTGATTGATTGGTTGATCGATGGATTGATTGATTGTGTTTAGTTGTTTTGAGTTTTATCATAGGCCTTCAGGTCTCTTTTTGCAGAGCCGCAAATTGTCCGAAGTTTATGCCTTTGATAGGCTTCCCAGCAAACGTTGGTGCCCTTTGCAATGTTTGCCAGTCTTCCAATTCAAACCAAAGTGTTACGAATGTTCGCCAAACTCAACAGTTTGACAGGAGCCAAGAAAACGGCAGCCACTGGTACAAGACAAGCCACAGAGTGAGGACAGCGTGCGCAGCATATCAAGCAAGATGTGATGCTAGAGGTGACTAGCGCATGGTATAGCTTATTTATGGTCACTGATGGTCATTCATGGTCCACCATGGTCATTCTATACTTGGAGCATGGAAATCCTGGAGGATCAAGACAAATGTTGCTCCACTTGATTGATTTTGCACGTTGTAATTCTATCATAGACCTTCAGGTCTCTTTGTTTGATGCCGAGTTGATACTGATAAGATCCTTTTCAGCGTTGGGATGGAGCCGCAAGTTGTCCTGTTCGTTTATCGCTTTCATTTGTTTCCCAGCAAACGTTTCTTGTCCTATTACCTTATTCCCCAAACAATGTCTTCACACTTGGGGTTGTTACGATATAAGGGTTAAGGCCTGGTGTTGGTTCAAGGTGGTCTCCGGCGTGTCCGGCAGCTTTGGTGCTTATTTTGATATTGGTCTCGTGCCAGATCTACCTCGTTGTGACGCTGTACTGATTCTGTCAAGGAGATCTTGTCAAGGAGATGTTTTTAGATGGCTGGTGCAGAGATCTTGCCAAAGGGATCTCCTGTAGAGACCTTGCGCAGAGATCTCGGATAGAGATCTCTTGCATAGATCTTTCCAAGAGATCTCTTGTAAAGACCTTGTGCAGAGATCTGTTCTAGAGACCTTGTATATAGAGATATCTTACAGAGATCTTGCACAGGGATATCCCACAGCGATGTTGCCAAAAGCTTTTTTGGAGAGCTTGTACAGAGACCTTGTAGAGACCTTGTATAGAGATCTCCTGCACAGATCTTGCCACGAGGTCCCTTACAGAGATTTTGCCAAGGGATCTCTTATCGAGAGCCTGAACAGAAATCTTCTAAATAAGATCTCTTGCAAAGATCTTGCGTGGAGATCTCTTATAGAAATATTGTACCGAGATCGTTTTTAGGGGTCTCTTACAGAGATCTTGAAGAGAGCTTGTGCAAAGATCTTGCCAAGAGACCTCTTGTAGAGAGCTTGATAAGAAATGTTTGATAGAGAGCTTGTGCAGAGATCTTGCCAAGCAATATCTTATAGACACCTACGCACAGAATATCTTGCACAGAGATCTCTGGCAGAGACTTACCGCAAAAATCTTGGCGAAGGGAACCTACGCAGGATCTCTTGCACAGGACCGTCGACAGAGAGATCCTGTCACGGAGATCTTGATCTTACAGAGATCATCACACAAGGAGCTTGCAACACCTACCTTGGCATTTCTTCCTCACGTTCTTTGCAACCCTGTTTGGCATCTCTTGCTGGGATAGTTGGTTTATGTTTTTCATTTCTTTCCCTTTCGCAGCAAACCTTGGGTACATGTTGCAGTTTTTGACAGTCTCTTCACTCCCCACAAATGACTAAAGTGTTGTGGGGATTTAGCACGCGGCAGAACAGGCTGCCACACATCTACATGTCCGGCTATAGCTGTTTTTCCCCCACCTGCCAGGTGAAGGCCTCTTGATTTTAAGAAAGGTGTGCCTCACTCCTTCCTCACCTCCTCAATTTCTCACTTCCTCACTCCTCGCGTCCTCCTCTTCCTTCTTCTTCTGCTACAGTAGCCTCGTCTTCTGCCAGCTTGTCGTCACTGTGGGTTTCAACGGACCTGAATTACCGAAGGTCATGGCGAGCCCCACGGCAGTGTGGGCAGATAGAATGTCAGAATAGATGCCAGATAGAATGCCAGAGAAATGTCAGAATAAAATGCCAGATAGAATGTCAGAATTTATGTCAGATAAAATGTCATAATACACATGTCACAATATATATATATATATGTCAGATAGAGTGTCAGCATATGTGTCAGATAGAATGCCAATGAATGCCAGATAGAAAGATCAGAATATATGTCAGATGGAATTTCGGTTGGTGGGGATCACTGCAAGAAAGTAACTTGTGATGATAGAGGCTAAGATGTGAAGTATCGAAGCATAAATCTGCACATTCAAGTGTGTGTGTGTGTGTCAAGGCAACAATTGTAAGCAGAATGGGGCGTGGTTGCCAGGATCAAAGGAAAATGCAGCCAGGGGTGCAAGACAAACCGAAGACTGAGGACAGCGTGCCCATCATTCTGTGGAAAGTTGTGATGCTAGGGGCTGGTGTGGGATGGTAATGGATGGTAGGGTAGGTGACTAGCACATGGTATAGGTCATTTGTGGCCATTTATGGTCATTCGTGGCTTCGTGGCCATTCGTGGTCATTCGTGGTCGTTCCTGGTCCTTCATTGTGCTTCATGGTCATTCCATACTTTGAGCATCTTTGAGCAGTCAAATTTTGGAGAGGAACGAGACAAGTGCTGCGTGACTTGATTGTTTGACTTTGTTTGAATTTTATCATAGACCTTCAGATCTGTTTGTTTGATGTTGAACTGAGATTGATGACAGCCCCTCCATCGCTGGGACGGAGCCGCAAGTTGTCCTATGTGTTTATCTCTTCCGTTTGTTTCCCAGCAGCTGTTGGGTACACGTTGCGGCTTTGTCAGTCTCTTCACTCCGCACAAATGAACAAAGTGTTGCGGATTTAGCGTAAATCAGAGACCTAGCGGGTTGCCGTACATCTACAAATTTGTCCGGCCATAGTTGTTTTCTGTAGTAACAGCAGTTTGGATACGAAATATCGAAATATTAATTATATTTAATTATTAAATATGCACATTCAATCACATTCATGCGCGCGCGTGCATGTGCGTGTGTGTGTCAAGGCAATAATTGGAAGCAGAATGGGGCCTGGTTGCCAGGATCAAAGGAAACTGCAGCCAGGGGTGCAAGACAAACCGAAGACTGAGGACAGCGTGCCCATCATTCTGTGGAAAGTTGTGATGCTAGGGGCTGGTGTGGGATGGTAATGGATGGTAAGGTAGGTGACTAGCACATGGTATAGGTCATTTGTGGCCATTTATGGTCATTCGTGGCTTCGTGGTCATTCGTGGTCATTCGTGGTCGTTCCTGGTCCTTCATTGTGCTTCATGGTCATTCCATACTTTGAGCATCTTTGAGCAGTCAAATTTTGGAGAGGAACGAGACAAGTGCTGCGTGACTTGATTGTTTGACTTTGTTTGAATTTTATCATAGACCTTCAGATCTGTTTGTTTGATGTTGAACTGAGATTGATGACAGCCCCTCCATCGCTGGGACGGGGCCGCAAGTTGTCCTATGTGTTTATCTCTTCCGTTTGTTTCCCAGCAGCTGTTGGGTACACGTTGCGGCTTTGTCAGTCTCTTCACTCCGCACAAATGAACAAAGTGTTGCGGATTTAGCGTAAATCAGAGACCTAGCGGGTTGCCGTACATCTACAAATTTGTCCGGCCATAGTTGTTTTCTGTAATAACAGCAGTTTGGATACGAAATATCGAAATATTAATTATATTTGATTATTAAATATGCACATTCAATCACATTCATGCGCGCGCGTGCATGTGTGTGTGTGTCAAGGCAACAATTGTAAGCAGAATGGGGCCTGGTTGCCAGGATCAAAGGAAACTGCAGCCAGGGGTGCAAGACAAACCGAAGACTGAGGACAGCGTGCCCATCATTCTGTGGAAAGTTGTGATGCTAGGGGCTGGTGTGGGATGGTAATGGATGGTAGGGTAGGTGACTAGCACATGGTATAGGTCATTTGTGGCCATTTATCCACTGAATCTGTTGGATACCCCACGGGAAGTTTGGAACCCGGTCACCTCGGTTTCAGGAGGCTAAACCTGCAAAGGCGGCCCCTGGCACGAAGGACCGCTTCTTTTGGTGAAGGGTTACGATTTATTGGGCCCGGGGGTGCCCTAGAATCCTAGAAATCTTTGCATTGACCAACAAAAAGAGTGATTTGAGATGATTTGATCAACAACTCTGGGACTCTGGGTTGTTACCCTGGATCCCTGTGGAAAATTGTTGTGTTGAAATGGCACATCTCACTACAATTATATAGTCCGGAAATTACTTGACTTCGAGTGATCCCCCACCGTGACAAAGTTTTGTCATAGTTTCCGACATCTCATCTGAAAGTATGTGTGACATTCTAACATTCTAGTCTCGCATTCTATCTGACATTCTATTCTGGCAATCTATCTAACATCTATTCTGACATCCTATCTGACATTTTCTCTGGCATTCTATCTGGCATTCTTTCTGATATTCTATTAGGCATCTATCCTGACATTCTTTCTGGCACCTTTCCTGGCAATCTATTTGACATTCTATCTGACATTCGTTTCTGGCATTCTATTTTGCATGTATCTTGACTTTCTATTCTGCCATTCTATCTGGCAGTCATTCTGGCATTCTATCTAGCATCTAATCTATTCTGACATTCCCTCTCACATGGGCAATGCCGGACCTGAAAACAACGAGCGTCAGATCTCAGTGGGCACCGCCCACCCAGTGAGATCTGGCGGACGTCCGGCAGTGCCCGGCGCTCGTGGTTGAGGTCAAGGCAACCCACTGAGATTTGGAGCTCGCGGTTGAGGTTTTTTGGCAGTGCCCACTGAGATCTGCAGCTCGCAGTTGAGGTCCGGCAGCTGAGATCTGGAGCTTGCTGTTCAGGTCCGGCAGTGCCTACTGAGATCTGGGGTTTGGAGTTGAGGCCCGGCATGAGGTCTGGAGCCTGCAGTTGAGACTCGCAGTTGAGGTCCGGCAGTGCCCACTGAGATGTGCAGCTTGCAGTTGGTGTCCGGTAGTGCCCACTGAGATCTGGAGCTCGCGGTTGGCAGGGAGGAGGATGGAGGAGGCAGGAGGGAAGGAGGAGGAGGAGGATGGAAGGAGACAAGCAACTTTTATGAATTCTATCACCTGGCAGGTGGGAAACATTATATATAGATCGTCGTATAAAAGAAAAACAACTGAGTTTCCAGCCATCTGAAACTAGTGGAGACCGTATCATGGAATTGATATGGTTGACGCAGAATGACCCATGTGGAGGGCAACGGTTGCTTCAACAGAGGATGAGCATAACATCTCGTGAGCCCCTGGATTGTTTCCCTGCAAGTCGGAAGGTCAAGTTTTACGAGGCCTTTTGCAAAAGACCAAGTTTTACGAGGTCCTCTGGTTTACTTGGTTTTATAGAGCTCAGCCCTTTTTCCCATCAATGCTGAATTTGACTTGAACCCCATTTGAAACTGTTGATGCATGATTGGGAAGCATTCAATCACCTACAGATCATAGCCCCGAATGGGCCTTTCCAAGTTGCAATGAACAGCCACTAAGGCTGACATTCCGGAGCATATGCAAAGCAAATTCGTGGCGTTTCCCCTCAAGAAATTATATGTTTAGCAGAAATTTCCACACTGAAAAAATGGTTCCTAGGGTTTCACGCTCGGTTCACGCTCGGTTCACGGTCATAGTTGGTCTTTTGCTAGTCATAGTTGGTCTTTTGCCGGTCATAGTTGGTCCGGTTCACGCTCGGTTCACGCTCGGTTCACGCTAGCGATTCTGGGCCCCTGATAATTCAAAAACCATACGTTTGTGGTGGTTCCAGCCCTGGACTCCCAATGATAAAATAGTGTGGGGTACCCCCCTATGATAAACCGCAAATTGGATATTTGGTCGGTGAAGGGATGTGGCTATCCTGAAATTTAGGTCAACAATTATGGGTTTATGCATCTTATATATTACTGTTGGACATCCATGGCCATCATCTTAACTTTGGACCCAAAAGGTCCAAGTAATAGTAGGTCCTCATCAAGTAATAGTAGGTCCTTTTCAGCAAAGTTAAAAGGCCAAGTTTTACGAGGTCTTTGACCTGGAGGGTTTAAGCCAAACAACTTATTATTTGTTTGGGAAATGCGCGCGGAACATGATAAACCAGGGTTGATTGATCCAGCTGCAGGGTTGAAACCATGCCAAACGCTCGATATAATTATTTCCATGAAGAATGGATGGAGGGGCCGAAACATATGTGTGAAACCAAGGTTTGCTCACATGTGCTTGATGGGCCATGGAATGCCATGGAGTTGACCGATTAGCTCGTAACTGGGGTAGAGTACAATGTTGCAATCGTATACACCCAGTTTTAGGGAGATTCCAATACTAACCACAGTAGTTGCATAACTATTTTCATTCATTTCTACGTAGTGTTTTTCTTTCTTCCGCGCTTCAGGAGTCGGCGAAGGCGGAAAAGAAAACTGACGCCAAAGCGGCCAAAACGGCCAAAGCGGAAAAGGAAAAGGCCAAGGACTGCATGGCCATGGGGTAATAAACCATTCAGGAATACTAGTGTTTTTTTCAGTTAAGTCAGTTTCAACCCCATTTATGGAATGATAATCGCACATAATTGCAGTTTTGGCCATGGCCCGAAATACCAGTTATAAGTTATAAGTCAGTAAACCACCCCATTTATTGAATGATAGTCGCATAGAATTTTAAAAAACTGGTATATAAAGGGTTTTAACTGTACTAAAGAACATGGGGATTGTTGAGATGACTTTGTCTGAACATTGGGTACCCCAAAATCCATTGGTTAATGATGATGTCTCCTAATGTGGTAAACCCAATGCCATACACCATCCCCAAAATCATCATTTTTATGGGTGGTATGTTTACCATCCCTAAATGGTACATTCGAGTATTGGGTGTCTGATATTACTTGAAATTTAACCATCAAACACGGTTGCTATTCTAGCAACCCCCCAGAGTGATAAAAATTGGATGAAATTGGTATTAAATTGTGGTCAATTGAACCTCTTTTGCATCTTTTTCAGGGTTACTAATTATGATTCAGATGTGTTTTGTATTTTTGAATGTTCTTTAAGTTCTTTAGTTTTATTTCTGGTTTTGATTTGTTGATCCACTACTTTGTTGTTGGATGTTGGATTTCGTTGGCTTGCCGTGGGTAAACGGCCGTGAGTCGAAACGCATTTTCATGCCTGGCTGCCTGAAAATTGAGCGACCCCAAAAGCCGTTTTGAATTGTTTTAATTAGGGCCTTGTCATATGAGCATCTGGCGTAAGCAAAACCCTGGTTGGCGCAAGGTGGCGTAAGGGTTTTTGTTAAGAATGTGCTGCGTAAGCACTGTGCGTAAGCACATGTGTGGCATGTGCAAATCAAAGTAAGAGATTGCCCCTCAACTATGGTTTCCTGGTGTGTTTTCTTAATTGTTCTATTTTTTTGGTTATAATTCCCCAACACTATGGCCACATTCCGCGTAAGCTCCGCGTAAGCAGCGCGTAAGCTGAACTTGACTTTTTGAGTAGTAGCCCACATGCATGCCACATGCCCGCGCAAACAAAAGCCTTTTCGGACCTGCAATGGCGCCAAAGAAACCGCGTCGTTGGAACTGTTTTTGAAATTTTCGAAGCACATTGCCCCTCTGTCGCGTAGCTCTTCTTCCTCTTCTTCGACCTCTAGCTCTTCTTCATCCTCACAACGCTGATGCTGCAAACATATTTGACGGTGAAAACAAGCAGTGGCGTAAGCAAAACCTGTGGTCAGGCATCATTTTTTCGAGATTTCCCAGTGCGTAAGCTCCGCATAAGCTAGTTTTTTCTCATTGTTCTCGCGTAAGATAACACTGTGGCATTAACTTAAGACTTAATGTGTCAAAATGCTTCCTATAGGTAATCAGGGTATGTTGTGCAAGCCTCTTCCTTCTGCTGTCGACGCTCGAACTCGGCCTGGCATTGTTGGTTGGCTGCGCTTACGCAGATCGTTTGGCAGCTGTTCGTGTGTCTGTGTCGGGGTCTGTTTTCGTCTCTTTCTCTCTCTCTCTCTCTCTTTCTCTCTCTCTCTCTCTCTCTCTCTCTCTCTCTCTCCTTACTTGTCTCTCTCTTTCCAGCGCTCTATTGCTAAGCCCGGCACAGCCAGTTCGGCGTCTACTTCCTCGTCCTCGGGATGTACGAGGCGTTGCTATTTCTATCCATCGCGTGATGCTTCCGTGTCAGCATTCTGTCCACGCTTTGTTTTTAGGTGCTTTCCTTTTTCTCCGTCGGTCTGGTTGAAGTCGGTCTGACTGAGGAGGCGACCGTAGGCAGTTTCCGCGGCGGTGGGGCTGGCACCTGCCAGAACAAGACCAATCAGCCCGGAGGCAAGGAGTGACGGCCTTTGCCTCTGGGAAAGCGCGTTGCCATGGAAGAATCTGTTCGAAACAGTTCCTTGCTCAATGCGCAACCGCATATAAGCATATCCGTAAAATCAACAGGCGCCCCCGCTCCTGCTGCCAACGGCAGCAAGCTCAGACTTGACAGAAACGAATCCAGAACAGTCGCATCAAACCACAGCTTTGGAAACCTGTGCAGCGCACAGACTACACAGAGTAGCCTCTCAAAATGTGCGTGGCACAAACGAGACAACACAGCAAACGTCAAAGGAAACCACCAGTCCGCCACAAGCAACCACTCTCATTTCACGGCCTCTGCTGCAGGGAGCAACGCAGCCGCAGCTGCAGCAGCCCCAAGCACAGGCCGGATCAACTGAGAACCGATGCCATGGAAGAATCTGTCCGAAACAGTTCCTTGCCCAATGCGCAACCGCATATAAGCATGAAAACAGTCCATAAAATCGACAGGCGCCCCCGCTGTCGCTGCCAACGGCAGCAAGCTCAGACTTGACAGAAACGAAGCCGGAACAGTCGCATCAAACCACAGCTTTGGAAACCTGTGCAGTGCACAGACTACACAGAGTAGCCTCTCAAAATGTGCGTGGCACAAACGAGACAACACAGCAAACGTCGAAGGAAACCACCAGTCCGCCACAAGCAACCACTCTCATTTCACTGCCGCTGTACACAGAGTAGCCTCTCAAAATGTGCGTGGCACAAACGAGACAACACAGCAAACGTCAAAGGAAACCACCAGTCCGCCACAAGCAACCACTCTCATTTCATTGCCTCTGCTGCAGGGAGCAACGCAACGGCGCCTCCAGCCGTGCCCGGCACAGGCCGGATCAACTGAGAACCGATTCCATGGAAGAATCTGAAGCAGTTTCTTGCTCAATGTGCAACCGCATATATGCATGAAAACAGTCCATAAAATCGACAGGCGCTTCCACTCCTGCTGCCAACGGCAGCAAGCTCAGACACGACAGAAACGAATCCAGAACAGTCGGCTCAAACCACAGCTCAGCTTTTGCAACCTGTGCAGTGCACAGACTACACAGAGTAGCCTCTCATAAACGTGCGTGACACAAACGAGACAACACAGCAAACGTCAAAGGAAACCGCCAGTTGGCCACAAGCAACCACTCTCATTTCACTGCCCCTGCTCCAGGGAGCAACGCAGCCGCAGCTGCAGCAGCCCCAAGCACAGGCCGGATCAACTGAGAACCGATGCCACGGAAGAATCTGTCCGAAACAGTTCCTTGCCCAATGCGCAATCGCATATAAGCATGAAAACAGTCCGTAAAATCGACAGGTGCCCCCGCTCCTGCGTCCAACGGCAGCAAGCTCAGACACGACAGGAACGAATCCAGAACAGTCGTTTCAAACCAACAAAAAACGAGACAACACAGCAAACGTGAAAGGAAACCGCCAGTCGGCCACAAGTAACCACTCTCATTTCATGGCCCTTGCGCCAGGGACCAGCGCAACGACACCGCCTGCGCCAAGCCGCCCGAGCCCTGGAAGACACACGAAACGAAACGAATGGTCCGTGGCCTGTCTTCTCAGTAGGTGTAAAATGAAACAAGGCAGATCACATCTTTTCACCGGCCTGTGGCTGTTTCTGTCACCATCAGGCACGCTCCGTCCTGTAGGCCCTGCACCGCCCTCAGGAATGTTGGACCAACAGAGTGACAGCAGAAAAAGTCCGAACGTATCATATTGGCGTTGTCCCTGAATTTCCACAAGCCCGGTCCTTCCTTGACAGGCGCGGGGCAACGCAGTCACGCGCGAGCGGCACGCGCGTAACCACGCCAAAGAGGCATCGACGCACGATCTGTTCACGAAAAGTTGCCTGAGACCAACAGAAACATTTGCAGGCGGCGGCAGCAAACAAGCGCCCAAAAGCAGCGTGCAGCCCAGCGAAACCGGTGGTCCCGGCACAGATTGCAGAAGCCAAAATTCAACAAGGGGCCAAAATTTTAAAGCCAAAATTTCAAACGAGGACCCGCCGGAAGCAGCACCGCACCCGCGGACCCACAGTGCTCCTGGCCACACATGCCAGGCAAAGGCGGTACCGCCCCGCCGGATCAGCTGGGTGCCGCTGCACGCAAAGTTGGTTTGTCGGATCCTCAGGGAGACTGAGACCGAGGAAACATGAGAGTATTCAAAACACGTCCTGTTTGGACATCGCCTCCCTGTTCATTCGCCAGGGCTGTGGAACTTGGAACAACTTGTTCCATCCACGCCAAACCCGTTGCTACCAGAGAACGGCGCAGCTCTGGTAGCACAACTGGCGCGGGCCTCAGCCCGCTAACCGCTAAATCAGGAGAGCGGCAAGGGCGACGCGCACCGACTTGCGCTAACCGAGGCACAGGCCTTGGGCGTTTCTGAGGATGCAGTGCCAGCGTGGCTCCCCGAGCTACACGCTTGGCTGCTCCTCAAGCCAGTGCATCCGGGCCTGGATGCACCAACAGCCGAGGCCGATGAAACTAGATGAAACACACAAAAAGAAAAAGCAACAGACAGTCAACGCTCCGCCGTGCAGGCAACGAGGGCGGCACGGGCGGCAGAAAAACGCGCGGAAAAGAAGCGGGCGGAGGAAGAGAAGCAAGCAGAGGCTCGGCCGGCGGAAGAAGCTGTCCTGTCGCGAATGCAGCCAGCCAGCGGACGCGGCGCCGCGGCAGGCAAAACGAAAAAGCCAAGAGGAAAAGACCAAAGCCCGAAACAAACGGCGCAGAGAACTGCGCCAACAAGCCTCACAAAGCCAGGACCCTGAGGCGCGCGGGAAAATTGAGAGAGTCCGAGACGCCCGACGCGTCGCCGATGCAAACGCCAGGTCCGGCTGGCGCGCGCGGCCGCCCTCGAAAAGGACAGAAAAAGGAAAGCCCAGAGCTCAGCTGGGCCCCCACGAGAAAAAGAAAGAAAGCAAGGAAAGAAGAAAAGAAAACAAAAAGGAAAGAAAGAAAGAGAAAGAAAGAGAAAGAAAGAGAAAGAAAGAAAGAAAGAAAAAAAGAAAGAACGAAAGAAAGAAAGAACGAAAGAAAGAACGAAAGAAAGAAAGAAAAAAAGAAAAGAAAGAAAAGACAGGAAGAAAAAAGAAAGAACGCAAAGGAAGCACGAAAAAAGAAGAATTTGGCGAGAGCTTGACGCATCACTTAGGCGGACAAGGAGAAAAAAGCTCGCCCCAGCGTAAGCATATCCAAGCGACATGGCAAAGGAGATAGGTTTTTGGCGAGGCTCAATTGGCATTTTTCTGCGGTTTGAAGCTATGCTATCCAAAAAGTCTTCTTGTTGTGGTGAAACAACGATTTTCATGTTTTTTTTCGTGTTGTCGCTGAGGTTTACATTTCATGTTTTTGGTTTCTGCACGTAGAGTTTGCCCAGGGGAGTTGCAGTATTCTTTGTTGGTATGGATACTGTTTCAAATGGGTGTAGCTCAAAAAGTGCAATTACTATCAATTATTTATATAATCAAAAAAACGTGATTAACCAGATTTAGCGGTACCTTACTTTCAGAGAAACCCAGATAAAACAACTTAAGGCAGCATTTGTCGGTCTGTTGGCTGAATGAATCAAGAAGCACTTAAACTGAAAGAGTGTTGACAATTTTCCTCCGCTCTCATTTTTTTTGCTACTTACCCACTGGTAATCAAACATGGGTAGCTAGAAAGTTCCCCATTTACTTTGATGATTTGCCCATTAAAAGTTCAATGTATAGGGGATTTTTCCATTTACTGTAAAACCCGTTAAATCACCATTTTTGTCCCATAGGATTTCCCAGTCATGTTTGATGACACCCGGTAAACGTCCCCCTGGAAGTTGGAACAGGACGCCCTGCCACCAGAATTGGAGGCACAATTCAGAAAGAAGGCAACACGATTTGGGGCACCTGGAACTGTTTCAAGGTGAACGGTTGATAATATATATATATATAATTATAATATATATATATATTTACTTATGATATGATATGGTATGATGTGATATGATATGTGATATGATTTGTGATATGTACAGACAAATTTAAAGATGACCATTTCAATCCTGGAATAGTGCATACCGTTTGGTAATTTAAGACATATATTAAATAACCATGTGTACGGGTAAAAAATCTATACATGGGCCATGTTATTCCATTTCTAGGCTTCATAAGACGAGTCTTTGTTCGCCTTGATCGGATGGTACTGGAAAGAACCCGTGTATCTAATGTTTAATCACATTACACAGTAAATAAATATTTCACACATATATATATATTCTTATTATTATTAATTATGACATATTATGATAGTATATCATATAATATCATATAGTACACAATTATATTAGACATGTAAAAACACGTATACAAAAACATATCATCATATTAATCAGATTCTGCACTCTAAACCCACATACTTTCCCCATCCACTTTGTCACTTCCCCCACGTTTTTCCCCGGTTCAACGGCAGGTGTCGTTTCAGAACCACTCACCGCACTTTGTGCAGAGCACCGTGGAGTTCGTGCAGCAGCATGCTTTGCACAGCTTGGCGGAGCGCGCCTTGATGTCCCCCGGCGAAGCGTTTGGCGTGGCGGAGGGTTGTAGGGAAGCTAAGGAAAGGAGATGTAAAGCGGTAAGTTTTATGAATGCTTGTTATATGCTTATATATATATGTATATATATATATACAATTATATACAATTATATACAATTATATACATACATACATACATACATACATACATTACATACATTACATCACATCACATCACATCACATCACATCACATTACATTACATTACATTACATTACATTACATTACATACATACATACATAGATACATACATAGTTCTTTTGCCCTAACTCTAGTTGGATGCTAGCTGTATGTGTTTCTCATAGCTGCCATCCAGCTGCAGTCTGGCGAGCAGCACAGAACACAACATACGTGTTCTCATAGAGTCACACTCCATTTGGCACAAAAGCGGCAACAAGAGATCAACAACTTATTATATATCTAACTTATCCAACCATCCAATTCTAAGATCCGCCTTCAGCTGACTAGACTAGTTTCCCGTCGAAAACAACGTGGTCCTTTGTTTCGGAGGGATTCTTTTGCTTTGCCATATGGTTCTGTTAATTTCCCTATTCAAAACCAATCTTTTGTAGAGTTTCATCACATCACCGCGAATATATTTTTTTGGTGATCGCTTGTAACTTGCCATGTTTTTTGTTTGGACCGTTGGTAACGCTTGTTATTTTGTGATTGCTTGTAACGCCTTTTAGATCAAACAAAGAAACCATGTAGAGTATGATACTGTAGTGATTCCATTAGTTCCAGCAGTTCCATCCACTCTGGCAACGTTTGCAAGATTTCGATCCAAATTCATCATTTACAACTTTTCTTGACTCATGTTTGATGCCTGTTGGAACAATTGAATGCAAAAGGCGGAGTCCTGAAAATATGCAGCGAAGGTGATTTTCGTCCGAATCCGGAAAGAGGAAGAGAACATCTCATATATAGTAAGTAGATGTAAGTAGATAATGTCATGGTGGGAACTTTGGGAACCTCTCCTGAATGACCAACAACCACTATTTCACGGAATGACGGTAGGAATTCTGACGACTTGAATTTTACAGCTACAGTATACACTGTATCAGTATACCATCTTGCGATTTCACATAGCTTTGGAAATCATCACAATTTACATATTAATCTTTACATGATTTGAAAGGTAAATCATCTAAGAATGGGCCATTTTGCATAGGTAATTAGGTGGAATACAAGAGGGTACGCAATGTTCAGTCCAACTTTGCCAAGTGATTCCGGTCAGACTCGTCGTCCTCAGGATGATGTCGTCGGTGGATGGTGAGAATCTTATGAAGTCCCAGTCCATCAACTTCAAACGCCAGGGCCTTGCAGTGTTGGTTGTTTTCCAGAAATGGTGACTTCACTAGAAAATCTGGGGATATAATGGATATATTATTGTGGATTTAAGTGACTCAACCATGGGGATTTGAACAACGAATATGGGGATGATATAATGGGGATATGTTTCTTCAATGCCATTGAAAATGGAGTTTTAACTAATGATGGGGATATAAAGCCAACCACATAGTGGGGATTCAATCAGAATTCCAGAAACAATTCGATCTATCGTAGTGAGTATTTCGATAAGGCATCAACGATTGGGGGACCCTATTTTCAGACAAACCCACATTGCGAAGAACATAATATTGGATGTCAAATATACACATAAAGCAAGACAATCTATCTACGAAATGAGAAATAAGAGACGTAAGCGTCAGTTCGACAAGAATGCATCAATGTATCAGTTATTGCAAGGATCACGCAGCTATAGATTTTAATGTATATACTGCTTTATACTTAGTCTTCAGAAAAAAAAAAAACACAGCAACTCAACAAAATCCCCCCTTTTTTGTCACGGCCATTTGGTAGATTTTCTTGTCGAACAGCCTGCCTCAGCTGTTGTGTTTCATGTTCCATTTTGTCTCAGCAAAACTTGTTCCATAGGTTGCAAATAATTCAGCCAAATACGTTGTCCCTTACACTATCTTATGCTACTTCCCTCTGGTAACTATTAATTATCACCTTTTTGAATGGGTAAATCAATAGGTCATGCTCATCCATTTTCCCTAGCTATGTTGAATTGCCAGAGGGTCTACCATAACATTTCCCGTTTGTTTGCCCTGTTTTCTGTCGCCTCGCCTTGCAACCCTGTGGGTTCATTGACTGATTGACTGGCCCCGCGGGCTCGGGAACTTTATCGCTCTGAGGTCGCAAGGGTCTTCATGACAAAATGAAGCATTTCTTTGACTTGGTGAAGACCAAGGACAAGAGCGGAGAGGCGGTTGCGCACTTATTGTTTTTCAGCTGACTTGTTGTGATTTGATTGTACAGCCTGATGAAGGATGTTTTTTTTTTGTGTGTGTGTGTGGCGGGGAGTACGGTGATACACAAGTAAAATAGCAAAAGTGAAAGCTCAATGGTTCCACCAATGGGGAGTACGGAGTAAGTCATGGCGGGAATTTCCCGCTTAACCAACCAGCAGAACGGCATGTGCATCAGCCAGGATTGAGCGCGATTTCGAACGCCAACTTTCCTGGGGTCCCACTTGACTTTCATATGGATTTGTCTGAAAATGTGGTATACTGGTATAATCGAAATGCCTATTTAATAGGGAAACATAGGGAAACTGATGATTAAACCATGGGATTTTGATGGATCTTGGGGATACCCCATTTCCAGATGCACCCATATTTTTAAGAGGAGTGAAGCCGCCAATCCGATGTTCTTGATCTTTGATATCCCATTAAAACATATTAAAACAGTATATATGTCAGCCCACTAATTATGCTAAGGGCGAATCTTGACCAGCAACCACTAACAAATCAGGCCTTCTTGACCATCTAGTGGGGGGTCAACGCTCACCTGGAACACACATCGACACACATCATTGGATGATATAACACCCACCTAGAGCACACCTCTCTATTTTAGGTCATTGACACATTTTAATATAAACGTTGAACTATGTTTTAGACAGATAAATTGTATATATATATATCCATACATTGTTATATGCTTTATATGTGTATACTGGTTTATTGGTAGTCTTAAACCCTTTAATCTAAGTGGTGGTTTCGTTTTTTCTTTTAATCTTGAACCCGGTTATTGGGGATGATCCCAACCACCAATGAGTAATGTCAATGGATTATTGGTTTTAAGTCTTAACTTTCGATCCTTAAAGTCGCGAAAAAATACCTAAGGTTGCTTAAGAAAAGTTTCGATGAGAGGATTATCTATAAAGTTTAAACCTTTATTTATAAACTGTTGTTGTTTTTGTTAAGAAAAACTAAGTTCCCTGTTCGGATCAAAGATGATGTCGCAAACACGTCGGTAGGTGTCCCCCATTGTGTCGCACGCCTGGAATCTCATCAAGCAGAAGGCGGCTCATTTCGGCTGGAAAGGGTGGGTTTATGTGGGGGTTACATGAATAACTGGATAGAATGGGGATATCATGGGGAATTACGGTCATGGGGATATACAAATGAATGGATAGAATGGACATGTTTGATTATGACGATGAGTCAAAACTGTATGTATAATATATAATATATAATACATATTATATATATAATTATCTGTTCACATCAGAATAGCTAGGATCTATGGATGTTCATCACCCTAAGAATGGTATTTGTAATTTAGGAATTGATTCATTTCAACATTATGGTACGCCCGCACCCCGCAAAAAAGTCCAGCAACTTAAGACAAACTTGCGTTTCCAAAGTTGCTGCACTTTTTTTTGGGTGGTATGCCCCTACCATGTAGAATGTGATCATAATATTATTTTTGTTATTCCAAGTTCATTCTGTTCAAATAAAGCTCTCAAAGATGCTACAGCCGACATGAAGGAACCATGACTTGCAGTAACCACATTAAAGTTGGGTAAGGGCATGAAAAAAGGGGTACCAAGAAACTGACTGGTATTCTCATAAGTTTGCAAACAGGAGATCATCCCGCCTTGGACGCTTTGCATGAATATGGTTAACAATTTAACACGATCCTTCTTCAGAATTGAATGATATTTGTTATCACGTGCTATCTCATGGACTCTTAATAGTTCCAAGCCAAATTTAAACGCTTAGCAAACCATCCCTATACCCTCTTAAAAATGAAATTTAAGGGGGGGAGTCGTACTGAAATGTCATTTTAAAATTCCATTTTTGCATTCATTTTTCTCAATGATCAACATTCCTCGTCATTCCATATCATTGGCAAACAGATGAAAATCAAATACTTGCGCTTAGCTCCGGAGGAGCTAAGCACATGTCAGACTGAAGCAGCACATGTGTAGGGGTGGCATCCCTCCAAAAATTGCGTTGCCACCATCATACTTGCGCTGGAGCTAAGCGCAAGTATTTTCTAACCAGTGCCCAAGGCTTGTCAAAAAATGTTACTTTAAAATTCCATTTGAGCAATTGGATCACTATCCCAGGTTTCCAAGCAAAAAAAAGTGGAATTCGACAGGTTGGTTTTGTCCCCCCCCCGCCCTCCCCCTCTATAGGGGTACGGGTAGCAAACCGAACAAAGTTGATTCACCCAAATTCAAGCATATAGAATCACATGGAACCATAGACATGGATTCTAGTTGGAATGATCTGGAAAATCCAGCCATTATTTGCCATGTCTGGAGTTCCTGGCTTCCATTGCGCAGGCTGACCCTGAGGCATCGCGGTCTCGTTCTCGAAAGGAACGCTCCAGGAGCGAGGGGGCCACCGAATCGGGGGAGACTTGTTAGACTGTTGGAGCCCCCATGATCCCCCATGATGATACTCTTAAAACATGATAAAACCAATAAATGATGGGTACACTAACTGGTGGATGGTAGTGTCTTTTCGATGTTTGTTGAGATAAATGAGGAACATTTGGAAACATTGTCCACCACAACATCGAGGAAGCACTATACTTGCAGGATCTTGCAGCTTCATCCCACGGATCGTAACTGGTGAATAACCACGGTGCATGAGTCCCCGATTCCTCCGTTATCCCATAAATTCTGCATGTTGCAAGAGTATGCAAGAGTCATATTCCTCATTCAAAGATGGTTTTCCTTACAGACATACATCATTATATATTATTATTGAATATTATATAGAATATTATAGATATGGATATAATATGGGTTATTAGTTATTATGGGTTATATATACCTCCAACAAAAACAACATAAAAACACAGCAGGAGTCGCCGTTCGCGGCGGCGCTCAAAGTCACGGCGCCGCTCCAAGTCGCGGCGTCAGTCGCGGCGTCAGTCGCGGCGTCGCTCTCAGTCGCGGCGGCGGCGCTCGAAGTCGCGGCGGCGTCGGTCCCACAGCCGAAGGAGTCGCAGGCGAAGGGGCGGAATCGTATGGAGGTTTGAATGTTCAAATCGCATTATATTAATGGGTTAATGAAGATATTTCACCATATTATACCAGCAATAGTTTTTTTTTTAGGGACTTTAATTGAATTTAACAATCCATTATAGGATGTAATGGGGATATACTGGGATATACAACCAGCTTATAATTGAGGTTCTAATGGAAAAATCATTGAACTATCTGGGGATGAATTGAAACCTCATTGGACAATCCTTGATAAATCCTTAAAACATATAACACGGGATTGAAAAATATGAGAAAAGATTGGGAATAAGCAGCATGGAGGTTTCTAGCTGAGAACGTCATCGAACTCAATGGGGATTTATCCTCCGGGAATCAAACATGGCTGGAAAATGTCCATTGTAGATATTTATAGATGAGGTTCTCATTACTACCTTCATTTTTGTTGGGGATTTACATGGATTTCCCATTGCCATGTTTGACTACCGACCGAAGGGTATTAAGGGTTTATGTTCACATGCACAGTGTTCATCACCATTTTGATTGTTTATTTTAGGGTGCTATCATTGGGAATGATCACAATTCATCATGTGAAATCTTATTACCCAAACAGTATAAAGGGACGACCTTTTGAACATTGTTCACATGAGCAGATAGATAAATATACTACATGTATATTTACATATACAGCATATTGATTTAACATGTATATTTGCATATATCAATACAACATAAAGAACCATCATATATACACATATATACATTTATATAATGTTATACATACATGATATCCACCAAGAACCTTCAACTCAAAAACAGGGGGCGCAGCCGGAGCAAGCGTAGCAAGTCACGTCGCAGCCGGAAGCGCTTGCGGCGCTCCAAGAGCTCGGAGGAGAACGGGGGGAACAGGGGGAAGGTTGGCACCAGCCCAGTGATGCAGTTGAGGTATGTGGTAAAATGATGTAAAATGGATATATATATATATATGTGTGTGTGTCCCATATTATATATAATATGTAATATCCAAACTTTTGGGACATTGGATTATAGAATTCTATTAAAAAATATAAATGTCCCAAAAGGTTGGGATATAACGCCAAAAAAAACTATGCTTACATATATATATCCATTTGTAAGTGGAACTGCACTTAACCCTAGCCTTTGGTGATCAAAGATGTAAAGACACATTTCCCTTCAAAAAGGGGATTTCCCAGGCGGCCATGGTAATCATTACCAGATGATAGGTTGAACCATGGGGATACTACGGATTTTTGAGAAGTAAATATAGGCATAGGGGAAATTTGATGGGGAATGAACACTTCGGATCATGTGAGGCATGACAAAATGATATAAAATGATGAGGAACTGCACCATGGCCAGACTTGGGCCGAGGATCTGCGTCGCCAATAGAAATTCATTCTGGGATGGATGACCACACTATATATGTATAATCTACATACACCAGGTCTTGACCATGGCACATATGGAAATGGGGATATATCCAACAAACAAATGGATATCATGGGGAAATCTGATTGGGATAATGTCCACCTCTGATTTATAAATAGGGGGGCCCCCCCCCTCCCTCTCTGACCCTAAATAAACTTAAAACCACCATAAAACTTGTTTGTATGTAAAGGTTTTAAATTACCACAATTGAAAACGAATACATAAAATGCAATTTCAAAAAAAAAGGAATCCAGCAATTGTTTTAGTATTGATCTTGTACTCATGTCATGGACTTAGTATTGATTTAGTATTCATGTCATGGATTCAGTATTGATCTAGTATTCATATCATGAATTTAGTATTGATTTAGTATTCATGTCATGGATTTAGTATTGATCTCGTATTCATGTCATGGATTTAGTATTGATTTAGTATTGATGTCATGGATCTGGGCAAATCTGGGTTTAGGGCCAAAAACAATTAGCTTTATTCAGGGTCAAACTCTAATTAGTGCCAAGGCACCTCATGGGGGGTACCCTTGACGAGTTGATTTGGGATTGATTTTGGATAATTTTGAATAAAGGTTTTGAATAGAAAAGAGCAACCATTATTTTTGACAATTTGAAGTTATCAAGGTAAGATCTAATGAGCTGGCAATATGAATTAGTACATGAAAGCCACCTCAAATAAAGCATGGAAAAAACAAAATCAGCCCCATCTGGGCAAATCTGGGTTTAGGCCCAAAAAAATTTAGCACTATTTAGGGTAGTTTTATTATTTAGTTTGGGAAAAAAATTAGCACAATTCAGGGTAGTTTTATAAATCGTAGGTCAACATTACTGGTTATGTACTGGGAATCAACGGGATATACAACCAACAATATAAGATATTGGTGTGTCTGGAAACTGGATAGACCACCGCCGCAGCTTAGATGGTACGTACCAATGTGCGTAATGGGATCCCAACAAAAAATGGGGTCCGTCTCGGTATGGGATGGATGACCTTTTTCTACACACCCACACACCATATTTTTGTCCATGGCACGAATGTTAAAATTGTGTTTTGATTTTGGGTTTGGTTTCCACAAAATGATGGCTGGAAAGGCTTTGTCTGCTTGAACAATGGGTTTTGACATGGGCTTGTGAAAGGTGCTGATTCCAGTGGTGGTCTTAATTAACATCAAAACTAAGGATTGATTTCACCACCAAGAATTCCCCCCAGTGACATGGGGACAAAGGAGGGAAGGGGTAGAAGGGTTGAATACCAGGGCCAGGATACTATTGGTGAAACGACTGAGTCGCGGTGATGCCTTAAAATCAGATTTGGGATGGTTTGGCATCATCATATGGATTCTCCAGATAGAAATGAAAGGGGCGCTTACCAGCCACTGGTATTACGGGAAGCCACTAACATTCTTGCTGCTAAAACGAGGCATGGTTTGCCAATGGCCACATCAGATCAGGTCATGTTTATACCCGTAACACGCCAGAACTAGCCGTCTCTACCAGGCAAACAGAATTAATTACCCTCTCACAATCAAACATGGCCATTTAAAATCTTCCATTTATAGTTCATTTTCCTATATGTTCATGATTTTCCCATATTTTCCCATTGTGAATAGGGGATATCCCACATTTTCCCATGGTTTTCCCATTTCAATGCCCACCCAAAAGGGACTGTCCATGACCACAACTCTCAATGGCCTTCTGGTGACCATTTTGGCAATGTTAGGATCCTCAGTTGTATATTTTCGTCCACTACCACGTATACATACTACATATATACTGTAACATACTGTAACATACTGTAATCAACCAATCATATACACATGTGTGATTCACATAGTGCATATATATATATATATAGTTTGCAAGAAAATAAAGGTGATCACATATATATATATATATCTCTTTCATACAGTGTATACAATGCTCTTTCAGCCATCCATCCTCAGGACACCAGCACCAGCAGTAGCAGCGCTAGTTCCTCCAAGCCGGTCGTCAAAGCCGCGAAACCCAAGGCGAAGGTGGCTGTGAAGTCGAAGGCCAAGGCCAAGGCCCAGGCTGGGGCATGACGGGGCACCCCGGTGGAGGAAGTCCATGGAAAAGCTGCTTCAGCCATGAAAAAGAGCCTGGTTGATTGATATAATACTAATAGAACCCATAGCAGGGATTATCACAATACCGAGTTATACTATCCAATGTATATTGAGGATTATCAGAAACCATTAAAGATAGCCTGGTGGATTGGGATCCAAAATTGGTGTTTGAATGGGATTTGGACATCAATTCTTGAGGGCTTATAGAGTCTCAACCAATCAACAATATGTGGATGTAATGATATAATTGACAAATGATGGCTGATTGGTTATAGGGAATTATGCTACTGGGTCTATTGGGGATTATTAACTAATGAGTAGTAGGATACCAGCTAGTATAATGAGACGGGATAATGATATTTTGAGCGGCTCAAATGATTATGCTATGAAAGGTGAAGGCGCAGTTTAAGGAGATGACCAGGAAGATGTTCTTGCATGGCTGCTTGTGTTTTTTCGTCGTTACTATATTAAGCTGGTGTTGTCTGTCAGCAGAAAAGAATGATTCTCCGAGAGTTGAATCGCCGCCCAATCAACATATGTCCGATATCCCAAACAAGGAGACAGCTGTGATGTGACAAGGAGAGAGTGGGGGACGCGATCATGGTTTCAAGACTATTGCGCTAGTTTTTGAAAAGAGCTTGAGAACTTGGAAGATTGACTTCTCACTACAATGTGATACCCCCAAACAATAGCAAAGTTGGTTTATAACTACAATCATTAGAGTTTAAGGTGGATGAAACTGTAGTTTGATGGAGTTATAAACCACAAACACAGGTTAGGGAGGCCCCACCTTGTACTCACGACTGGGCCGGTTCCACAAGATCCAAGAGACCAGCGATAACGCTGGAACTATCTGGGTCACTGGATGAAAGAACCATTTTTTCCTGTTTCGAAAATCGTCAATTTTTCATAGGTTTCCACAGTTAAGCTATTTTTTACCATCATCTTTCATAGCTAAGTGGCTGATCACATCCTGCAATTCCAAGTAGTCTTCAGGTCTCGGAGAGCAGCAGCAGTGATGGCGAGCCACAGGAGCGGTGGATTGTTGATGGATTGATTGATGTGAGAACCATGGGATGATGGGAGAATGATGGGAGAACCTTGGTATTTGATCAATTTCACTGGGAACCAGTGATTTTTTCCCTACCAAGGGAGGGAATTGTCCAGGGTTTTGAACGCTGCTCACTTGGTTTGGAGCAAACAACTATTCTCTAGGATCAAAAAATGGCAATGGACAGTTGAATTTCCAAGACGAACATACTTGCAAAGGGGCAAGGTTCCTGTACCATGTTTGACTACAGGAGGCTGTTCCGAACGTTCAGTGACATTTTGTTAACAAGTGCTCATCATAATTTTGGTTGAAAACAAATGTCTCAATCGTTTTGCTATGCATGTGTTTGGGTAATTTTCTACTCTGTCCATGTTTACCCAATGAAACATATCCTTTGCACTGGCAGGAGTTTGCCCAGGTTTATCCATTTGTTTGCCAATATCTCACCAACTCCAATGTTACATGTTTTCTTTGGTCAACCAGTTTTGCTAATTGTTCACCAACACCAGAGCCTGAACTCTCTTAGGGAGAGTGTTTTTTTTTTGACAGCCCTTGTTCACCAATGTGTTTGTATTGTTCTATTTTTCAAAGATGTTACGTCATTGTGTATCATGGTTTCAAAGTGTGTTCACCATGTTTTCTCAATTTTGCTCACCTCCTTAAGGTATCGCAAGTGGTTAGTTATTAACCATATATGACACCCCAGGTAGATTCATGGAGTATTGCCTGTATATGGTCAAAACTTATCGTTACTAAACCCAGGACTTTTTTTAACCATATAGAACCTATAGGTATACGGGTCATTTTGTTGGCTATATCCTCATTGTATCCGATTGGTTATACTATATCATATCCGATTATATTCCCAATAGATGCCGTTGCAATTTTGGTATATCGCATCATGATATTCAATTAACCCTAGTATATATATATATAGGTAGGTAGATAGATAGATATCACCTAAGATAGATCCCGAAACGTGGGAACCACTTTTTGGCATCTTTTCGGGGGTTGCCTTGCGGAGATGTGGGGGAAGATGTGGGATATTTGTTGGAATAGTCTTAGGGCTGTTGCTGGGGCCAGTCTTGGGAGAACATGGGGGTATGAATGGGGATACGTCGATTAACCCCAATACTATATTATGGAGATTTCCTGAAATGATGGTACCCCAAATCATCCAAATTAGAGCATTTGAGTATTGAACTCCATGGTAACCATGGTGACTTGGTGATCCTCCATTTCATAGATGGTTATATACTAGATGCCTCATAAAAACATCCCTTGCACAATAAATCGTCAGATTATGATTCGATTACCATTATTAGGTTATTCCTATTATTAGGCTACTAGTACTGCTGCTACTGCTATTACTAACTAACTAACTAACTACCAAACAAACAAACAAACAAACTAACTTACTTACTTACTAACTTACTAACTTACTATCTTACTAACTTACTTACTTACTAATTTACTAACTTACTAACTTACTAACTTACGAACTTACGAACTTACTAACTAACCAAACTTACTTACTAACTTACTAACTTACTAACAAACTAACTTACTTACTAACTAACTGACTAACTAACTGACTAGCTAACTAATTGACTAGCTAACTAACTAACTAACTAACTAACAAACTAACTAACTACTAGTAGATTGGCCCCATGCATTATCATTCGATTTCACTACTATCCCATCGGTGTATCACATTAGAATCTCCATATTGGATTACTATGATCATATTATTAGACCACATTCATTCTTAAGTTGTTGTTTACAAAATTATTAAACCCATGCGAATCCCATTCATTACTATGCCAGTAAAATCTCATTTTAAGAGGCCCACTTGAGTCACATGCACCTCCACCAAAAAGCCCTGTCCAGCAGGGCGAGCGAAAGGCAGCGGCGCAGGCCACGAAAGTGGCCGTGGCCAAGCTGAAGGCGGTTTCGGCTGTGTTGCCGTGCAGATGGCACCGGCATGGCTGGAAAAATCGGAGGAATATATGGTTGATCTATTGTTAATATGGATGGATATGTTTTATTGGGATGGAATTGGATATAATGGATAACGGCTAAGGTATACGGATTGATAAACTTCATTTTCGTTGGAATATATATATACATGGAATTTTGTGCTTGGATTCCCATTGTGTCTAACTTATTACCATATTTTCAAGGTTATCTTAACATGTTAGGATTTGCTTCCTTATTGATCAAGAAATAGTCCTCAATGTTAAGATCACTCACGAAAAGTTGGAGGATGTTGGAGGTCACTCAGTTAACCAATATTTTCGTTTTTGGTTCCAAGCAAAAGTTCGCCTTTACATGGATTTGCGGTAAACAAAATGGATTTGTCAAACTATATTGTATTTTTATATATTACTAATTTATGTTATAGTTTTTAATTTATTGTCGGTTATTTTTTTCTTACATCATATTATATAAATTGTATTATATTTTATTACATTTTATTATGTTATATGATATTTTATTATATGTATTTTTATGCTGTATAATGTGATAAAATAGTATAATATAAGTATATTATACTATATATATATATATTTAAAAAACATGCTGCTAATCTGCACTGCCCCTGGTCTCTCAGCAGGCTTCCAATCCAGTGGGCTGATTCCATCCGGCCTCAGGTGCCGCCGAAGCCACGCACCGAGAACAAAAAGTTGGGAAACGTTCGCAACGGGAAGTTTTTGGCCAGTGACAATGATATTGTGACTTTATATCAATAGAGACTGCATGAAGTTTTTGGCGGGTCGGCTGTACGTTGTGTTTCTCATTGTTGGCACAATTATGTTGTTCCGATCCCCCTATGGATGCATTTGGATGGTTTCCTGCTTAGAGATTAAATTTGCATAAATTTGCGAGGATGGCGTAGAACTCATGGGTGTCAATGGGGGTTCAATGCTGGCCAGCTTTCTGAAGTCCAGGCTCGGGATCATTTGATTGATCATTTTTCGGAATAGGTCATGGTTCAACTCTATGGTCTATATTGTCTAATTTAAGCAATCACCGTTCCTTCCACTCTCTGGCTGACTTTTCGGCTCTAGCGGCGTTTCACCTGCCGGAGCCCTCTGGCCATTTTATCGGCCACTGGCAGCTTCGCGGCGCAGCGGGAAAGTTAGTTACCTGTGGCAACTGCAGCGAGCGGTTGCCATGGGCAAATGGAACAATGACTACAACTATCACAACGATAGTTGGTCGGTGAATAAGAACCATAATCAATGGAAGAAGTCCAGTAACTACCATCGGCAATCCTCCTGGCACAAGAGTGACTCGTCAACTCTGGAATGTTTGGGGCTCCGAATTTTGGTTGTTCTATGGTTTGGTGGAAAGAAAGCGTGGTCAAGAATTCAAAGGGCACCGCCGAAAATATTGTCCTCTGGTCATGTTGCATTGATCCCTTTCAAACATCAAACAACCCCGACAATCTTCTTCCCAAACCTCAAACAAATAGGTCATAATAGGTCTGTATAAAGCATTGAAAAGCATTCAAACACACAGATCTCGATCTCCCCGTGGGGGTCTGCAAGGATGAACCCTCAAATTAGGATGTGCTTCCCCACGATACTGTGACTGGTTGCAAGTACTAATCTTATGCATGAACTAAAAATCAATCCAATATCATCCACCAATCGCGGGCCGGGCCTCATCCCAATCTCATCTTATTCACCACCGGTGACCACCGTAATTCCTTTTTTTTTTCTGGTTCCGGGTCTTTTCTACCAGTTCTTTCTAACCACCATCCAATGACCATCCATTCTCGGTCCATCGCGTCGCGTCAAGGCGACAGGGGAGACCGAAATCGAAGCTACTGGCGTGGCGACAACGACAACGACTCGGTCTCCAAATGGTTGACCTACGTCCTTCGTCATGGCGCGTCTGAGGTGAGGGACTGGGAGGATCCCCTCGAAGCTGTAGGATACCGATAGGGATATGCTATGATTCTGATATTCTACTGAATAACTGGGGGATACTGGGGGTAATTCTGAATTCTGATAATTGAACTAATTGAACCTTGAAATTTGTTGGATTCCGATCCCAGTTTCCATTGGCTTGTATGTCATGATAGCGAGGGAAGATTTCAGTGTCTGAAATGTTGGGTGCAGGAGATATTTAGTTCGAGAGCCGATGTCAAGAAACTTCTTACGTTCAATGCGAGTCAGAGCAACGACCCCGCATTCCATTAGACTACTGTAGGTTGTTGTGTCAAAGTATGTTCAATACAAAAGGTCGGTAGAACATGGTAGAACATTCCAACATGTTCCAACATTCAGTTTCGGGATGCTCACCATTTTCACCACCCTGGATTGTTTGCCTGATGCAATGTTCACTAAGTACAAGGATCTTGACCCACCCTTCTCGGTGTGGACGTGGGCAGGAAGATGTCTACATGGACAAGCACGGCTACGTCTCTGTGGACCAGTTGATTGCCTTGAGAGAAAAAGAGTTTGGCAAGACCACGAGCCTTGCCAGAAGGCAGTTCCAGTACTATAGATGGATCATGATGGATCTAGATGGATGTTTAAACATGTTTAAACCAACTTACATAGCTGTATGATTCTAATGGGCAATTGTCTTGCATGGCAGGTGTTTCTCCTGAATTCATCAGACCCAATGACTATAGTTATACCGTTATACCAAAAAATAGCATGTTTTTTTTAATGGAGGGGGAAGTGCTACATTCCAAGCATCTAGATGGTCTGGATGATGGCTCAAATGATATGTACAATCCATACTAGCAAACAATGCATGATTATATAATTATTATTGCCAATATTACCAAAGGAAGACACCTGCGAATTTGAGATGATTTGAAATTATATGTACAGGGAGGGAACCGGACAGGGCCTTCAGAATGTGTGGTTGGGTCCGGAGTTTGAGACACACCTGCATCATTGCCGATCACTACCAAGCACTATAATGAGGGATTCAACCGGCTTCTCAGGCCCTATTGAACAGCATCAACCTCAACGAACCATAATGAACCCTCAATCTGACTCAATCAAAAAGAGAAAAATGGCCAATAGACAGACCGCAACCGTTTCTGAAATTGAGGGTTCATCCATGTTCATGTGCACCCCATAATTGGTGTGGCAACCGGTGCCAGGAATCTCTATCAGATTCGTTTGGTGGTTGAGACCTGCCCAAAGCAACGCTTTGAAATCTGGGAGGTGACATGGGGAGATGGTATGAAGGGCTACATGGTCAGTTTCGGGGTTTTAATCTCTGAGTTGTGGAGGTACAGGTACAAGGTTCCTTAGCTTCGGCATCCCAATTTGACACGCCTTGCGTGTTTGACACGTCTCTTTCTACCAATGTACTTTGTTTGGAATGGTGATCCGCCAAATATTTTGAAACGGCCAAGTGGCCGTCTCGATGTATGGAATGCCATCATTTTTTTCTAAGGGGATTTCCGTGCTGGCTGGGTTCGGCCATGACTATTGCTCATACAGGGCAGTTTACCCTGCCCACCAGAGGAGCAAAACGATTGTGTCAGGGTCCAAAACATTGCCATACGGCAACCTATTGTGAGAGGATTTGACAGGAACCTTGACACCTTAAACCTTAAACTGCATGCGCTGGGAGGTCCCTGTGTTGACCCTGTCAGCTTCAGCAATCAGAATTAGCCTCGGGCCATTGTGGCTGGGGCACCGTGCCAGGACGAACAAAATGAGGGCAAAACATGGGTTCGTGCCACTCAGGACCGGAGTGGGTGCAGCATGCAGCTTTCATCATTCTTGCGGCCATGTCCTAGCGCTAGGAATGCCGGGGGCTATCAGTAAAATTTGCAGTTTTGTCATGGTCAAAGGCTGAAACTCTTGTCTCCTTGCATTGAAGCCGCACAAAATGTTATTAACATTTCATCAACACCACACAAGATCCAACAAACATACAAGTCAACAAGACACTTGTTCAAAGATGCTATGGAAATCCCATTAAAACTTGGGTCTCAAATCTGATGTGGGGTCTCCACCCCGGCCAACTGAACTGACTCCGGCCAGGGCCACTCCATCTCAAAGGTGCAGGATACAGTGCATCGCCCGCTGCGCAGTGCAGACGATCTCGGAAACGAAGAACCGGTGCCTTCGCTTCGCAGTCAGAGAACTTGCAGGGCATTGCAGGGCTTGAAACTCCTTGATGGTGTGTTGGCGCTGGTTCCTGCTGGTTGATGTTGGAAGCTTGAGACTCAAGGGACTCGGTCCCCGAAAACAGGGCTGGGTCAGCAATCCAATCCATGGGGCAGCCTGTGAGCCAGGAATGGGTTGAAAAAGCAAAGTGCGCAAGAACGACAAATTGCAGATGACTGGATACACAACAGGAATATAGGAATGGTTTGTAAATCTCTTAGCTGATGATCATCCAATATCTCCGGCCAAGCTTTGTTCCCCCACCCGCCACCTGCCTCAGGTGCATGGTACCTTCCTCCATGCATGGCTGAGAATCCGCCATGAAGGGTTGAAGACCATGGGACGGAATCACATCCATATGTGTACCTCGCCCGAATCTTGATCTGTGATGCGTTCATCAAATGGGAAGATAAGCGCATTCGAGTCAGAAGAAACCCAACAAGTTGGCAACAATTGGCTCGTTTAACATCGTTCAAGTTTAACTATATATATATAATATTGAAAATAATTATGAGATATTGTGCTGTATATATATATAATATTGAAAATAATTATGAGATATTGTGCTGTATACCGGGTACCGAACAAGATGGTTCTTATACAACCACGGACCGATCCTGGGCCAGATCTGGACTTGTGAAGATGATGTGCGAATATGTGACTACCAGAAAATCATACAGAATCATTGCGCTTGAGAAGGAATTGTTGTTGAGGTTGCTGTCGCTCCTCAGCCATTGGTTTTAGCTTGGCACAATGATCCCAACGTCAAAAGTACCTCACAATCGTCCAATTAATGTCAACAGTCACAGGAGTTTGATTCTGAAAATGGTGACAAGTACTTGAATGAAACATGTTGAAACATTGCCATAGGCACTGGTTATCTCATATTTCAAACCCATCTTGTGGAGGGAGATGTAGCTTTAGAAGGAATCTGCCAGACAAGATTGTACTTGACCAAACAAAATGATGACGGATTGCATAAAGCGTTGCAAGGGGTTGTGGCAGTGGAGGAGTGGACATGGATTTGCACTACTACGTAGTGGATTTGGATTGATTTGGCCATCAAATCTACGGAGCTGCACTGCACATCCATCAAAAAATAAAAGCAGAGATCAACCATTGCATGATCCTCTGCAAAAAACAAGGTATGGGCCTTCCGGGCACCGGTGTCATCAGCGGAATGCGCGAGGTCTGGGAGCATTTTTTTGCTGAAAATGACCTGTGATTTATGGTTTTGGACCGAAATGAACAGAGCCAACACGAAACTGGGTGAATTTTGATGAGTTTTGGGGTGATGTTAATCCTCGGGGCGAGGATTAGCTCTTAACTCACAAGATTGTTGGTATGTAAATGTTTAAAAACATGGGGATTGAACCCCCTTGAATAACTTAGAATGTGTCTTCAGGACGTGTCTCAAAACTCGCCGAAGGGCCCCAACTTGCTTCCCCTCCAAAGATAGATAATTAATTAGATGGTCTGGTGTTTGTAATTTCTGGAATTGATTTGAACCATTTGGCGATGGCAAAGCCCATGAATTTGAACTGAGGTTGTATCATTTGCCAATCATTTGCTTTTTTTTTGTGCAGATGTATCAGTCAAATATGGCTCATGTTGCACCAGACACTTGGCCGCGTTGCCACAGGATGCAGATGTGGCGATCTACATCAACGTAGCATTGGCCATGCAGTCTGGCATTTGCTTCGTGCAATCGAGCAATGGAGTGATCCTTACAGTAGGCCATGGACAAGATGTGACACTGACCAGGAATGACCTTCAAAGATCGGCTGATCATAATACTTTGACCATACACCGTGCATATCCGTGCATTATGGTATTCCCCATGGATCTCAGCTGGGTTGGATGGAGTTCTGAGAACAGAATTATATACAGGGCAGTTGGAGCACTTGTGCTGCAACATCTGTAAGTATTTGTAGCCGTACTTGTACAACCTGTACAATTACCACCTCCCACATTGTCATGTCTCATTTATTGATTTGGCAGTACGTTGCCAAAAAGTGCTTTGCTTGGCCTTTGAAAGATGGAATGCCATCTTGAAAGCCGTGAAGAATTTCCGCTTCAAATGCTAAGCCTCAAACGTCAAAGGGATAGGTCTAAAATGGTCGATGTCCAAAGAAGCCAAACCAATTCTCTTTCGGAAACCCATGCACCCATGGATGGATTTGGGTTTGTATGTTTGATGACCCCCAAGTCGTTGCAATGTTGCAAAAACTTGTCAGGCGAAGGTGATACAAAGACATTGTCAACAAATTTCTTTTCGAAAGTTTACTGGATGGGGCGAGGTTCCGATTCCGACACTTGGCGAGCGAAGGGATGTGAAGAGTCAACTTGTGTGGCAGCATTGGAATAAACCCCAAACATCGTTGTAAGATATTGTAAGCAACGATGGTTTCCAGGATGGTAACCTGGTTCAAAATCCTGTTTGAAGCTAGATCTTCAATTGATGACGGCTTGTATTTCCACAAATATTCGGATGAGACGCGGTTGTATTTTGCATATTTTATCAACTTTATCGACTTCATGACCATCCAAGTGGCACTGCTGGAAAGCATCAAAAGTTGGTTGGACCTTCGATGTTCCAGGAGTGCTTAAGGAGTCGTTGATGCCATTCTTCTCGATTGTTTGGTCGAGAGTGGGATTCCCAATGAGTTGGTCATCGTCACTAAACATACTGGCATGTCATTAGCCGAACAAACATACAAAAACCATCAACATCTAAATGTGTGCACTGCAACTTCCCACAATATACGACGACATTTCCATGGATTTCCCATCACTTCTCCCAACAAACATGAAAAATTCTGGGGATATCCAGCAACAGACCCAGCTGGCAGCCTGGACCCTTGGTCCTGCCCCAGGTCCCCGCCCCTGACCCAAGGAGAAGATGTTGATTTGGGACAAACAGCAGGGCGACCTCCTGGAGGAACTGCGCAAAACTTGCGAGGCTGGAGACATCCCGGACCAGAGCTGGGGCCGGCATAAAGCAAGAGATGGTTTAAGAATGGTTGAAAAATGTTGGAAGATAGTCTAAACATGTCTAAACACTGTGTTTTTGATGGTTAAAACGTGTTTCAAGATGGTTTGAAAGATGTATAGGATATATAGGATATGTATAGGAAATGTATAGGATATGTATAGGATCTGTATATAAGTATATATGTAAATTAATGTATGTTAATTATATATGTATGAATGTTTATACTACTGTATCCTATGGGTCCTGCGTTCATTGATGCGGAAATATGGTGAAATATGGTTTTGGGGTGCCTACTTTCCACCGACCCCTTTCTCAGTTCCAGATTCACCTTAGCCAGGACCTGGCTGATGCGGTGGACAGGGCGGAATGGCAGGAGCAATCCAAGAGCGACAAACCAGCAGCCAAGAAGATGCCAAAACCCAAAAAGATGCCCGAATCGCTGAGGCCTGGGCCTCGAACGGTTAGGGGACAGATAATTAAAATGCGGGCGGCGTTTCGCCCACAAAGTCTGGAGGCTTCACTTTCGAGTTTGAGATGGTTTGAGATTTAGGGTTTTAGGATGTTTCAGGGTTTATAATTGTAGTTTATAAGGTGTATATATATATATATATATATCATTTCAGCATGTATTCCTTTTGCTTTTACACCTTCTTTGGGTTTAGGATTCGCGGTTGGGGCGTGCTGGTTTTTAAATTTTAAGGCTTTCAGGTCTCGGATAACTAGTGAAAGACGCACAGGATCCCTCCTCGAGCTTTTCAGCAATGACCCACTGCATACCCGAGTATTGCAAAAATAACACGCACAATTCAAATGATTCATGATTATAAATTATTAATGGTGCCCCCAAAGTGGCCTTCGTATCCATATGTTCCTCCACGTTCCTCCTGAATTTTCAAAGTTCCTCCCCGGCCCGGAATTGGCTGCTTTAATAACAGTAGCATACTCAGTAATTATACCTTCCCTCACAAAAGTCCTTCGTTCCTCCCAAATGGATTTGTCTCAGAATAGGCTACCCACAAAATTTGATGGTCATTTCATGGTCATTTGAATCTAATGGATTCTCAATTTTCCTAATTGTGAATTAAAGTGGACATTGTATCCACCCATTGACCCGAAATTTCCCCAGTTTCGCGAGGTGCAGCGGTGCGATGAGACCCCCTGAACCCGAGCGGCCACCCAGCTCTATCCTGGCGCCCACCTTGTGCAAAGCCAGCGCTCCACCGCCAGTAGCGTGGCGACAGCTGGGGGATCTGCTGGGGGCTGCCACCTAGATTTGGAAGATCTGGAACATACCAGTGGAATTTCACACTTAAGATCATATTCCATGGTTTGGTTGAGTTATTGGAGAGGCTGAGGATCTATGGTTAGAATCTATTGATGTCTCATGTGGTTTCAAAGATTTTCCAAGATATCTGATGCTGATGAAGAAGAAGAAAAGATGATGATGATAATGAGGGTGAGGGTGAGGCGGCTGCTGCTGCTGATGATGATGATGTTGATGATGAGGATGAGGATGATTGATGGCTCATGATTGATGATTGTTGCTTCATGATTGATGATTGATGATTTATGATTGATGATGATGATGACGATGATGATGATGACGACGATGATGATGATGCTGATGGATGATGGATAATAATGGATGATTGAGGATTGATTGATGATGATGGTTGATTGATTGATTGATTGATTGATTGAATGATTGATTGAATGATTGACTCATTGATTGATTTATTGATTGATTCATTCATTCATTCATTCATTCATTAATTCACTGATTCATTGATTGATTGATTGATTGATTTATTGATTGATTGATTGATTTGATTGATTGATTGATTGATTGATTGATTGATTGATGATTGATGATTGATGATTGATGATGATGATGATGATGGTGATGATGATGATGATGGTGATGATGATGATGGTGGTGATGATGATGATGGTCATGGTCATTGTCATGGTCATGCTCATGATCATGGTCATGGTCATGGTCATTGTCATGGTCATGGTCATGATCATGGTCATGGTCATGGTCATTGTCATGGTCATGGTCATGATCATGGTCATGGTCATGATCATGGTCATGGTCATGGTCATGGTCATGGTCATGGTCATGATCATGGTCATGGTCATGGTCATGGTCATGGTCATGGTCATGATCATGGTCATGATCATGGTCATGGTCATGGTCATGTTGATGATGATGAGGAGGAGGAGAAGGAGCGGGACGACAACGATGATGATGATGATGACGACGACGACGACGATGATGGTTATGATGGTGACCACCGATGACTCAACTTTCTTTGAGGGGAAGCACCAATCAGTAGGGGCAACTAATGGGGAATAGTTTTGGACGCCCCAAATCAAATCAGCGCAGCGCTGCTATCCCTGGGGCGCGGACTGGATGGATAGCGGCCTTTGATTTTGCACTGCCAAATCCCAAAAGGAGTCGCAGAGGAAAAGTAACATTAGGAGCCAGTGTCGGATGTTTTTGGTCAGGAGAGCCACCAATGGGGAGGGCCAGGCCAGACATATCCAAAGCATGTCGAAGCTACACTCCGTCTGCTCGATAGAATCGCAAAAAAAAACAATATGCTGATTTTTTTCCAGTGCTCAAAGGATATCAGGATGTGATTGGTACATGGACAGCTTCCTTGGGTCCTTGAATCCCTAGCATTTTTTTTGTTCCATGATTTCATCAAAGTGTTTTGGAAATGCAGGCGGAAGGGGCATGACATGGTTTCTTTGCCGCAAGGACCAACCATCACAATCAGTTCATATCATTTGATACCTGATGCTATAGTTTAATGATGTTGCATGTAGTTCCAGCATGTTCCCGTTTTCATATCTTGGTAACTTCAAGTGCACCTTTCCCCCCACAAGGCCGAACGCCCCCTTTCAAAACTGAGTTGCCACCGCCACCCCCGATGGACAACGATCTGGATAGCGCCCCTTGGCGGAGTAGCCAGGTGGTGCCGCCCATGAATAAGGACGCGGCATGACGCGGCTGAGAGGATTTTGGATTCATTGTATCCAAATGGTAGCAACTTCTAACTGGGACCTGGAAGTTGGCTCGTGTAGATGATTTTCCAGTATGTTCATGTAAAACATGATGATTTTCCGTTGTCTGTTTGGGTTCCTGGATGGAAATTGTATAGTAATTAGATGTAATTAGTATTTACACATGTTACTCCTGGTGATGATTCCTCAAAGTAGTACAATGCTGGGTGCTCGCAAAGCACCCTCAAAAGATCGGCTTGAAGGGGCAAGTATTTGAGATTACTTGTGCTTAACTGGAATCCTTAGCGAACTGCCCCGGCATCAGTTTACTTATGACATCTTATGACATAGCAAAACCCCGCTCTTAACACAATCCAAGTGTAGCATCACTGCTCAACACCTTATCCACACAAATAGAGATAACGATGCTACAAATCATTTAAGATCATTTAAGTTATATTCAATTCAGCCCACTTGCATACAACAATGGTTAACTATGACTTGAATTAGATATTTAGTTGATCTATGGCGTTTTTTGAATGACCCGATGATGGGACCCCATTCCCAGGGGTCATCCCACCAGGATTTTATCCATTGGATCACGGGGGGTGTCCAGGTGTGACCCGCAAAGATAGAAATCATCAGACCATATACCAAGGTAGGACAGTAGGACAAAGAACTTCCAACCAAGTGCGAAAGATACTGGTAGGAGGTGCTTGTTTTCATGGGTCAAAAAGAAGAGATTGTTTGTAATTAATCAACATCAAATCAAGAATTACACTGGGTGGATCTATGTTTTGCATGTGTTCAGCTTGAGGGTCTAGGGAGCTAGAATCAGAAGTATGGGAATTCAGCTTTTGGGTAAGATTGATCAGCTTGCAAGATCTTGCAAGTAAGGGGCTGACTCAAACGCTGATGTATCCCATTTGCAACACGATCTTGAAGACGATATGGTCGATTTTGACAATTTTGGTGGTGCATAGCTCAGAGACCCCTTGGTGGTGGATCTAAATGTTTCAATAAGCGCAAGCTGAAACCGCAGCCCACCAAACGATTTATGTGAGAAGTTCGAAAATCCATCACCATCAGACAGAGTTGGGTCAGCCCTTTTCTGGATCCAAAAATCAAGGGCGCACAGACTCTTCAAGTGATTTGTTTCATATGTTGGCCAGAATTAACAGCTGTTTGTTTTTCATTACTATGTGTATCATATTCATTGTATTCATCATATTCATGATAGTAATCATATCCATCTCATCTTCATTTTCATTTCCTTTTCCATCATCGTCGTCGTCATCATCATCATCATCATCAAACTCATCATCACCTTATGCATCATTACTTTATTCATCATCATCACCATCACCATTATCATCATCGATATTTTATTATGTTATGTTTGTTTTGTCATTATTATTATTTCTTTGATTATTTATATTTTATTTGTTTTAATTATTATTATTATTTGTTATTATTGTCGCCACCACCTCCATTGTCATCTTCATCACAATCATCATCTTCATCATCAGCAGCAGCAGCAGCCTCACCCTTATCCTCATCATCCTCGTCATCCTCATCCTCATCCTCATCATCATCATCACCATCATCATCATCCTCCTCATCATCATCATCATCATCACCATCATCATCATCATCATCCTCATCCTCATCATCATCATCATCATCATCACCATATCATCATCATATTTTTGATCGGCAGCATCATCATCGCCGGCATCACCATCACCAATGGCCTGTGCTAGGTGGCAGGAGTGCCCAGCGAACAATTCAACGATATGGTCGCTTCGAATTCAGTCCCTTCACACCCGGCTTGGCAAGCCGAAATGCAGCATGCGACTTGGCAATCGGTGGTTACCATAGGTTTGATATTGTTTAATCATGTTTAATCCATGAAAACATGGTGTTTACCCAAAAAACATTGAATAAAACAACAAAGACTAGGCCAGCTGGCTTGTAGCAACTAGGTTTGGGACGGTTTGTGATTCTTGGCGGATACATAGTTAGATACAAGTGGGGGGGGCTCTTGTTGTAAGTCTGGATCCGATATAGAGATGGTGGACCAAACCGTACAAACATATTCTGTATTCTTATGTATATTATGATTATATAATAGATGGATGTAGACGGTCTATGTCTCGCGTCAATCAAATTGCTCGAAATCAAGAAACCAGGATTAATGTTATGTAGTTTCGAGAGCAATGAAAGCCGTGCATGCAGGTGCGTTGTGTGTACTTCAAGGGAACGGTTGGGTGGTGCAGTGAGATGTACTGGGGGAGACGCCAATTCATACCAAACAAATCCTGAGAAAACTGAGAAACAAAATAATCAGGTACACGGGATTTTGGAGGCCACTCAGCTGCTCAACCTTTCTATCTGCCACGCTAGGCAGTTGGTCACGTGCCTTCACCTGCCACGCAGCAGCAGATGTCTTTGGAGGTCGGTTGTTTTTTTTTGTGTGTTCGTGGCAGGGAACAAAGTTGGTCTATAAGTAGGCTAAAGATTGATGGTGAATATGTATGGTTATATCATGACAATATATCTACCGGTACCAGTGGATGGTTGCATAATCAGTGTACAAGTGTGGGAGCAGTATCTTGAAGGGTGTACCACAACAATCGCAGCGTGAGACATGAGGATGCCCAGGATGCCGCAGTTCATATTTGCATGGTCAGTGATTCCATGAAGAAAACATGTTACTGATTACATCTTTTTTGCAATCTTTTTGTTGGATCTTGGTGAATTATCTCCACTGATGTTTCTGGTTCTATCATGTTCTATCCCTGTCAGTGTTGATGAACAATCCTAGTTGATGATACTGGCTATCCGCTAGCTACATCCCCACCTTTGCTTATTAAGATCTTTGTTACGATATCCAACTGAGCAGGCGGCGCACCACCCCTCGGCGCACCGCGTGCCCTCCGCACAAACTGATCACCAGGCTTAGGGCTTAGGGGTCGGGAGCTGCAGGGGTCATTTTGAAAGACCATGGAGGTTTTGAAACTAAAGTTACTAAAGACTGAAGATTACAATTTGATACATTGGCTGGAAATGGGAAACCCATATTTTCTCTTGCAGAACCCGTCTAAATGTGGTGGATTCTCATTAATTGGCAAGCGGGTGCTTGGGGATATGAGCAACCTATTCTTGGCGGTATTGAATTGTTGGGCATGGCTCTATTCACGTACTGGTATGGTTTGATCTTCATCACCTGAGTATGATAAACACTGTTCACAAGCAACTTTGTGGGTTGTCAAACCACCAAATCTGAAGAGGGTTCTCGAGTGTTCAGTTCCGTTGGTGTGTGGATTGTTCAAATGCACAACAATACTCAGATGTGAGTTTGCCCAAAACCGTGATAATTAACAGAAAATCATCCAACGTGATCCAAGATGACCATTTAAAACGAGACAGATTGGTTAACCTCGAGCTTCTCAGCCATGGAATTGGGCAGACGTTTTTTTCTCAAACAAACCCAAAATGACGGCCTTCCCCTTAGCCGTGGAAACCAGGAGCAAAGCGTCACAGATGGGCAGTGGGCAGCGGGCTCCTCAAATTTCGGTGGTGATGTTCTGGTTTGCCACACAATTCAAAGTTGTTCGGGCTGGCTACATTGCACATTTTTAGGGATGAAGGAATGGGCGTTTTCACGTCCACTACAATCCAGATCGATGAACTGTAGTTGTTGTTAGTTTTGCAGTGTTTTGGTTTTGGTATTTGGGTGTTTTACATGGGTTGATTTATGGTATAAACCCATGGTATGTCGAGTTCAGCATTGTCTCAAACCTTGGAACCATAGGCCATAAATCAGGGAATCCCCAGCTTGACGTGGGCCTATTCCAAATTGTAGTTTAGCATGAAAAACCTGAAAAACAATGGAGAACTGCTGTGTAGTTTTAATAATCATTGTTCCGCCAATGCCTGGGATGATAGCCCCTGGTGTTGTTTGGGCTACCGCGGCACACCCCCATCACAGGCATACTACCAACAGCAACAGGCGTGGAAGAGAATGGTGCTGTACCTAGTTTTTTGTCATGACGGAACCAAAAGAGTAATGAGGTAATTAAACCCGATAATATGTACTTATAATAATGGTTTGCCGGATAAAAATGAAAGTATGGGATGATCGTGGGAAAATTATTGAGTTAGTCCATCCTCAATCTTTTAATAATGGCGATGATGCAAGATGTCCTATAATAGATGGTTTATACTTGGTCATATACCTAATATACCTGCATCCTGGAAAAAAAACAAAGGAATAATTAATGAATGCTCATTTGAGATATCTGGTTTTTTTGAACACATTTTCTCCAAATGACAGTAATTGCACCACTCTTGGCCTTTTTTCACTTTGTGCGTTTTGAAACCAAGATTCTGAATATATTTTCTCGGAAAAGAAACGTCAAATTCCCGAGAAGAACACATAAATACCTGTCCGTCAGGATACACATGAGCGTTTTGTTGGTTCAAGTGAGCATAAAAAATCAGAATGAGCAAATTCCAAGCCAAAATGTTATATATGAGCAGAGAATACCTATACTACTAGGGTGAGGACCACCCATGACTTCAATGAGATTTGAGGATGGAACCACTAACCAGATGTGTATGATGCATGTGTACATATATTATTTATATATTAATTATTAATAATAATTATATATGCACCATCCATATATATATATATACATATATATTTATGCATAATATAATTATATTCCATAACGACCTCGCCAGCCAAACCCCATGTAGAGGATCGCTTCTATATTGAAAAAACATGAAAAAACCATCGATGTCATAGCCATAGCACAACGCATGAAGTTTGAGCGTCCTCTTATTCTATGTAGATGCACGGGTATGGGTCCTAAGTTAGCGGCAACAAAATAATGGAGTTTAGATAAGTTTAGCCAGCAAACACAGGTATGTAACCCAACATGTACAAGGGCTATGAGCGGTGCTGGTCAAGTCATTGGGTACGAAGAGACAGTCCATTTGCGGATCCAAATGAAGTGTTTGAAAAAAGGGAGTGTCGGAACACATCATCGAAAATTGGTCATTTCTCATGGAAAAACAAGTGGATTTTTGGGCACCCCGCACTGGGGCTTGAATCTTGACCCAGACAAATATGCAGGTGATGAAAGAGAGCAATTGTTTTTTTCGGCTGGAAATTACGCTACAGATTGCAGCCTCCTGAACCTGTAGTAAGCTCTCGGGATCTTCAACCCATGAATCAAGCATTAACCATGAACGCTTGGTTCGATGAAATATGAACCCTTGTTGTTGGGGCTACCGCGGCAGACCCCCATCACAGGCATCACACGCATACTACCAACAGCAGCAACAGCAGCAGGCGCGAAAGATAATCATGCCTGCACTGAGTGTTTAGTCATTATAGGGGACCCCAAGACTTAATGAGGTAAACCCGATAATGTATATGTATTACATTTTTTTTGCCCAGATAAGAAGGAAGCAAGTATTGGATGATTCAGGGAAAGTTGTTGAGATAGTCCACCGTCAGTTTTGCTTTGTGATCTGTGGATATACCCATAGTAAAAGACGTCCCCCAAATGGTTGATAATTGGTCAGATCTTGGCTGCACTCGCCACATTCCTACCTTTGCTCCTTGACGCCTTGTTACAGAATCCAACTGAGCAGGCCATGCACCACGCGCCCTCTGTGCCCTCCGCGCCCTCCGCGCAAACCGATCACCAGGCTGAAGGGGCTGGAGCTGCAGGGATCATTTCAAACGTCCATGGTGGGGCAGAGTTTGTGGAGTTTGAAACTATGAAAGATTACAAGTTTGCTACATTTTGAAACTAGGAATCTGATGAAATCTACCTACATCTGTAATTTGTGGTATAAGCGTTTGATGCTCGGGTATTTAGGTACCCAGATTATCCTTCAGCAAACTAAGCTGCACGCAGGAAACCAACATGTTCCCATGTGGAAACGCCATCTAAACGTGATTGATGTTCATGGATTTTCACCCAATTGGCAAGCAGGTGCTCTAGGATATGAGGCACCTATTTCTCTATATATATTGCGTTGTTTGGTATGGCTCTTTTCAAGTATGTGTTGATTGTCATCAGCTGAATTTGGATGATAAGCAATATTCACCAGCAATTTTGTGGGCTGTCAAACCATCAGCCAGATCCCATAGGCATTGGCAAGAAGTCGTAAATCGGAAGAGGGTCCTTGAGTGTTCATTCCCATTGGATCCCATTGGTGTGTGTGTGTGGACTGTTCAAATGCAACGGCATACTCTGAAGTAAGTTTGTCCAAAAAGTGGGGGATCAAAATCTTCAAAATTGGGTCCAACATAATGTTCTAAAGTCGTCCAAACGGTGAGATTTTGCGATATCCTATTCTCAAGCAAACCCAAATGAGAGGTTTGCTTTTGGCCCCGTGAAAACTAGGCGCAACGCGCCCTGGATGAGCAGCGGGCACTAGCCGAGGCTCCTCAATTTTTCGGTGCTAGAGGTTCTGCTTTGCCACACAATTCATGGTGTTTCAGTCTGTTTACATATCCAGATCTATCCACATCTTGGAAATTAATGCCGCATATGTGAGTCCTTTGTCACTAATTCAATGGCAGTGGTATGTAATTAAAACTGATAAAATGGTAGTGTTGTTTCTCAGCTTTGTTGCGGATGTGCTATTGGCCTTACAAGATATATAACATTATATTATATTATATATACATTATTATATATAATATGAACAGGTAACTATGAATGGGTTTGTCTCAAATTTTGGAGCCCCGAAATGCCCGAAATCCAACAAATTTTCACTGAGAATCATGTTCCCTTCTCACTTTGCAACATGCCATACTAATAGCGGTATCCCATTTTGAGACAAACCCATACGCCAAACTGGAAACGAGCGGAGAACTGGTGTGCGATTTTAGATTTTGCTCCACCAATGCAAACTAGTAGGTTGATAACCCCCAATGACTTCAAGGAGGTTTGATGATGAAAGCACCAACCAGGTCTGTATGATGCATGTGTACATATTGTATGTATATTTATATATACAATTATATTTCATAGCGACCTCGCCGGCCAAACCCCATGTAGAGGATCGCTTCTATATTGAACAAAAAACAATCGATGTCATCTCACAACACACGAACATGGGATGGTTTGCGACATCCATAGTTGTCCTTTTATGTCCTTTTTTGGTCGAAAGGGATTTCCCCAATTTCATCCAAAATTGATCATGTTTTTTGGGACCGCACTCTCAGGTTTTAATCTTGACCCAGAGCCACACGCTGGCGATGGGGAATCATGATTGTTTCACATGACGCTCACATGGAGTTTCTCCGAATACCGCCCCGGCCGTTTGAATCAAGCATAAAAAAATCCGATGAGGTCTTGAACCCATAAATCAACCACTCCCTGGATGCGGAACCGGTGTTGTTTGGGGCCCGGCTAGACTGCGCGCTTGCAACAGCATCAACAGCATCAACAGCATCAGGCGCTGACTGGGATGGTGCCTGCAGTGGACTTCCTCAAGACCCAGGATAAACAAACACCCAGTTTACAGAGATGAGGGGGACTACATTTTCAAAATACAACTTGTATTGTAATTATTCCGCATGCTAATGAACTTGGTGTTTATTGATCCTGGGGTGACATTCCGTCTGACAGTTTGGCGATTCAGACATGGAATCGTGCAAGCTGCCCCAGTGATTGGGAGGAAAAAATCCAAGTGTACTTTCAAGACTGGTTGACAAGCCTAGTCAAACCTTTATGGGCTACAGTCCGCTATCGCTGATACTCCAATGTTTTGAATAGTGAAAATTACTATGTTGAATTATTTGAGTTTAATATTAAAGGGTGATTCCTCTACTGTCTGTGAATTTTCTCCTAAAATCTGATGCGGTCATGGAGTAAACAGCAATGCAGCCATCCAGTGGGATAAGAACGGTTGAGGCGAAAATCTAGAGGAACCCCCACTATAGATGCTGGTGAAAAGCACTATTGTTTCCTATAATATCCTATAATCATCTATAATCACTTTCTTTGTTTATGAGATATTGCATAGAAAACCCAGTCCCGCGATTTGTTTAAGGCGGAAATCTACATGGTTTACCTTACATTTGATGGTAACAAGCGTTGTTTCCCGCCAGGTCTTGGACACACAAGAAATCTGGGATGGATTGAAGGGAGACTTTGAAGGAAGCCCATTCATCTGGGGGTAACAACCCATGATTTCCTTGCAAACCTTCCCTTAAGTCATCTTGCATCAATCCACTGTTCCATTCGTTGGGCCGACGTGAAGCCTATGAGGCCTGGGCCGCGGCTTCCAGCCCCTCGTGGCATGGTTGGGGGCCTGGTATGGCCTGGTGGAACGGTGAAAGTTGGTGGAAAATTGGGCCAAATATGAGAGGATTGATTCTACGACTCGTACCGAACAAGTGGATGGAAAACTCGCAGCACATGACCGAAATTCTGATCACCCAAATCTTGCGTCGCTGTGGAGAAGAAGCAGGGTTAATAACCACAGTTTCCTATATCCCATATGTTCTATGCATTTTTCTCACTATAAATGAATCACTTGTTGAGCACATATTGGTAAATAATAGGAAGTAAATATAAGATTATAAGCACATATAAGCACCAAGGAGCATATGGACATGGTGACGTTAATGATCCAGTTGCCATCCTTTGTCCCGTCACAGCATGTCGCAACTTACCCCAGCACGGCCCTTGGAGGACATAGTGCCGCGCAAGCCCCACACTCGATGCAAGGTGCAGCACTTCTTCGGTTTTCAGAGATGGGCATGGGTCAAAATACACCAAAATACCATGTGTGGAGGATGAACGTGGATGAACATCCATATATAATTATCATTGATTATCTATGCCAGCTACATTGATGTGAACAGAAGGGCGTCAAGGCTTTGATTATAGCTAGCTTCCCGCATGTTTATTTTTTTTTGTGTGGGTAACATGGGAGGAGTTCACCATCCATGTTTTTTTTTCGGAAATTGATGTTGTTTTGGTCACCTTTGACATGAACTATCCACTTTTTCGGGATGTACTCTCGTCCAATTGTTTGGGATGCAAAAACAAAATATATTTTTAGTTTTTTCGTTTTTTTTCTCCGACCCCCTCCCTGGAGGCTCTATATTTGAATGTAGAATCTAATTATTTTGATAGGACACATGGTTTTAACACTATACTGTCTAAAGATGTTTTTTGTATCGTTTGTTGTTTTTTCTTTCGAAAAAAGGATTACACGATTGAGAGGATAAACGCCTAAGGTACTACTGTATCCAAATGGTATTGTCTTAACATATTGTCTTGTGGGATGCTGCGCAAAATTCAACCTAACTATAAAACATACATACTTTCACATTATAGGGTATTCTAGGAACATGGTAAAATGAAGCCCTGGTGGCGTTCCTCTCTGATGTTTTTCTCATTTAACATGCTTTGCTTCCGGACAGGAGCTCCCTGGCAGTGGGTCCATGTTCAGGCTTCACAGGTGCCAGAAGCTGCAGGGCCTGAATCCCACAGATTTTCTGATGGTTGGTGAAGAATTCATCAGATCATGCGGTATTTATGGGAAACTAAGCTTTTAATGATGATGAATGAAGATAATCATGGATGGTATAGTGAATGATGTCCATACTTTCCCATAGTTCATGGATATGAATGATGATAATGATCGATTATAATGGGATCCTTGAGAGTCGAATAAACGATCTCTTAATCTCTTACTGTAATTATCAATGGAAAATAGTGATACTTAAGAATGGATAGAAAGGATACTCAATGGGATCTTTCTGCAGGTTTACAATGATAGGAAATTGTTATTGTGTGATAGTTTCTATAATGAATGGATACAATTGGGATAATTAAATAACAACGAATTGATAATTCCATGGTTGTAGGATAATCTGTTCTTTGTTTATTTATGGGAAAATATCCTATTAATTAATGATGATTAGCGGGGATAGTTGATAATTATCAAGCATCAGAAAATTCTCATGGGATAGTTAATACCGTAGTGGATAGTGAATTAGTTCAGATTTAACAGGCATTCATGGGATCGTGGTACAATGTAATGTATGATTACAGTAGTTATTTGATGTTATATGATCCATGGTCGTATTTCCATGGTCAGAATTTTCATAGATGAGGATTGATGGGGATAATGTTGATGAAAATGATTGTACGTATATAGTGGAATGATCACTTTCATCAATTACCATTATCCCATGTGCTTATGTGAACTTATGTGTATGAAAATGGGGATATGTACATATCCCTGAATTCACCGTCACTTTACCGTTTGTGAACATGGACCATTTAGTTCGATGATTTTCTGTGCTAAAATAGCAGACGGTACAGAATTTCGACAATGTATAATGATAATCCATCTGTCCGTTATCACCTGTGAAGTACCGGCCCTCGCGCTTACCTAGACACATATGTACCAGACATGTATGTACATTTCTATAGTTGCTCCGCACGTGTTTGCTGATCAGGTGCAGCTGCCCAGATGATATCCGTGTTATTTTCATTGACCCTTCACGGTTGCCTACCGTGTGCTCATTGGTGGTTTCAAATATGTGTGTATATATACACATATTCATATACATATACGTATATATATATACACATAAACATTTACAGATAAAATTATTTATATATACATAAACACATATATATATACATACATATACAAATATACAAATATTTACATATATACATATATACATATACATATACATATATATATACATACACGTATATATACATATATATATATATATACAAACATATATACATATATATATATATAAACACATCTATACATCTTTACATATATACATATTTACATACATACATATATACATCATATACATATATACAGTACATATATACATATATACACATATATACATATATACTACATATATACATATATAGACATATACACATATATACATATATACTTATATATACACATACATATATACATATGTATACACATATATACACATATATACATATATATACACATATATATACACATATACATATGTAATATATATATATATATACATAATATGTATATATATATATACATGTACATATATGTGCATATATGTAATTACATATATATATATACATATATATATATATACATATATATATATATACATATATATATATATATACATACATATATATATATATAAACGTATTTACATATATATATAAATATACACATTTACATATATTCATATATATTTAGATACATATCACATATATATATATATATATATATATCATATATATACATATACACATATATACACATACATACACATATATACACATATATACATATATATATACACATAGATATACACATATATAGACACATATACGCATATATACAGATATATTTAGATACATATCACATATATATATATATTACATATTGAATATATATATATATATATCCTCCTGGGAATTTAGCCTAAAGACTGGAGGACATGATGTCTTAAAAAAAACTGTATTTTTTAAGGGACATACCTGGCCGGCAAAAAAAAAAAACAGTTTCATTTTTTAAGAAAATACTGTTGTTTAACGGTCTCCTATTCTTTAAGAGGCCTTCCTAGGAAGATTCTAGGAACTTGTTTTTTGATATGTTCATCAATGTTTTTGGGATTGTGTGTCAAATGAAAACCAGCTTGCCTGCCGCTTGAACAGATGCTCACAAGCAGAAGACGTGAAGGTGAGATGGAAGATGAAAACGTGATGAGTGAATGCATGTAAATGATCCCCCTTGGAATTTCCACTAAGCGGGTTGTCACAAAAAACTTTGTTTTTTTAAATGCAAAAACAGATGATTTTTCCACATGGCTGGGGCAATAGACAAGCTCTTTGAATTTTTGCGATTTGCTAAAACTGCTGTTGTGCGCCGGCCATCGTTTGTATCGTAGATGAGCCAAACAAGTTTCAACATTGACAACACATTTCAACTGATTTTTCAACAAGGACATTCTTCAGGGACGCCGGACTATTGCACATTTATGAGCGTTTGAAAACAGAGCATTCGAAAATCATATGGTGTTTTCCCTCTTGGAATTTTCCCTGGCTAAAGCATAAGTCAACCCGGGTTATCAGTTCCCCCTTGGCTCTTTAGAGATTTTTGATTTGGAACCCTAAGTTGAGTTTGTCAATGTTTAAAGTGCTGGCCAAAACATGGCTCAATAAACGCAACCAAACTGACACTAGATATGATAAAAGCAGCAGATTGCATATATTGATTTATACAAATAAATATGTTTATCGTTTTGCAAGGTATAGCTCTAAAGAATCAGACACCAGCTCGAACCCAGTCCAGTTCTCATATCCAGACGTCCCCGGAAATCCCCAAGATCCCCAGGCATAACACCAATTGTCTCTAGAAGAACCATCGAAACCCACTGTGTCCGGAGGTATGACCTCATTTTTTATAGGCACCCTCCCAAAAAATACCCCAAACTGTGAAAAACTGCCAGGTTCTGCAGGGTCGACACGCCCTGAGCCTCTAAAGAATCAAAGCACCAGCTCAGAAAAAAACAGTGATTTGGCAGGACCTGATTCTTTAAGGACACCCTTCCCTGTGTCGGGAGGCAGGACCTGATTCTTTAGTGGCACCCTCCCCAAAATATCATCCCAAGTTGTAGGGTCGACAGGCCTGAGACTTTAAAGAATCAAAACACCAGCTCGAACCCAGTCCAGGTCTCATATCTAGACGTCCCCAGGAAATCCCCAAGAACCCCAGGCATAACACCAATTGTCTCTAGAAGATCCATCGAAACCCACTGTGTCCGGAGGTATGACCTTATTTTTTAGTGGCACCCTCCCAAAAAATACCCCAAACTGTGAAAAACTGCCAGGTTTTGCAGGGTCGACACGCCCTGAGCCTCTAAAGAATCAAAAACACCAGCTCAGAAAAAACAGTGTTTTGGCAGGACCTGATTCTTTAAGGACACCCTTCCCTGTGTCGGGAGGCAGGACCTGATTCTTTAGTGGCACCCTCCCCAAAATATCCCAAGTTGTAGGGTCGACAGGCCTGAGCCTTTAAAGAATCAAAACACCAGCTCGAACCCAGTCCAGGTCTCATATCCAGACGTCCCCAGGAAATCCCCAAGATCCCCAGGCATAACACCAATTGTCTCTAGAAGATCCATCGAAACCCACTGTGTCCGGAGGTAGGACCTTATTTTTTAATGGCACCCTCCCAAAAAATACCCCACACAGTGAAAAACTGCCAGGTTTTGCAGGGTCGACACGCCCTGAGCCTCTAAAGAATCAAAACACCAGCTCAGAAAAAACAGTGTTTTGGCAGGACCTGATTCTTTAAGGACGCCCTTCCCTGTGTCGGGAGGCAGGACCTGATTCTTTAGTGGCACCCTCCCCAAAATATCCCAAGTTGTAGGGTCGACAGGCCTGAGACTTTAAAGAATCAAAACACCAGCTCGAACCCAGTCCAGGTCTCATATCTAGACGTCCCCAGGAAATCCCCAAGATCCCCAGGCATAACACCAGTTGTCTTTAGAAGATCCATCAAAACTCATCGTGTCCGGAGGCAGGACTTCATTCTTTAATGGCACCCTCCACCAAAGAACCGGACACCCGGGTCAAAGACTGAATACAAATGGGGATATGTTGTTTACAATCAATTTTGATCAAACCAGAAAAATGAAACAAGAGGCGGCAGCCAAAGACAACGCTTTGGCAGAAGCTTCTGCCATGACAAAAACAGAAGCCGCTAATCTGGCATGGGCAAAAGAAGGGCAAATTTCATCTCCGGTGTGCAAAGGAATCATTTGGGTACGTTTGGTGTTTTTTTTTTTTATGTTTGTTGATGTCCACATGGTTAACATGGACGCCCTATTTTCTAGAGGTTTACTTTTGTATTTGTTTTTTTGTGTATTTTTTGTATGTGTTGTAGTTGGTTGCCTGGGCCATGATTTCTTAGATGGTCTTAGACCCCCTTGCATCCCAGGTAGGCATTCTTTAGATGTGCCATTTCAGTAGTGCAAGGTGGACCTCCGTTTTTTTCTAAAGAATGCTGGAGTCCATGTGAGGAGGATAATTCCAAGGAGAATTGTCAATGCAAGAATTTGTGTTAAAACACCTTCCAGAGTTGAAGAATGTTAAAGATGTGCTTTCAAACTTCACCTAAAGATGCCTAATAAATTCTAATAATCCTAATATGGACACAAATAAATAAGTCCAGATGTTCTCATATGATTGCATGCGCATCTTATTGATGATGCTTGACTGCGCTGTCGTCCATTCGACTGCAACTTGGGTATCCAATTCTTTAAAAGGGCACCCCTTCGTGTGCAACTTGGGTCTCCAATCCTTTAAAGGGACATACCTGGCTACTGTGTTGCAATCTTGGTTCATTGGGGTTAGATTCTTTAAGGCTGAAATTTGCCCTGGTTCGCATTCTTTAAGAGGCTACCAGTGGTCCCTTAAAGATTCAGGGGCCAGGGTCAGGACCCGAATTGCAAGGGGGATATATATATATATATACATTTTTTTTGTTTACATAACTCTTGTATTTACATGTATCATTTCCATCCCTACTTGGAATGGTGATCCGAATTGACTTTCGTTCCCGGTGGTCTCCAAGCCAACCGGATTTCTGTAGATGGGGATGTTATCATTTGAGACAAACGCGTGTTTTCAGACGACTTCAGCCCGACCCCTCCCTGCAACTACCAAGGCGACTACCCTGTGCCACAACATGGGCCAAGCGCTTGCGTCGCTTGATGGAACCGATGAGATCGGCAGAATGGTGGTTTTGTTTGAATCATACGGGGGTACCTTGATTTGTGGCCATCAAGCAATGAGAAAAGGACGTTCAAAACGCTTGGAACTGAGGGTCTCCTAGACAGGGTATTTCATGATTCTTAGTTAATAAATCTTGATAATGGTATTGTTTGAACCCTGAGTGTTCACCAATGGATTTACCAAAGTGGTCACTTGTACGATCTGAAACCATTTTTTAAAATAGTTTTGCATACTTTTGCTTCATCTCCATTAGTTTGGGATCTGCACTGCTCCAACCTTTTACAGATCAATGATAGCCACAAGAGGAGCAATAAAGTAAATGTACCTTTATTTGCCCAATTTTCCCAACGGTATTTGGGGTGTTGGAGCAAACATGTGAATGATTGTTTTCTATTGGGAATTATACTCCCTTTTACAGGAGATGTTTGTGACATGTTATTAAGAAATGATGTTGCAGATCAACCATTGTGGTAACCATGATCCTTCAGCATGGTGGCAGGGGCTCTTTATAGCTCTTGGTAATCCATTTAGCTGCAGGATTCAGTTGATGATTTGATGAGGCTTCATGATCGCGCCCATTTTGCGGTATTTACCCACTGTGGGGAGTCAGAAAAAGTCGGTGTGTCTCACTCCCAAACAAAACCACGCGACAGTTCCCTGCAACCATCCGGATCAGTTTTGGGAAGATTATTCTCCCATCATGTCACCGCTGGATACTTGAGGGACGTCACCGGTCCCTGGTGACATTCTCACTTGCCAAAGAAAACAACACCTCTATTCATGGGTTTTGGCGTTTGTTGGAGGTGTGGGTTGATACATTTGCAGAGTGTAGCTATTTGTTTCTGGATTGTTGATCCATACATTTATGTATTTGGGGACTTTGGTCCAGTCGTTTGGTCAAGAAAGCCTCTTCGTGCCAAGCTCAGGCCGCAAGCAATGAGCCCACAGATGAACGCACAGATGAGCGCGCAGATGCAGGTGCAGATGAACGCGCACATGAACGCGCAGATGAACACGCAGATGAATGCGCAGGTGGGACCTTCAGAGTTTGGGGGTGTTCAGCAACAAATTTGGGCTCAGGTATCTGAAATGGAGGTAAGCAACGGGTAAAGCCAACCGTAATGAAGCCATATTGTACCGCGTGCAGTCTGGTCTAAATGATAATTGACTGAAACACTGGGTTTGTTCTAGTGGGTTTGCGACATTGCTAGGTGCCAAATCCCAAAAAGATTGGCAGCAAATTATTAGTGTCCATTTCAGGGCCAAGCGACGTTAGGACCCTCTTGAGGAAGTCTCAATTTTGATTCAATTTAGGAGGCCACGAATACGGAGGAAGAGTAGCCAGATATATCCGAAGCATTCCGAACTGTACTCTGTCTCTTCGATAGATGCGCTGTCTCCCTGCGTCCCTGAATCCCTAGCCTTGAAACTTTCCTGGGCCATGAGTTCACAACATGTTTTGCAGATGAGGGCGAAAGCGGGAAATGGTTTCTTTCTCGCACCACAATAACCACCCTTGATCAATCTCACCATCAATGATGGGCAATGCTGAGGCGCCACCGCCACCTCCAACTGGCAACAACCCGGGGAACCCCCCTTGGCGCCGCGAGCCACCCAAGAACCAGGACACGGGTTGGAGGATCATCCTACCCTAGGGACCCTTTGGATATGGCAATGGACCTAGAATTCCCCATATCGTTGAGTTGGATATGATTGGGTACATTATAAATACTTACTTACATGTAATAATACATATATATAATATATATGTATATGTATATATTTGTTGATTTACATATATACAGTATATATACATATATATTCATATTTACATATATACATATATGCATATTTACATATATACATATATGCATATTTACATATATATATATGCATATATACATATACATACATATACATACATATACATACATATACATACATATACATACATATACATACATATACATACATATACATACATATACATACATATACATACATATACATACATATACATACATATACATACATATACATACATATACATACATATACATACATATACATACATATACATACATATACATACATATCCATACATATACATACATATACATACATATACATACATATACATACATATACATACATATACATACATATACATACATATACATACATATACATACATATACAGACATATACATACATATACATACATATACATACATATACATACATATACATACATATACATACATATACATACATATACATACATATACATACATATACATACATACATACATAGATACATAGATACATACATACATACATATATATATATACACGCACACATATATATATATGTACATACGCTCATATAATTATACATTTATAAATTATTTTATATCTAGATCTGTAGGTATTGGATACGACTATTTATCAACTTTATAACTGGGAGGCCCTTACTGTAGACATGTCAAATCATGCCTGGTTCCTTATTTTTCACATCAAACAACTGAAGAGTTTCTGTTAAAATAAAGTTTGGATTCCTGGATGGGAATCGTATAGTACTCAATATGACGGTACCAAGGTTCAGTGCATGGCAGTTGCGGGGGAGAAACTAAGTCTGAAATGTAGCACAATGCAGGGTACTTGCAAGATCTCGCAAGCACCCTGGAAACATCGGCGTGAACTGGGCAAGTATTTGAGATGACTGGTGCTGAAATTGAAATCCCTGGCAAAATGCCCGGGCATCAGCTTCCTTTGGATTAGATATTTAGCTGATCTGTGGTGATCTTCAATGACCCTCCAATGATCAGATCCCCATTTCCCTGGTCGCCGGTTCCTTTCCATTTCCTGTTGGTGTCATCCCAGCCAGGAACTAGGAACCCATGGCATCCATGGCATCCATGGCATGGAACTTTGAGTCATAGGATGTCATGAGATTCTTGCCAGGAAGAACACAACACGATGGCTCTGCCTGGAATGGCCCAATCCGACACTGGCGAGGATCGCGGGGGGTGTCCAGGTGTGACCCGCAAAGATAGAAGTCATCAGAGTATAAAGGTTGGACAGTAGAACAAGAAATTTCCAACCAAGAGCGAAACATAGGAGGTGCTCGTTGTCATGTGTCAAATAGAAGATACGATTTGCAATTCATAAACATCAGATCAAAAATTACACTGGGTGAATCTATGATTGGATGTGTTCACCTTCAGGGTTACGGAGCTAGAATCCGGACTATGGACAATTACTTTCGGATTGTGAGGAAGCAGCTGGACCCACTCAGATTCGGGCGCTTCCCATCTTAAACACATGATCCTTAGGCCACGGACAGTCTGGTAGATTTTGATAATTTTGGAGCATAGCGCCGTTTCAGCAGAGACTTCCTGGTGGTGGTCAAAACCGTTGGGCTGCTGGGTCCAAAAGCCATCACCATCAGAGTTGGGTCAGCCCTTTTCTGGATCCGAAAATTATGGCTGCACAGACCGTTCAAGTATGTTCAAGTGATTTGTTTTATATCTTGGCCGTGGTTCATACTGGTAGCTGACTGATTGTTCATTACATATATATATATATATACACACTGTATTAATCGTATTCATCATCATCATCATCATCATCATCATCGTCATCGTCATCATCATCATCATCATCATCACCGATGGCCCGTGCTAGGTGAGAGCAATGTCCACGGCCCAGCAAATGAACAGGCTCAACACCATGAATCCAGTGCCGGAGCTGCCGGCCCAGCAAGCCAAAACGCAGCCTGCGACTTGGCGTGGCAAAGCCTGGCATGTTTGCGGACACAAACTATATATGTATATATATATATATACGTATTTTATTATATCATATATATATATATTATACAGAAGATATAGCATTATTGACCTGGACATTCCACGTTGAGAAATCACTAGTTTTTCCTTGTTTTGGGCCAACTTTACCCGCGAAAGTTTTGTTTTGGCTCAACTAGTTCAAAAAGAGAAACAGCTCAAATGGCTCAATTCTTAGCTGATCCTTAAGTTACGCAGGTATACTGCATGTTTACCACATTAAAAAAATCATGTTGAACATAAAGTATCTTATTGAGCTTGATTTCTTGTTTGCTTATGTGTGTTTTTATCGTATTTGATTGTTCATTTCTGCATTTATTATGTGTTCACATAATATACAGTTTATACTAATGTTCATACACACAATACCCAACATGATAAACATTGATGTTACCCCGTGGTGCGCTATCTCCATGTTCCCATTCCATCAGCATCATCAGCCCCCAGTGCCCTGAGGACGCCGGGCAACGGGCGGCTTCCCCGACCAAGGAGACCTAGATCCTGCCTTAAGCCATTGGTTTAATAGGTGTTCATGGATTTGGTATGTATATATATATAATATATCAATATATATTTATATATATTGATATTATATTGATTACACAGATCTTTTGGGATATGATATTACCATGAACTATAGAGACTTAGCTATCCAAATGGAACCTACTGGTAAGCCGCAAACAATGGGAATTTAAGATGATTTGACAAAGTGATATGGGGATCCAAAGAACCACGATTTGACTGGATTGAAGCGACTGAAATGGCAGTTTCACTAACTAAACATATGGATTTTATTCCAAAGAAGGAGAAGTGAACAAAGATGGCTTTGTAGCCAGAATTCACTGTAGGATGACCTTGGTAAGAAACACCGTATATATTTTATATTTGGTTGAAGGTTCCACTCATCGGTGTTCAATCCCATTTGAGATGGTCAAGGTTGTGTCATTTTGTCCAGGGCTGATCCAATCCCAACAAGGACATTTAGTCAAACATTAGTTGTTTCTTCAATACCACCAGCAGGTAGTATGAAGCACCGACACAAGTCACTGGGTAATATTGTTTACATCTAGAGATAGATAGTGTGGTGTGATAGGGTCCCGCCCGGCGCCCGGTAATCCCCCCAATGGTATCCCACCGTCCCCCTGCACGCCCAGACGCATCCCACAGTGGAGTTCGGGGGGTAAACTAGACCCTAGATCAAGCCTACATACTGCCATACTTACATGCTAGCCACATACTACCTACTTACTGTCTTACACGCTAGCCACACACTACCTACATGTTGCCTTACATGCCAGTCACACACTACCACTCATCCTAGAGGGGGCAAGGGGGGGTGCAAAGTATATCCATGTATATCCCAAGCATAGCCTCGTACATACAGCCTACATATATCAGGGAGGGTTAAAGTGTGGGCTTGCTGGGCTGTACCATGTTATATATATATAAAGCAAATGCCCGGAGTTTGCCTGCGGTCTCAACAACAACGCATTTTTTTACTCCTTCCAAACGTTTAACATCATGCACAGGCCCACTGTCTTTAAGCTTCTCAAACAGCAAACCTAAAACCCTAAACCATGAAACACTGAACCCGACACCCTTAAACGCTGGACCCTGAAAACCTAAACCTCAAACCCTAAATCACTGCGTGCTGCTAGCGGTTATTGTTCTTGCAACTTCACAGAACGATGTTGACTCTGCGCAAGTTTTTGACTTGCAATGCCAGGGCAGAGTCCAGACATTGCGGATATCTACCATGTGTATACACATGTGTATATATGCACATGCTATATTTATGTAATTATTATCGAGCATGTATATTTGTATCTGATATATATAGATATATATGTATACACATTATATGCATCACATAAACATATATATATATAGAAATGCGAGTAGTATTAAGATACGTGCCTAGGATCTATCTATCTATCCATCAATCAATCTATCTATCCTATACTATCCTATCCTATCCTAGCCTATCCTATCCCATCCATCGATCTATCTATTTGTCTGTCTGTCTATCTATCTCTCTATCAATCTATCTATCTTAGCTTATCTTATTTTATTTTATCTTATCTTATTTTACCTTATCTTATCTTATCTGATCTTGTCTTATCCTATCCTATCCTATCCTGTCCTGTCCTATCCTATCCTATCCTATCCTATTCTATCTATCTATCTATCTATCTATCTATCTATCTATCTATCTATCTTATCTATCTTATCTTATCTATCTTATTTATCTTATCTTATCGTATCTATCTTATCTGTCTTATCTATTTTATCTATTTTATCTTTCATATCTATCTTATCTATCTTATCTATCTTATCTATCTTATCTATCTTATCTATCTTATCTATCTATCTATCTACCTATCTATCTATCTACCTATCTACGTACCTACCTACCTACCTTGTCTGTCTGTCTCTCTACCTATCTATTTGTCTATGTATATATATATATATATTGAATGGTTTGACAGTAATACGATATTCCTGGGTGAACAACATTGTTGAATTAAATAAGTCTATTGCAAGATTACGACGTCGGGTAGGAGTTGTCGACGGTCACTTGTTCTAGGGTCGCTTCACGCCAAAAGCTTTGATGACATGAGCCACCTTATCATTAATCCCTTTCACGATCAAAGTAAATACCACAGGAACAAAACCCTGATTTTGCACTGGATCTTTGAATTGGAATTGGCGGGACCAGTCATCCGCCATTGGATTAATTATCCCATCTACATCCTTCTTTTTTCCAGAGGATTGATGGAGGGTTCCCAAAGTAGGGGTGCCCCAAATCATCCAAATTAGACTATTTGAGTATTGAAACCCATGGTTTTTGGGATCCCACATTTTAAGAAACCCCATGTGCAAGCATGTTTCAGCCCTATCCAAAGCTTTTCACATTCCCTGACCATTGCAGGAGGCAAAGGACGACCCAACAGGTCGCATAAAGCATCAAGAGGCGCTACATAGGTGGACATTTTAACTATCAACTTTTGGTTGTTTTTGCTGAAGATGAACCTTGCTTTGTTTCTTCTTTGAAATACGACAGTGTTTATTTATCTTCAACGGTAATTAGTTCTATGTTGATTTATCCCGTAACTTCTGGGCCCACAATGATCCGCAACGGAGAGCCATGCTGCAACAAAAAATGTAGATATTCGTGCGCTGTGCGGATATATACACATACTTTTGCACGTGCATATGTCTTTGCACGCCTATGTACGGTACATGATTAGGTTCAAAATGCATGCGGGTATAAATGAGCGGAATCATACACATGCGTTTTTTTGACGATTTCAAATCCCACCATGCTAATTTTATACATGTGATATCTTATAAGGGAGGTAAAATTCTATGGCAGATAGACAGCAGCTGTGGTGTTTTAGACGTTTTAGAGACTTCCTGTGGTGGGAAACTATTGGACCCCATTCCCAACAGCTTCCCAGACACTTACCATAAAACGTGAGTTTCTCCAAACATGAAGGGTACCGCATTTTATGGCCATTTCAATTGGGTAAAGCATGACCAATCAGAATGAAACTTTGTGGGGTCAGACTGCCGCAGGTGTCGACTTCTAAGCCTTCCCAGCCCAAGACCCAAAAGAGCACACCCTTGGTCAGCTATGAGGCCAATGGGAGGGGGGTGTTCACCGCTACCCATTACATACCCATCATATCCCAAGTACAGTCGATAGATAGAAATAGAGATAGGGATAGGGATAGATAGGGATAGGTTATATTAGATAGATAGACAGATAGATAGATAGAGATGGAGATGGAGATAGAGATAGATAGAGATAAATAAGTAGAGATACATAGAGATCAATGGAGATAAATATGGATATATAGATAGAGATAGATAGATATAGATAGAGATAGACAGAGATAAAAAGCGATAGATAGCAATATAGATATATACAGAGAGATAGATAAAAATAGATAAAGATTGTAGATAATGATAGACAATGATAAATACTGCTAGGTAATGCTGGATAGAAAACGCTAGATAGATATTGCTAGATAACAGTTGATAAGGATAGACAATGATGGACAGTTATAGATAATGAAGGATAATGAAAGATAAATATGGATCGATCGATAGATAGATAATCACATATAATCATAGATAAACATAGATATTGATTGATTGATAGATGGATATATATATATATACAGATAAATAGATAGATAGATAGATAGTATAGATAGGATAGATAGGATATATAGGATAGGTAGGATAGACTAGATAGATTGGATAGGTTAGATAGATTGGATAGATTAGATAGATTCGATAGATTCGATAGAATAGATAGATTAGATAGATTCCATAGATTCTAAAGATTCGATAGATTAGATATATTAGACAGATTAGATAGGTTAGATAGATAGGAAGATAGATAGATAGATATAGATATAGACGTATGTATATATATAGATAGATGTAGATGTAGATATAGATATAGATAGATGTAGATATAGATATAGATTTAGATAGATATATATATATATAGCCATATGTATCTAGATAATCTATAGATAGATAGATAGATAGATAGAATGATAGATAGATAGATAGATAGATAGATAGATAGACAGATAGATAGACAGATAGACAGATAGACAGATAGATAGATAGATAGATTAGATAGATTAGATAGATAGTTAGATAGAGAGACAGATAGGTAGAAGTATAGACATATAGAAAGATAGATCGATCGATGGAAAGATAGATAGATAGATAGCCAGATAGAAAGATAGATAGATAGATACATAGATAGTTAGATAGAAAGATAGATAAATAAGATAGATAAGATATATAGATAAGATAGATAGATAAGATAGATAAGATAAGATAAGATAAGATAGAATAGATAGATAGATAGATAGATAGATAGATATATAGATATATAGATAGACAGATAGACAGACAGATAGATAGATAGATAGATTAGATAGATTAGATAGATTAGATAGATTAGATAGATTAGATAGGTTAGATAGATTAGATAGATTAGATAGATTAGATAGATTAGATAGATTAGATAGATTAGATAGATAAGATAGATAACATAGATTAGATAGATTAGATAGATTAGATAGATTAGATAGATTAGATAGATTAGATAGATTAGATAGATTAGATAGATTAGATAGATTAGATAGATTAGATAGATAGATAGATAGATCGATCGATCGATCGATCGCTGGATCGATAGATCGATGGATCGATAGATCGATAGATCGATAGATCGATAGATCGGTAGATCGGTAGATCGGTAGATCGGTAGATCGGTAGATCGATCGGTCGATCGATCGATCGATAGATATATAGATAGATAGATAGATAGATAGATAGATAGATAGATAGATAGATAGATAGATAGATAGATAGATAGATAGATAGATATTTAGATAGGTAGATAGATAGATAGATAAATAGGTAGGTAGGTAGGTAGGTAGACAGACAGACAGACAGATAAATAATGATAGATATTGATGGATAATGATAGATAATGATAGACAATATATTTATATATTAAGCCCATGTAGTGCAATCAAAAACTGCTTGGGCCTTCTCACAATTATATAAGATACCGGATCGCATTCCTGCCGGGTTTTGGGTTCACCTAGGCCACCAGTGAATCGAAAGCCGCATGGTCGTCGCCACTGTTCCACCATGTTCCACCTGCCCAGGTGAGCTCTGATGGGAGCTATTCCGACACTGAGGTCGGCCCTGTTGGTCAGAGCTGGAAATACCTGGAAACATGGGGCTAGTTATGGATAGTTATGGATGTTCTGCCTGATTCACCCCCTAAAAAAGTCCAAAAAGTGGAATTCAATGTTTCAACATGTGTTTTAAAACTTTTCGCCCGTCTCCATCTTGTGAGATTACTAGAATTTCTTTTGCGGACATGCGACAATATGGAATGTCGGCAAAAGGCACATGATTTGCACATTGACTTGGAACTAGTCTCGGCTTCGAGAGGTGTGTGAACTTGGCAAGATATCGTAAATTCGGATAAATTTGTGTAAGACCAGTGAGTATATTCATTTTCGGGATGGCTCACTCAGAGAATGGGTCAGCTTGAGCCCATGCATTCTAGCGATGTGCCTTTCTGCCTCACAAGCAAGGACAGCGACAGCGACTCCGACGCGGAAGTGGTTGAAAAACCCAAACAGGCGGACACAGCCCTGGTACAATTTCTCCCAGGCATATGCCTAGGTAGATCCTTCTTGCAACCCTCCCTGACGAGAAATGACCTCAACGGCCCAGCATGACCTTATTTCAGGTTTGCGAAATAGGATCTGATTGGACTGAGCCCCTTTTGCTACAACCGGCCCCATACATTGTAATTATACCCCAACAAGAGATTTGATCAGCAATGGCTAGTTTCCTACGGCAGGCAGAGGCTAAAGTGGAGCGCAAAAAAGACATTGATTTGTTTCTCAGTCTTCAGCAGGCGGACCCTGAAGCTGGCCACCGCACCGGGTCAAATGAGAAAGATGTGTATAGTTCAAGTCACTGGGTGCCCCAAGTCATTGAAGTGCTTAATTTTGATCCAGACCCATACGGGCAATAGATGGGTATCAGCCATAGAATTTGGCCAGATACATAAGATTTTGGATTTTTTTTTTGGGGGGTCCTGCTCCTCGCTCCTATGGCTCATTTATCATCTATCGATCAATCTATCAGTGAAGCATGTTCACCAGGTGCATGTCACCAGGTGCATGTTGTGCATTAGATACACCTTGAGTAGCATCTATCTATCTATCTATCTATCTATCCATCCATCTATCCATCCATCGATCTATCTATCTATCTGTCTATCTATCTATTTGTCTATCTATCTATCTATCTATCTAACTATCTATCTGTCTATCTATCTATCTATCTAACTATCTAACTATCTCTCTATCTATATCTATCTATATCTATCTATATCTATCTATATCTATCTATATCTATCTATATCTATCTGTATCTATATCTATTTCTATCTATATCTACGTATCTATATCTATCTATATCTATCCATATATGTATCTATATCTATTTCTATCTATATCTATCTATATCTATCTATATCTATCCATATATGTATCTATATCTTTATCTATCTATATCTATCTATATCCATCTATATCTATCTATATCTATCTATATCTATCTATATCTATCTATATCTGTATCTATATCTACATCTATGGCTGTATCTATATATCTATATATCTATATATCTATATAATTATCTGTATATCTATATATCTTTAAATATATATATATATATCTATTTATCTATATCTATATCTATATCTATATATATATATATTTATCTATATCTATCTAAAGGTTTGCATTATCATCGGGATGATATTCAAACCCCAAGCCAACCCTGAACCAAACCTTATATAAAGAGATCTTAAACCAACTCGATGATAACATCAAATGAAACTATTGTGCATCGTTGTGCCTTAACCTACATTCCACATGTTTCCAAGGTGCATGTCGTGTAGTATATACACCTTGAGTATCACATTCAACCCAGCACCTTGCATGTGAAAATAGGTGTTTCCAATCTGCTTTGGGGGGGAGGCGCTGCGCCCCCCCCCCCCAATCCCCCCCTCCCGTTTTTTTTATTTAAATTCAAACTTGCACACATTTCAATACACTAGTTTGGTTAGACTATATATATATTGTATATACATTGTATATATATATATACATATGGTTGTTTATATACACAACTTTCATCCCAAAATAAACTGTAAATAATCATGTGCATGCATTTGCGTCCACATAAGTATAGTTATTTATATGTACATGTTGTATCCCTAAATAACCCCTAATCCAACCCTAAACAAACCCTAAACAGACCCTAAACGAGCCCTAAAGAAACCTTAAAACCAACCCTAAATAGACCTTAAACAAATCTAGAATAAACCATAAACCAATCCTAAATAAACCCTAAAACCAAACCCTGCAGATATATTAATTACACTTGTAAATACATTGATCTACATATGCATATAGTCATGATTAGTCATGCATGTATACCTTTATACATCTACAATTTATAGTTTGCACATCATGTATCTCCAAAAATCAATGAACACTTCGGAAAAAACAATGAAAACAATCTAAAAATCAATGAAAACTTGGAACAATGAATGAAAACCAGTAAAAAATGAATGAACACCATACAAAAATTGAAGAAAAACATAGAAAAATCCATTGACAATCTCCCCAATACCCCCTTCCTGTTTTCTTATTGAGGAAGGAAGGAAAATGTGAGGAAAATGATGAAAAACCAAGGAAAAGTAATGGAAAACAAGGAAAAAGTGAGGAAACCGTGCCCACGACCAAAAAAAAAACAAAACAAGAAAAAAAAAATCCGCACCCCATTGTAATTATACCCCAACAAGAGATTTGATCAGCAATGGCTAGTTTCCTACGGCAGGCAGAGGCTAAAGTGGAGCGCAAAAAAGACATTGATCTGTTTCTCAGTCTTCAGCAGGCGGACCCTGAAGCTGCCTTAAACCCAGCCACCGCACCGGGTCAAATGAGAAAGATGTGTATAGTTCAAGTCACTGGGTGCCCCAAGTCATTGAAGTGCTTAATTTTGATCCAGACCCATACGGGCAATAGATGGGTATCAGCCATAGAATTTGGCCAGATACATAAGGTTTGGGAAACGACCCATCGAATGGAGGATGCTGGGAGGTCAAAATTCCAACTGGGGACCCTGCTACACGTTTCCAGTCGCTACAAGCTTTGTGCTGTGTGGTGTCAGGTGTTTCTGAAATTTTATGAATATGTCACATCATATCTATGATATTCAGAGGGCTCATACAAGTCTATCATACTCTATCATTCTATCGTTGATCAAAGTTGGGAAGCAGTTTCCTTTTTGTTATCAGGAGGCTTGGGCCGAGGGTTAGCCGATCTGTGAGCTTGAGGCTGTGATTTTTTGAGTTTGGTGACCCCAAATTTTGGATGGTTCAAATGCTGAAAACGACCAGCATTTCTGTCTCAATTGGTAAATGTTTGAAGCATACTCGGACAGAATTGGTTGAAAGGAAAGTTGACAGGAAATCCGTATGCAAAGACATGTGAAAACCCTATTAGACATATCCCTCAGCGCCTGCGGTCCAGGAACTTGGTCAGGATGCGGCGCAGGCAAAGGGTGAAGCCAGTAAAGCTGAAGCTAGAGCCCCAGGGGCTTTACAAAATCGTGATGCTGGGAAGGGAAAAAAAGGAAGCCGTTCGAATACGTTGGAACTAGGGTTCAATGACTCATCCAGGTACCGAAATTGGAGGTATGTAGTGTGCAGATCTGTGCAGTAGGCGGTGAGATTTTGACAGGGCATATTCCCTCACAACCATTCAAAATTCTTTGGAGGATCCCTCAGGCTAGGATTCATGATCCAATCAATAGACCACTCGCCCAATGCACACCTCTTTCTCACAGGGAGCCAGATAGCCACATCTTGAACGCAGAACATATTTAGAAAGATGTGATCAGGCTATCATATGCGACTTTTCCACCGTGTGCGCTTCAATTGAAGCTGGCCTGTCTTGCAGGATGTGAGGAAACCACAGCCACCAGTAGAAGACAAACAAAAGACTGAGGATAGCGTGCCTAGCAAATCTGTGGAAAGTTGTTGTGCTGTTGTGCTATAGGGGATGGTAGTGGATGGTAGGTGATTGACAAATGTCATGGTCATTCCGTACTTGGAGCATGGATGTCTTGGAGAACAGAAGGGGACAATGGGGGACAAGTACTGCTCGACTTTATCTTTTGTATCCTTTCGAATTCCATCATTGTGAATCATAAACCTTCAGGTTTCTTTGTTTGTTGAGTCGATGTTGGCGACAGCTCCAGCGTTGGGACAGAGCTGCAGGTTGTCCATTTGTTTATGTTTTGCTTCCCAAACGTTGGGTACACGTTGCAGTTTTGCAAGTCTACCAATTTCCACGAAAGACCAAACTCAACTGTTTGGCAGGCTGTGAGGAGATTGCACCCACCGGTACATGACAAGCCAAAGGCTGAGGACAGCGTTCTCAGCATCTCTTTGGAAAAGTGCTACGCTAGTTGATGGTGTGGGATGGTAGCTGCTAGCAGACAGTAGGTGGCTAGTCAATGGTACAGGTCATGTTTAGTCATGTATGATCATTCATGGTCATTGATGGTCCTTCGTGGTCATTCTATACTTGGAGTATGCAAATCTTGGAGATAGGAGCGAAACAAGATGAAGCAAGTGTTGCTGGACATGAGTGATATTGATTGCTTGAATTTGTTTGAATTCTATCATAGACCTTCAAGTCTTCTTGTTTGATGTTGAGTTGATATTGATGACCGTCTTTCCAGCTCTGGGACGGAGCAGGAAGTTGTCCTGTTTGTTTATGTCTTTCTTTTGCCAGTGTCTCAATCCCACAAGAAACCAAAGTGTTACACGGATATCAGCCAAACTCACTTGTTTGACAGGATCCAAGAAAAACGCAGCCACTAGTACAAGACAAACCAAAGACTGAGGACAGCGTTCTCAGCGTCTCTGTGGAAAAGCGCTATGCTAGTTGATGGTGTGGGATGTTAGCGGACGGTAGGTGGCTACTCAATGGTACAGGTCATGTTTAGTCATGTATGATCATTCATGGTCATTGATGGTCCTCCGTTGTAATTCTATACTTGGAGTATGCAAATCTTGGAGATAGGAGCGAAACAAGATGAAGCAAGTGTTGCTGGACATGCGTGATATTGATTGCTTGAATTTGTTTGAATTCTATCATAGACCTTCAAGTCTTCTTGTTTGATGTTGAGTTCATATTGATGAACGTCTTTCCAGCTCTGGGACGGAGCAGGAAGTTGTCCTGTTTGTTTATGTCTTTCTTTTGCCAGTGTCTCAATCCCACAAGAAACCAAAGTGTTACACGGATATCAGCCAAACTCACTTGTTTGACAGGATGTGATGAGACTGCTCCCAAAGGTGCCAAAGGCTGAGGACAGCGTGCCCAGCATACAAAGAAAAAGCTGTGATGCTAGTGTAGGGGGTAAGATGGTGGTGCATGGTAGGTGATGATACCAGCATGGGGCAAAGGTTATGTAATGTATGGTCATTCACGGCCATCCGCGGCCATTTATGGTCTTTCATTGTCGTTCTATACTAGGCGCATGCAAATCATGGAGAGAGCAAGGAGACCATGTTGCTGGTCTTGATTGAATGATTGATGGATTTCTTTCTTTTGATTTCTATCATAGACCTTCAGACCTATTTGTTTGATGATGAGTTGATCAAATTAATCACAGCCTTTCCGGCTCTGGGACGGAGCAGGAAGTTGTCCTGTTTGTTTATGTCTTTGCTTTGCCTCCCAGCAAACGTTGGGTACACATTGCAGTTTCTGCCAATCTCCCAATTACCACGAAAGACCAAAGTGTTACGGATATCAGCCAAACTGACTTGTTTGACAGGATCCAAGAAAAACGCAGCCACTACTACTACAAGACAAACAAAAGACTGAGGAGAGCGTTCTCAGCATCTCTTTGGAAAAGTGCTATGCTAGTTGATGGTGTGGGATGGTAGCAGACGGTAGGTGGCTAGCCAATGATATGCTGTAGATCATTTTTGGTAATCTATGATAATTCATTGTCATTGATGATCCTTCGTGGTCATTCTATACTTGGATCATGCAAATCTTGGAGATAGGAGGGAAACAAGTGTTGCTGGACTTGAGTTTTTGATTGAATTATTTGTTTTATCTCTAGCATAGACCTTCAAGTCTTCTTGTTTGATGTTGAGTTGATATTGATGACTTCCTTCTCAGCTCCGGGACGGAGCTGTAAATTGTATTAAAGTGTCCCATTTGTTTATGTCTTTGATTTGCTTCCCAGCAAACGTTGGGTACACTTTGCACTTCTTGCCAGTCTCTCAATCCCACAAGAGACCAAAGCGTTATTGATATCTGCCAAACTTACCTGTTTGACAGGATCCAAGAAAACGGCTGCCGCTAGCACAAGACAAACCAAAGACTGAGGACAGCGTTCCCAGCATCTCTGTGGAAAAGTGCTATGCTAGTTGATGGTGTGGGATGGTAGCAGACGGTAGGTGGCTAGCCAATGATATGCTGTAGATCATTTTTGGTAATCTATGATAATTCATTGTCATTGATGATCCTTCGTGTTCATTCTATACTTGGAGCATGCAAATCTTGGAGATAGGAGGGAAACAGGTGTTGCTGGACTTGAGTTTTTGATTGAATTATTTGTTTTATTTCTAGCATAAACCTTCAGTTCTTCTTGTTTGATGTTGAATTGATATTGATGACTGCCTTTTCAGCTCTGGGACGGAGCTGTGAATTGTATTAAATTGTCCCATTTGTGTATGTCTTTGATTTGCTTCCCAGCAAACGTTGGGTACACTTTGCACTTCTTGCCAGTCTCTCAATCCCACAAGAGACCAAAGCGTTATTGATATCTGCCAAACTTACCTGTTTGACAGGATCCAAGAAAACGGCTGCCGCTAGCACAAGACAAACCAAAGACTGAGGACAGCGTTCCCAGCATCTCTGTGGAAAAGTGCTATGCTAGTTGATGGTGTGGGATGGTAGCAGACGGTAGGTGGCTAGTCATTGGTATAGGGCATTTTTGGTAATCTATGATCATTCATTGTCATTGATGATCCTTCGTGGTCATTCTATACTTGGAGCATGCAAATCTTGTAGATAGGAGGGAAACAAGTGTTGCTGGACTTGAGTTTTTGATTGAATTATTTGTTTTATTTCTAGCATAAACCTTCAGTTCTTCTTGTTTGATGTTGAATTGATATTGATGACTGCCTTTTCAGCTCTGGGACGGAGCTGTAAATTGTATTAAATTGTCCCATTTGTGTATGTCTTTGATTTGCTTCCCAGCAAACGTTGGGTACACTTTGCACTTCTTGCCAGTCTCTCAATCCCACAAGAGACCAAAGCGTTATTGATATCTGCCAAACTTACCTGTTTGACAGGATCCAAGAAAACGGCTGCCGCTAGCACAAGACAAACCAAAGACTGAGGACAGCGTTCCCAGCATCTCTGTGGAAAACTGCTATGCTAGTGGATGGTATGGGATGTTGGTGCATGATAGTTAGGTGATGAGCGCATGATATAGGTAATTTATGGTCATTTATGGTTAATTATGTATGATCATTCATGGCCATTCGCGGCCATTCATGGTTTGTCATTGTTGTTCTATACTAGGCGCATGCAAATCATGGAGAGAGGAAGGAGGAAGGAGACCAAATTGCTGCACTTGATTGAATGATTGATGGAATTCTTTCTTTTGAATTTTATCATAGACCTTCAGGTCTTGTTGTTTGATGTTGAGTTGGTATTGATGACCGCCTTTCCAGCTCTGGTACGGAGCAGGAAGTTGTCCTATTTGTTTATGTTTTCTATAGATTTGCTTTTCAGCAAACGTTGGGTACACTGCAGTTTCTGCCAGTCTCCCAATCACCACGAAAGATTAAAGTGTTACGGATATCAGCCAAACTGACTTGTTTGACAGGATCCGAGAAAAACGCAGTCACTGGTACAAGACCAACCAAAGACGGAGGACAGCGTTCCCAGCATCTCTTTGGAAAAGTGCTATGCTAGTTCATGGTGTGGGACAGTAGGCGGCTAGTCAATGGTACAGGTCATGTTTAGTCATGTATGATCATTCATGGTCATTGATGGTCCTTCGTGGTCATTCTATACTTGGAGTATGCAAATCTTGGAGATAGGAGCGAAACAAGATGAAGCAAGTGTTGCTGGACTTGAGTGATATTGATTGCTTGAATTTGTTTGAATTCTATCATAGACCTTCAGGTCTTCTTGTTTGATGTTGAGTTGATATTGATGACCGCCTTTCCAGCTCTGGGACGGAGCCACAAGCTTCCCCGAAAACGTTGTGTACACTTTGCAGTTTCTGCCAGTCTCCCAATCACCACAAAAGATTAAAGTGTTACAGATATCAGCCAAACTGACTTGTTTGACAGGATCCAAGAAAAACGCAGTCACTGGTACAAGACCAACCAAAGACGGAGGACAGCGTTCCCAGCATCTCTTTGGAAAAGTGCTATGCCAGTTGATGGTGTAGGACAGTAGGTGGCTAGTCAATGGTATAGATCATGTTTGGTCATGTATGATCGTTCATTGTCGTTGATGGTCCTTCGTGGTCATTCTATACTTGGAGCATGCAAATCTTGGAGATAGGAGCGAAGCAAGTGTTGCTGGACTTGAGTGATATTGATTGTTTCGAGTTGTTTTGAGTTTTATCATAGACCTTCAGGTCTTCTTGTTTGATGTTGAGTTGATATTGATGACCGCATTTCCAGCTCTGGGACGGAGCCACAAGCTTCCCAGAAAACTTTGGGTACACTTTGCAGTTTCTGCCAGTCTCCCAATCACCACGAAAGATTAAAGTGTTACGGATATCAGCCAAACTGACTTGTTTGACAGGATCCGAGAAAAACGCAGTCACTGGTACAAGACCAACCAAATACGGAGGACAGCGTTCCCAGCATCTCTTTGGAAAAGTGCTATGCTAGTTGATGGTGTGGGACAGTAGGTGGCTTGTCAATGAAATAGATCATTGTTGGACATGTATGATCGTTCATCGTCATTGATGGTCCTTCGTGGTCATTCTATACTTGGAGCATGCAAATCTTGGAGATAGGAGCGAAGCAAGTGTTGCTGGACTTGAGTGATATTGATTGCTTGAAATTGTTTGAATTCTATCATAGACCTTCACATCTTCCTGTTTGATGTTGAGTTGATATTGATGACTGCCTTTCCAGCTCTGGGACGGAGCCACAAGCTTCCCAGAAAATGTTGGGTACACTTCGCAGTTTCTGCCAGTCTCCCAATCACCACAAAAGATTAAAGTGTTACGGATATCAGCCAAACTGACTTGTTTGACAGGATGCAAGAAAAACACAGTCACTGGTACAAGACCAACCAAAGACGGAGGACAGCGTTCCCATCATCTCTTTGGAAAAGTGCTATGCTAGTTGATGGTGTGGGACAGTAGGTGGCTAGTCAATGATATAGATCATGTTTGGTCATGTATGATCGTTCATGGTCGTTGAGGGTCCTCCGTGGTCATTCTATACTTGGAGCATGCAAATCTTGGAGATAGGAGCGAAACAAGATGAAGCAAGTGTTGCTGGACTTCAGTGATATTGATTGCTTGAATTTGTTTGAATTCTATCATAGACCTTCAGGTCTTTTTGTTTGATGTTGAGTTGATATTGATGACCGCCTTTCCAGCTCTGGGACGGAGCCACAAGCTTCCCAGAAAATGTTGGGTACACTTTGCAGTTTATGCCAGTCTCCCAATCACCACGAAAGATTAAAGTGTTACGGATATCAGCCAAACTGACTTGTTTGACAGGATGCAAGAAAAACACAGTCACTGGTACAAGACCAACCAAAGACGGAGGACAGCGTTCCCATCATCTCTTTGGAAAAGTGCTATGCTGTGCTAGTTGATGGTGTGGGACAGTAGGTGGCTAGTCAATGATATAGATCATGTTTGGTCATGTATGATAATTCATCGTCATTGATGGTCCTTCGTGGTCATTCTATACTTGGAGCATGCAAATCTTGGAGATAGGAGCGAAACAAGTGTTGCTGGACTTGGCTGTTTGATTGGTTGATTGGTTGGTTGATTGTTTCGAGTTTTTTTGAGTTTTATCATGGGCCTTCAGGTCTCTTTTTGCAGAGCCGTAAATTATCCGAAGTTTATGCCTTTGATAGGCTTCCCAGCAAACGTTGGGTGCCGTTAGCAATTTTTTTTCAGTCTTCCAATTCAATCCAAAGTGTTACGAATTACGAATGTTGGCCAAACTCACTTGTTTGACAGGAGCCAAGAAAACGGCAGCCACTGGTACAAGACAAACCAAATACCGAGGACAGCGTGCCCAGCGTATCTGTGGAAAGCTGTGATGCTAGAGGTGACTAGCGTATGGTATAGTTTATTTGTGGTCACTGATGGTCATTCATAGCTATTCATGGTTAATCTTGGAGTGAGGAACGAGACACATGGTGATAATGTTGCTGCACTTGATTGATTGATTTTGCACATTGGAATTCTATCATAGACCTCCAAGTCTCTTTGTTTGATGTCGGCTTGATATTGATAAGATCCTTCTCAGCATTGGATGGAGCCCCAACTTGTCCTATTATGTGTTTATTTATTTCATTTGTTTCCCAGTTTCCAAGCAAAAGTTGGGTGCACTTTACAGTTTTTGTCAGTTTCTTCACGCGCCACAAATGACCAAAGTGTTGGGAATTGAGCCAAATTCAGAGACAGAACAGGGTGCCACACATGTACAATTTTTCCAATCCCGCCTGCACCCTGAGTATTATCGAAGGAAGTTTAGAAGTCAAACTTCCGACAATATGGACAGATGGAAAAGCAGAGGTGGGAAGAGTCAGAGAAGAGAAAAGAAGAGACAAGATCAGAGAAGAGAAAGAGTCAGAAGAAAGAAGATGCAGGTACGGGAAAAGGTAGAAAAGTCGCGCCTCACTGTGTTTTGTCAGACCCGAAGTTGACGCCACGCTATGCAAAAGCAGGCCCAACATGGTGCAACTTGGGACCTTTTGGCGGCAGCTTCGCACCAAGTTGGGCCCAACGTAGACACAATATGGGCAACATTGCGCAACACGAAGCTTCATCGATGCTCAAAACACGTTGGACATCAAAACATATGGGTTTTCAGGCGGATTTCGCAGCGGCGGAGTTGCTCCCAAACAGGTCCAAGTTGGGCATGGGTTGGGGCCATGTTAGCCAAAACTGATGTCCATGTTGCAGACATATCGGTCGTGCAACATGCCCGTCACTGTACGCGTGTCAGATCTACCTCGTGGTGACGCAGTGCTGATTCTGTCCTGATTCTGTCAAGGAAATCTTGTAAAGAGATCTTGCCAAGGAGATGTTTTTAGATGGCTGGTGCAGAGATCTTGCCAACAGAGATGTTTCACAAAGATCTTCCCAAGGGATCTCCTGTAGAGACCTTGCGCAGGGATCTCGCACAGAGATCTCTTGCAGAGATGTTTCTGATAGATCTCTTGTGAAGACCTTGCGCAGAGATCTTTCTTGCAGATCTTGTATAGATCTTGTACAGGGATCTCCTACAGCGATGTTGCCAAAGGTTTCTTTTTGGAAGTCTCTTACAAAGATTTTGAAAAGAGATCTATTGCAGAGATCTTGCCACAAGGTCTTTCTGCTAAGGGATTTCTGGCTGAGAGCCTGAACAGATACCCCTTTTTAGAGATGTCTTACAAAGAGTTTGCGTGGAGATCTCTTATAGAAATCGTGCGCCGAGATCGTTTTTAGGGGTGTCTTACAGAGATCTTGACAAGAGATGTTCGATAGAGAGCTTGCGCAGAGATCTTGCCAAGAGACCTCTCGTATAGAACTTGATAAGGCATGTTTGATAGATCTTTTATAGAGATCTCTGGCAGACTTACCGCAAAAATCTTGACAAAGGGAACCTACGCAGGATCTCTTGCACAGGACCGTCTACAGAGAGATCCTGTCATGGAGATCTTGATCTTACAAAGATCCTCACAAAAGGAACCTTTAGAATCTACCCTGGCATTTCTTACCTCATGTTCTTTGCAACCCTTTTTCGGTTTCTCTTGCCAGGATTGTTTGTTTGTTGTGTTTTTAATTTCTTTACCAGCAAAACGCTGGGTAATGTGGGGTTCACGTTGCAGTTTTTGCCAGTCCACTCGCCCCCCACAAATGACCAAAGTGTTGTGGATTTGGATTCAGCCAAACTCAGAGACAGAACAGGCTGCCACATATCTACAAATATGTCCGGCTATAGCAGTTTTTCCCGACCTGCCAGGTGAAGGTCTCTAGATCTCAACCAAAGTGTGCCTCACTCCCTCAATTTTCTGACTTCCTCACTTCTCATTTCTCGCGTCCTCCTCTTCCCCCTTCTTCTAGTGCTAGCTTCGTCTTCTGCCAGCTTGTCGCCACTGTGGGTTTCAGCCCCACGTCAGTCTGGGCCTTGGCAGATAGAATGCCAGAATGAATGCCAGAACATATGCTAGGTAGAATGTCAAACAAGATGCCAGGTAGAATGTCGGAGTGTATGTAAATCAGATAGAATGCTAGAAAGAATGCCACATAGAATGTCAGAATATATGTCAGATGGAATGTCAGTTGGTGGGGATCACTCAAAGAAGTTTGAGATAACAGAGGCCAGGATATGACATACCCAAACATAAACATGCACATTCAAGTGTGTGTGTGTAACATCTAAACAGATGTAAAACTTCTCTCTTTTTCTTCCCTCCGTCCTCTCCCTTTCTAAATAACGCAGGGGGATGGAGTGTGCTTCAGATGTCTCCATCCAACGAAGACGCATCTGTTGCACAGTGATATGGATTGGGGACGCTCAATCCACGTACCTGCTCAATCATTTATTCGTAGGATGCTTCGTTAATTTCGTTGTTTCGTATCTAATCTGCATGTTTCAGGATTCAGTTCCTGCCGGATCATATAATGATCCATTCTTGTCTAGTGTGATTTCCATGGTGGCTCCGACATGGTGCCATGGAGCCATTTGAGGCAACCCTCTTTAGGGTGAGTGATGACTGTCCTGACTGCCGAATTAACACATTTTAATTTAGTAATTCATCTAAGTAAATCGCAACAGTTGGCCTTACTGTTCTGCACCATTTTACGATGACCCGCTGTTCCTTTTGTCCCAGGGACCCCAGTGATCTGTTCTTTCGTGTGCAGCTGTGCCGAACATTCAGAAACCTCCGTTTCCACTGCAGCTTCAGCGTTTGCGATGAGACATGACATGCAAGACAACAGGCAACAGGCATGTCCTTTTCCTGCAGGTGTGGTCTCTTTGGTATTTGGTGAGGTGAAACATATTGTGCACCTAATTCGTTGGAACTTGAAAGCCGTTTTATGCCGATTGGGGCAAGACTTGAACACGGGCCTGGAGTGGCATAACGCACGAAGCCTAGGTTTAGGAGCTGAATCCTGTTGTTTAACTAATTGTTTTGGTTTCCTTGTCTGTCACCAACTAGTCCCCCATTTGGTCCCTAATTTTCCCGGCGTGCCTCTCCGTAATGTGTCGTGGGGTTTAGGTGTGTGCGCTGTTTTGGTCAGGTCCGTTTCGCCGTGTAGGTTGGTTCTGGAGGTCCGTCTGTTCCCCTCCCCCCCCTGCGCTTGTTCTGGCCGTCTGCCCGTCGTGTGTCCGCTTTTTTCTTCCTCTTGCCTTTCAGGGTTGACCCGGCTCTGGCCGGGTGTGTGTGTAACATCTAAACAGATGTAAAACTTCTCTCTTTTTCTTCCTTCCGTCCTCTCCCTTTCTAAATAACGCAGGGGGATGGAGTGTGCTTCAGATGTCTCCATCCAACGAAGACGCATCTGTTGCACAGTGATATGGATTGGGGACGCTCAATCCACGTACCTGCTCAATCATTTATTCGTAGGATGCTTCGTTAATTTCGTTGTTTCGTATCTAATCTGCATGTTTCAGGATTCAGTTCCTGCCGGATCATATAATGATCCATTCTTGTCTAGTGTGTGTGTGTGTAACATCTGAATAGATGTAAAACCTATTTTTTCCCCACATTGACGTGTGGGGTTTTTGTTTTTAGTTCTGTATCCGCGCCTCCTCCTCCTTCTCCTTCCCGTCCTCCCTCCTCAACACTCACTCACACACACACACTTACTCACACTCACTCACACTCACTCACACTCACTCACTCACACACACACACACACTCACTCACACACACACTCACTCACACACACACACACTCACTCACACTCACTCACACACACGCACACACACACACACTCACTCACTCACTCACTCACACTCACTCACACTCACTCACTCACACTCACTCACTCACACTCACTCACTCACACTCACTCACTCACTCACACTCACTCACACTCACTCACACTCACTCACTCACACACACACACTCACTCACACTCACTCACACACACACACTCACTCACTCACACACACACACACTCACTCACACTCACTCACACACACACAGCACTGCCAAGGGGTCGGATGTACGCCCTGGCGTCCCTTGGGGCTCCGCCGCTTTTGCGTGGCAGGCGTGGGACAATGTGCACTGCCAAGGGGTCGGATGTACGCCCTGGCGTCCCTTGGGGCTCCGCTTCTTTTGCGTGGCAGGCGTGGGACAATGTGCACTGCCAAGGGGTCTGATGTACGCCCTGGCGTCCCTTGGGGCTCCGCTTCTTTTGCGTGGCAGGCGTGGGACAATGTGCACTGCCAAGGGGTCTGATGTACGCCCTGGCGTCCCTTGGGGCTCCGCCTCTTTTGCGTGGCAGGCGTGGGACAATGTGCTCTGCCAAGGGGTCTGAGTACGCCCGCTTCTTTGCGTGGCAGGCGTGGGACAATGTGCATTGCCAAGGGGTCTGATGTACGCCCTGGCGTCCCTTGGGGCTCCGCTTCTTTTGCGTGGCAGGCGTGGGACAATGTGCACTGCCAAGGGGTCTGATGTACGCCCTGGCGTCCCTTGGGGCTCCGCCTCTTTTGCGTGGCAGGCGTGGGACAACGTGCACTGCCAAGGGGTCAGATGTACGCCCTGGCGTCCCTTGGGGCTCCGCCGCTTTCGCGTGGCAGGCGTGGGACAACGTGCACTGCCAAGGGGTCAGATGTACGCCCTGGCGTCCCTTGAAGCTCCGCCTCTTTTGCGTGGCAGGCGTGGGACAATGTGCACTGCCAAGGGGTCTGATGTACGCCCTGGCGTCCCTTGGGGCTCCGCTTCTTTTGCGTGGCAGGCGTGGGACAATGTGCACTGCCAAGGGGTCTGATGTACGCCCTGGCGTCCCTTGGGGCTCCGCCTCTTTTGCGTGGCAGGCGTGGGACAATGTGCACTGCCAAGGGGTCTGATGTACGCCCTGGCGTCCCTTGGGGCTCCGCTTCTTTTGCGTGGCAGGCGTGGGACAATGTGCACTGCCAAGGGGTCTGATGTACGCCCTGGCGTCCCTTGGGGCTCCGCTTCTTTTGCGTGGCAGGCGTGGGACAATGTGCACTGCCAAGGGGTCAGATGTACGCCCTGGCGTCCCTTGGGCTCCGCTCCGTGGCAGGCGTGGCACAATGTGCATTGCCAAGGGGTCTGATGTACGCCCTGGCGTCCCTTGGGGCTCCGCTTCTTTTGCGTGGCAGGCGTGGGACAATGTGCATTGCCAAGGGGTCTGATGTACGCCCTGGCGTCCCTTGGGGCTCCGCCCGCACTGCCAAGGGGTCGGATGTACGCCCTGGCGTCCCTTGGGTCTCCGCCTCTTTTGCGTGACTCACTCACACTCACTCACTCACTTCACTTCACTTCACTCCACTCCACTCCACTCTTCACTTCACTTCACTTCACTTCACTTCACTTCACTCACTCTCAGATCCCTCACTCACACACACCACACTCACATCACTCACTCACACTCTCACTCACTCACTCACTCACTCACTCACTCACTCACTCACTCACTCACTCACTCACTATACATGAACATACATACATACACACAAACTCACCCACCATCACCGCTCCATCACTCTTATACTTCCTCTTCCCTTCTTGCTTTTCTATGATCAGTCTAAGTCTAAAGAAGTTGGTAACATGTGGGGTTATCCGGTCCTTTAATTTTCTTTTTTCTTTCCTTCTTGCAGGGGGTGGTAGCAGGTTCCAGAGTCTACCACCAACGAAGACACTCTGGTTTCCCTGGTGATACATGGCCTGATCAGCCATTCGTACCTGCGCCTTTTCACTGCAATGGCAAGGGGCTAAGCCAAGAACCCCAAAAACAACAGTTTCATCTACCTTAGGCCTTAGGTCATTGTTTCTAATTAAATTGCATGTGAGGGGATTCAGTTCCCAACGGATCACTTAAATGATCCATTCTTGTCTAGTGTGATTTCCATGGTGGCTCCGACATGGTGCCATGGACCCACTTGAGGGAGCCTTTCTTAAGGCGAATGATGATTGATTTGATTACCAAATTTACACTTTTTAACCTGGTAATTCGTGCAGTAATGTGCAACAGTTGGCCATTCTGTTGTCAGCCTTTCTACAAATGTCCCGCTGCCTCCGCCGTCCTTGTGCACCCTTGGAACTTGCACTTCTCTATGAATGGTATACCTTGCCGAGCTACCACAAACCTCTTTTTCGCTGATGCTCAAGCTTTTTGAAGTGAAACATGACAAGAGCGACTGCAGGCAACTCCTGCAGGTATGGTCTCATTGGTATTTGGTGAGGTCGGTAGAACATATCGTGCATTTAATTCGCTTGAACCTGAATAGCTGTTTATGCCCATCCGGCTTGACTTGACTACGTTCCCGGCTGGGAGTAACGCGCGATTACTTGGGCATGAGCTGAATCCCTTTAATAATAATTTTGTTGTTTCACTTTCGTCACCAACTAGTCCCCCATTCGGTCCCCAATTCTTCCCCCGTGCCCCTCGGTAATGTGTTGTGGGGTTCAGGTGTGTGCTCTGTGTTGGTCAGGTCCGTCTCGCCGTGTAGGTTGGTTCTGGAGGTCCGTTTGTTCCCCTCCCCCCCTGCGCTGTTTTGGCCTTGGCCCGTCCTTTGTGTCCGCTTTTTTTTTCCTCTTGCCTTTCAGGGTAGACCCGGTTCCGGCCGGGTGTGTGTGTGTGCGTGTGTGTGTAACATCTGAATAGATGTAAAAACTCGCCTTTTTTTCTTTTTTCTTTCCTTCTTGCAGGGGGTGGTAGCAGGTTCCAGAGCCTACCACCAACGAAGACACTCTGGTTTCCCTGGTGATACATGGCCTGATCAGCCATGCGTACCTGCGCCTTTTCACTGCAATGGCAAGGGGCTAAGCCAAGAACCCCAAAAACAACAGTTTCATCTACCTTAGGTCATTGTTTCTAATCCAATTGCATGTGAGGGGATTCAGTTCCCAACGGATCACTTAAATGATCCACTCTTCATCTCTAGTGTGTGTGTGTGCTTGTACCATCATTGCAATCAGAATGGGGCCTCTTTGCCAGGATCACAGGAAACAGCAAGTGGTGCAAGACAAACCGAACACTGAGGACAGCGTGCCGTGATGTGCCCTGCTTTCTGTGGAAAGCTGCGATGCTAGGGGCTGGTGTGGGATGGTAGTGGATGGTAGGTGGCTAGTTTATCATATGCTCTGGGCCATTTGTGATCATTCATTGTGATTCATTTCCATTCATGGCCGTTCACGATCATTCATGGCCGTTCTTGGTCCTTCATTGTGCGCCATATTCAGTAGTCATTAATTCTTGGAGCATTCACATGTTGGAGAGGAACGAGACAAGGGTTGCTTGATTTGATTGCTTGATAGCAGCGTTTCCAGCGTCGGGACAGAGCCGCAATTTGTCCTAGTCCTATTTGTTTATTTTTTCCTTTGTTCCCCCGCAAATGCTGGGTACATTTTGCAGTTTTGTCAGCACAAATGAACAAATTGGCACCGATTTAGCCAAATTCAAAGACAGAACAGGTTGCAACACATCTGCAACTATGTCCGGCCGAAGTTGTTTTATGTAGGAACAGCTGTTCAGATATGGAATATCGAAGCAGAAATATGTTCATTCATGTGTGTGTGAAAATCACAATTGCACGCAGAATGGGGTTTCTTTGCCAGGATCAAAGGAAACTGCAGCAAGTGGTGCAAGACAAACCGAAGACTGAGGACGTGGCTAGTTCATGGTATGCCTCTACGCCATTTGTGATCATTCACTGCCATTCATGGCCATTCATGGCGTTCACGATCATTTATGGCCGTTCCTGGTCCTTCAATGTGCCCCATGGTCAGTGGTCATTCTATTCTTGGAGCATTCACATGTTGGAGAGGAACGAGACAAGGGCTGCTTGACTTGATTGTTTGAATGCGTTTGAATTCTATCAAATGGCTTCGGGCTTTCAGGTCTCTTTGTTTGATGTTGAGTTGAAACTGATAGCAGCCTTTCCAGCGTCGGGACAGCGCTGCAAATTGTCCTATTTGTTTATCTCTTTCCTTTGGGTACACTGCAGTTTTGTCAGTCCCTTCACTCTGCACAAATGAACAAAGTGTTGCCGATTTAGCCACATTCAATGACAGAACAGATTGCAACACATCCAGAAATATCTCCGGCCATATATGTCCAGCCATAGGTGTTTTCTGTAGTAACAGCTGTTTAGATATGGATTATCGAAGCAGGCATATGCTCATTTGTATGTGTATGTGTGCTGATAAGACCATCATTGCAAGCAGAATGGGGCCTGTTTGCCAGGAACACAGAAGACTACAGCCAGGAGCGCAAGACAAACCGAACACTGAGGACAGCGTGCCGTGATGTGCCCTGCATTCTGTGGAAAGCTGCGATGCTAGGGGCTGGTGTGGGATGGTAGTGGATGGTAGGTGGCTAGTTTATCGTATGCTCTGCGCCATTTGTGATCATTCACTGTCATTCATGGCCATTCATGGCCGTTCACGATCATTCATGGCCGTTCCTGGTCCTTCATTGTGCCTCGTGGTCATTCTATATTTGTAACATTCACATTTTGAAGAGGAACGAGACAAGAGCTGCTTATTCAGGTCTCTTTGTTTGATGTTGAGTGGGAGTTGATAACAGCCTTTCCAGCGCCTGGACAGAGCTGCAAATTGTCCGATGTCCTTCGATGTCCCATTTGTTTATCTCTTTCCTTTGTTCCCCCGCAAATATTGGGTACACTGCAGTTTTGTCAGCCCCTTCACTCTGCACAAATGAACAAAGTGTTGCCGATTTAGCCACATTCAATGACAGAACAGATTGCAACACATCCAGAAATATCTCCGGCCATATATGTCCAGCCATAGGTGTTTTCTGTAGTAACAGCTGTTTAGATATGGATTATCGAAGCAGGCATATGCTCATTTGTATGTGTATGTGTGCTGATAAGACCATCATTGCAAGCAGAATGGGGCCTGTTTGCCAGGAACACAGAAGACTACAGCCAGGAGCGCAAGACAAACCGAACACTGAGGACAGCGTGCCGTGATGTTCCCTGCATTCTGTGGAAAGCTGCGATGCTAGGGGCTGGTGTGGGATGGTAGTGGATGGTAGGTGGCTAGTTTATCGTATGCTCTGCGCCATTTGTGATCATTCACTGTCATTCATGGCCATTCATGGCCGTTCACGATCATTCATGGCCGTTCCTGGTCCTTCATTGTGCCTCGTGGTCATTCTATATTTGTAACATTCACAGTTTGAAGAGGAAGGAGACAAGAGCTGCTTATTCAGGTCTCTTTGTTTGATGTTGAGTGGAAGTTGATAACAGCCTTTCCAGCGCCTGGACAGAGCTGCAAATTGTCCGATGTCCTTCGATGTCCTTTTTGTTTATCTCTTTCCTTTGTTCTCCCGCAAATGCCGGGGTGCCCAGCAAGATTGGGCCAGGGATGAGCCCTTCTAGGGCATGGCGGGCTTTACAGAAAGCGTTTAGGGTTGTAATCTTTGGAGCCTCTTAACATAGACCCCGCAGATAGATAGGGAAGCTTTCTCAGCGACATCTCCCTTAAAACTTGTGACATTTTGTGACCACAACTTGAAAACTAGCCGTCTTTTTTTCTTATCCTGTGTCTTACTTTGAAAATAACTTATTATTGTTTTTGTGTTCCAGTAAATAAGTGTTGCCTTTTGAAGCAGGGCTCTTGGAAGTGCCAGCCCAATGTTTTGCCCTGACTCAAAAACATAGACCCTGAAATGGTGTCTTGGCAAGAATGGATCTTACCTTGGACTAGTAATAATAAACCCCTCCAATAGATTCAAAAACCATTTCAGGGTCTATGTTAGCCATACTTACAATGAATTCCAATTATATGAATTCCATTTATATACGTATGTATATATATAATGAGTTGTGGTAGGGTCCGTGTAGGTGGGGTGAAGCAAAAATGCCAGTTGTCCATTTTGCCCATTTTATCCCCAGGGTCTATGTGATCCCCATTGTTGGGCTTGCAGGCAGCCACTTTTTTCCTTACAAAAAAAAAACATAGACCCTGAACTGGTATTTTGGCAAGAATGGATTTTACTTTGGGCTAGCAATAACACACCCCTCCAATAGATTCTTATACCATTGCAGGGTCTACGTTAGCCATACTTGCAATGTTACTGCAGGAATTCCATTCAAGTATGATGAGTTTTTGTATCGTCCATAATAGTGTGGAAAAGCAAGAATGCAAGTGGTGAGGTCTATGCTATGACAGTTGTACGTTTTATCCCCGGGGTCTATGTGATCCCCATTGTTAGATTTGCAGGTAGCTTTTTACATATTTTTACATGAAAAAATAGGTCCCAGAAAAACCCAGAAAACTCCCTAGGGTCTATGTGTGTTTTCCAAAATCAATGCTTCAGGGTCTATGTTGTTTTGCAGAGAGTACGTTTATATATGAATGTGTGTTAAAGTATCGGGTCTTCCATATCACTTGGGGTTTAACCATCAAACATGGTGGGTTTTCTAGCAACCCCCCAAAGTGATAGAAGTTGGTAAGCACCTGATTCTTAAATGGTGGTCAACTGAACCTCTTTGCGTCCTCTTTCAGGGTTTCTATGATGTTCATTATTTCATTCAATTTTTCCATGTGCTTTAGTTCTATTTCTGGTTTTGATTTGTTGATCCACTACTTTGTTGTTGGATGTTGGATTTCGTTCGCTTGCCGTGTGTAAGCGGCCGTGAGTCGAAACGCATTTTTGTGCCTGAAAGTTTGCATTTTTCTGCGGTTTGAAGCTATGCTACCCAAAAAGTCTTCTCGTTGTGGTAAAACAACGATTTTCATGTGTTTTCGCTGAGGTTTAAATTTCATTGTTTTGGTTTCTGCACGTAGAGTTTACCCAGGGGTGTCGCAGTATTCTCTGTTGGTACGGATAGTGTTTCAAATGGGTGAGGTTCAAACTTGGGCAAACGCACATGAGTGCCACTAATGAATCGAAAAATGATGAATCAGATTTAGCGGACTCCTCTGTCGCTTACCCACTGGCAGTCAAACATGGCTAGAAAATCCTTCATTCACTTTGATGACTTTCCCATCAACAGTTCCATTTATTAAGGGATTGACCATTTAAAGTCGATTAAATCACCATGTTTTCCCACAGGATGTCCCAGCCATGTTTGTGACATCCCGTTCGTCTCCGAAGTTGGAACAGGATGCCCTGCCACCAGAAGTGGAGGCACAATTCAAGAAGAAGGCAACACGACTTGGGGCACCTGGAGCGGTTTCAAGGTGAACGGTCTTTGAACAGATGTTATTATATGGGTATGGATCAATACCTATTAATACCATTTTTAGTGGGATGAACATCCATTTACCAGCTATTTTGATGTTCACCAGTGGTACAAGGTTTTGACACACTGCCATATAATAGCATATATAATATCAAATATAGTGTGTGAGTGCGTGTCACGGTCAAAATAGTTGAAACCAATGTAGTATTGCAGAAGCACTTTTGTCAGAGATGTGCACGAAACACTGCAAAGTGATAGGCCCCCCAAAAGCGATAATGGCACAAAACACTGAAAAGCGATGTAGCCCCCCAAAAAGCGACAATTGCAACTACTGAGCTGTAAAGGATTTTGACGGGAGCATACCTTTACACAAACACATGTATATATATATATACATATATTTATGAACCTATATATGTACAATATGTATAGGCAAGGTTATTGATGGCCGCTTCAATCCTCGAATAGTGCATACTCTTTGGTAACCTAAGAGGTATGTTTGGCAATTTACGACTGTTAAATAACCATGTGTATTGGTAAAAAAATCTATACGTGGGCCATGCTTATCCATTTTGCAGAGCTACTCTAAATTACAAGAAGGTAACAGGCAAAGAAAAAGGCAAATTTACATGTTTTCTTGGCTTCATAAGACGAGTCTTTGTTCACCTTGATGGGATGGCACTGGAAAACCCATGTATCTGATGTTTAATCATATGACAAAGTAAATAGACATCTCGATATATATGGTAATCCGCCCCGGGTTTAAAGACACACCATGGAATTTCTGATCTATAGCAATTTGGCTTAAGTTGGTTGTATGCCTCCTCCCGGGTGCCCCCATTGTTGCGATAAGTGGCCTATCACTGGTGGAGGGGTGTGCACGGTGTGCCGGACATTGGACCGGCTGTCGGCCTTTTGCAGAGGGCCTCAATTGCCTGCGGCGGCCCAGGAGGGCATCCTGGTAAGACTCCGAACCTGGATAGGGGAGCTCCAGGACTACAGCGAGAACTACAGAGGGGTGGTCCCCTGTGCATCGGGGGTACCTCCTCCGCATCTCCGGGTGGAACAACCTCCACCTAGGTCGGCCGAAACCCCTAAAGAAGAGGAGATTGAGGGGGCGACGCCAAAAGCAGCAGGGCCACCACCCCCTCCACCAGCAGAGCCAGAGCCACCGAGGGCCATCCCGAAGGAGGAGACCGAGCCAGAGCCGAAGGAAGCATCATCATCTTGGAGGAGCCGCCCAAAAGAGCCTGAAAAGAAGAGGAGCCGTTCACATTCTCGTCGAGCCCGAAAAAGATCCAGGAAGACCAGAAGCCCAAGGAGAAGCCCTGCTCGTTCACGGCGGCATTTGGCCAGCCCTGTGCGGCCCGGTGGGTCGGGGATTGAGAGCCCCTGGGAGGACAACAGGGAGGAGCTGCCACGTCGAAAGGTACGTCCTCGGTCTCCCTCCTATAGCCCGCCTCGGGAGAGAGCTCGGGGAGCCACTCCTAGCTCACGGCCGGTAGGGACCCAGTGGAGAGGGCCCATCCGTGCCAGGCCCCGTGAGCCACCGCCTGGACAAGGACGCCATTTTCAGAAGAACAAGGGCGTCAGCAAGCGCAAGAGGAACAGGGAGTTTTGGCGAGGGGCCAGACCCCGAGGGAGGCGCAGGTAGATGCCTCCTAAGCTGCGGCGTCCAGCTGCTGCAAAGCCCAAAGCAGCTGGCAGGCGAAGAGTTGGGCGGAAGAGGCCAGGAGCGGCCGTAGAAGAGGACCCTGAGGGGGAGAAGGGTAGTGTGATTGATTGTGCTGCCCTCTCCTTGGAGCAATGTCGCGCTATGAAGGAGTTGGAAATTATCGATGGGAGTTACTGGGAAGCTCCTGTGAAAGCCGCCCTACGGGTGAAGGAGGTCAGGATGAGAGACGGGCAGCTTTACCTACAGGCTCAAGCCTTGGGTACTCAGAACGAAGACCTTTTGAAGTTGGCCACAGGACGACCCAACCAGACAGTGGAAGTGCACCTCTGCCCACGGGATTGTGCGGGGAGTCCCCACGAAGAGGGCCTACTACATGCCAGGAAGGTCCGTCTGTTGGGCCCGCATCGAGAGGGATGGATGAGCAACTTGGTGCCAGATGGGAACGCTGGCCCGCCAGAGGACGAGCTGGAGGAGTTGAGGAGAGACCGGGATCGGGTTGGCCGGAGGCCACAGCGGGAGGACGATCGAGGGGGCCACAGGGTCTCCGAGTCGCCTCCTCGGGACAAGCCCAAAGACAAGAAGAGGAGAAGCCGAAGCCGCCGCAGAAGATCCGACAGGTTGAAGCTCGAGGCCAAGAAGGACATCAAGGTGGTGCTGGGTTCTACGGGCGCCGACCCCGATCCCAAAGTGAGGAAGAGGTTCCGGCGAAAGGCCACCAAGCTGGCCCGCAGGAAGTCGAAGGAGTCCAAAGGGGAGTCCAGTGCAACGACGTCCGAGGACAGCAGTGTGGACTCCGGAGATCGGACGATCTTTGGGTCGGCCAATCGGGTGCACTCCATCGGTCGCAGATTACCGGGAGTCCTCCTGACTGCGGCGTTGGAAGAGGCTACCGACGCACTCGTCACCCACGAGGGGGGGGGTTTACGATCCCCAGGAGGGCAGTCTCCCCCCTTTGTTCAGCAGGTACCACCGCCAGCAGCTGGCGACCCGGATGAGTCCGGCCATGGGTCGAGAAAGTCAGACGCTGTCCTACATGCTGGACTTGGGACTACGAGGCCGGGTGGTGGAGTGCCTGGATGTGGGGGCGCAACGGCTCAAAGCTTTAGAGATGATGATGGGGGGCGCACATTATACAGTAGCGCAGCAGATCGAGCTGTTGCCGAAGGAGGGCAGCAGCATGTCGACCGTGCCCGAGTTCACAGAGGCGTCGAAGAGAGCCCGCGAGGAGGGCCGCGCCAGACTCGAGGCAAGTCGCCCTTTTGGGACCCGGAGCACAGGGGCCGGTCGGTCCGAAGATTGGTCCAAAGGGTCAGGCAAGAAAGGAGGGCCGAAAGGCAAAGGCGGGAAGAACGAGGCTCGAAAAGGCGAAGGCGACAAGCAAGGAGATTCGAAGAAGACCAAGGGAGGATGAGGGGACCTCCTGGCGGCTTACAAGATGGTGAGGAGATGGTTCAAAGGATTGGAGAGGATGAGGGGTCCCCTCAGTCAGTGGGGGGGACCTTGAAACAACGTGTGACCGGGGAAGGTAAGGGAGGGATGCCACTTCACGACTGGCAGCGCGTTCCTCCTGCGCCCCCTGGGGATGCGGAGTGCCCGAGAATTCAGGGGTGTGTCGCTGGTGGGGGGCCAATTCACGATTGGCAGCGCTCCTCTCCAGCGGAAGGCCCCCCTAGTTTCACGCAGAAGCCTGCGGCAGATGAGCGGGTTGAGGAGGCCAGTACAGGGCCTTGCAGACCGGCTGCAGCTGCCGTGAATTCACAGTCGGCTCCCTTCACGAAGTTGGAGGATGCGACGACTTATTTTACAGGTGGCAGCGCTGAAGCTGCTTTTTCTTTCAGTGGCCGTTTTTTCTCAGAACTGGGTGAACCTATTCTAAAATCCCTCCAGCAACTTACCTGGAATCGCACTTGCAAGACCATGCCCATGGCACAGGATGTTTTATTTCCTATGCCCCTGGGGGATTACCCTGGGGTTCACCCAGACAAAATGCCCTGGCTACATGCGATTCTTCTGGGCCTGAACTCTTTTTATGGAGTTGGCTGGACCTCCAACGCAGAGCCGACTGCGCTGCAAAAACAAGTGGCTGCTTCAGTGCTGGTTTATTTAGATCGGATGTGGGCCTGGACGGAGGTTATTCCGGTTTGTTCTTTTGGTGACCTGTTTCGGGTGAAGGGAGTAGATTACCGAGGGGAAGAGATTAAGCTGGCACGGTCGTTTTCTTGGCAAAGTATTGCAGCGGCTTTCCCCCCTGAGGTGGCTTCGTTGAGCATGGAAGATTTTTGTACTGGGGGCTGCCGGAGTTATTTAGGGGACTTTGAGAAGTTTTTACTGCCTGAGGACCAGCGACGCTTGGGGCGCCCACCACGAACCATGGTGGCGGATGCCGACTGGCCAGAGGTCTGCGCTGGGCTGCTCAGGATGGGTATTTGTGGCATACTCCCTCAACATGACCTTTTTCATGTAGGTGGACGGCCTATTCTCAATGGTCTATTTTCTGTCTCAAAGAATGAGTTTCAAGGATCCATCGAACTGCACAGATTGATCATGAATTTGGTCCCTCTTAATGCTATTTGCCTTCCGTTCAAGGGTGACGTAAATACACTACCTACGGTTGCTGGGCTTAGTGCTTTCTACTTGGAGGACGGGCAGGTTGCTACCCTTGCTAGTGAAGACATCAAATGTTTTTACTATTTGTTTCGGATCCTGTTGTCATGGCAACCCTTTATGGGCTTTGCACGGGAGGTTCCCTCCTATCTGTGCCCTCCCGAGTGGAGGGGTGGTCCTTGCCACCTGGTTTCCCGGGTTCTCCCAATGGGGTTTCTCAATTCGGTGGGCTTGGCCCAACATATCCACAGGAATGTGGTGCGTTGGAGCCGACTTCAAGCTCCTATGGGTGGGGGAGCAGAGCAGGAACTGCGCCGTGATAGGCCAGCCCCTTTGACCTCAGAGATGTTTCGAATCTACCTGGACAACTGGGATGAAATCCGTAAAGTTGATGTGGCGTTAGCCCAGGAAATCGAAGGTCAGCCATCCCCACAACAAGTTGCCCTTCGGAAGATGTACGCTGACCTGCAATTACCCCGGCACCCGAAAAAGAGCGTTCAAAGCGCCACCAAAGCTGAGATCCAGGGTGCCCTCCTGGATGGGGAGGAAGGGGTGGCCTATGCCAAGCCAGATAAAATCCTCAAGTATGTGGGGTTGGCGTTGCATCTGGTTCAGCGCGGGGCTGCGACACTTCGTGAGGTGCAGGTGGTAGCTGGTGGTTTAGTATACATTTCAATGTTTCGACGCCAGTTACTGGGGGGTTTGAATGCGGTATGGCACCACATCGAGTCCTTGAAAACGGAACCCCCTGTAGTACGCCGGCTGGTGCCACGGGAGGTAAAGGGAGAGATCATGCGGTTCCTCTCCTTGATACCCCTGGCTCCAATGGACTTCAGGCTTCGAATGGAACCCCAGGTCAGCGCGAGCGATGCGTCAACTACTGGTGGAGGCATCACCGCTTCAGTCGGCTTGACTAGCTATGGCTGCCATGCACAGGAAGCCCTGGTGCGGGGAGAGATAGAAGAGCCCTTTGACACAGTGGAGATCCTCACAATAGGACTTTTCGATGGCATCGGGGCTTTACGAGTAGCTTGCGAGGTACTCCACTTACCTGTAGCTGGCCACATTAGTGTAGAGTGCAACCCCGCCGCCAATCGGGTGGTGGAAGCTGCCTTTCCGGGAAGCCGTACGGTGTCCCGTATCCAGGACATTGACGAGACTATGGTGCGTAGCTGGGCTTGTGAGTACCCCTCAGTAGGGGTGGTCTTGGTTGGAGCCGGACCTCCTTGTCAGGACGTGAGTGGTCTCAATGTGGACCGGAAAGGTTCCCAGCATGGCACTCGGAGTTCCCTCTACAAGGAAGTGCCTAGAGTGGAGGACCTGGTCAAGAAGGAGTTTCCTTGGGCTCAAGTTCATTCACTGGTGGAAAGCGTTGCGTCCATGGACGAAAGAGACCGAGCTGCGATGTCGGCCGATTTGGAACGGCAACCACTGCGGGTAGATGCTGCGGGAGTGAGCTTAGCTAGGCGACCACGCCTTTATTGGCCCTCCTGGGAAGTGATGCCTGAAGAAGGGCTTACGCTTCACCCACCGGTGGGGGATGGGTGGGCCTCATATACCACGGTGGAGCTGACAGCCTCCATCAATGAGAAGGATTTCCTTCAGGCAGGTTGGTTTCTGGCACCGGGGGTCAAACTACCCACTTTCACTACCTCCCGACCATCACCCAAGCCGGGGCGCCGTCCTGCAGGACTTCACACTTGCGATGAAGCAACACTTGCTCGTTGGCGGCAAGACCAACATCGGTTTCCTCCTTACCAGTACAAGGCTGAGAACGGTATCCACCACAAGGTGCAGGGTGTACGGGTAGCCAATATCGCAGAGCGCGAGGCTATCCTGGGATTTCCTGTGACGTATACGGAGCAGTGTGTCCCCAAGCAGCAGCGCCAAGGGGCTTTTTGGGAGGACACTCGGAAGACCCTCCTGGGCAACACCTGGTCTGTCCCTGTGGTAGCCATCCTCATGAAGCAGCTATTCGAACGGCTGGGGGTCTGCCCCTATGTGTCCCTACAGGGCCTGGTGGATCGTTGTGCACCTGGCAAAGGAGAACGATTGCAGACCGTCCTTCAGCGCCCACCTCTTCGTCGTGATGTGGCCCTATGTCAGCCCGACACCGGCTTGGCCCGGCGGCTGGTTCACCTCGTCTCCATCAAAGGAGAGGACCTTATGCTGCAGGGGGCGTCTGAGCCCCTGGTTAAACATCAGCGCCTGCGCCAGACCGTGCCAGCACGACTCTGGAAGTGGCGCGAAGTGGCCGGCTGGCAATGGCAGTCCAAAGGGGACCACATCAATGTGTTGGAACTACGTGCGGTGCATACTTCGGTCAAGTGGATGATCCGGAAGCGTAAACTCTTCAACTGTCGGGTGATTCACCTAGTGGACAGTTTGGTGGTCCTCCACTCGTTGAGCCGAGGGCGAAGTTCGAGTCGCAAACTGCGGCGTACCCTGATGCGAATCAATGCCTTGTTGTTAGCGTGCAATCTCCATTGCGTGTGGACCTACGTTCACACGGCTCAAAACCCAGCCGACCGGCCTAGCCGGCGGCTCAAAGTGCGCAAATGGGGAAAAGTAAAAAGCATCTAGAAGGGCGCACGCAACAGCAAAGGCAAACAGTTCGCAAACAAATGGGTACGCTAAAAAGTTTGACTATACAACCTCGCACTCGTGCACGTTACGACAAAGCCAAACAGAGGTTTTATGCCTTCCTGGATGATAATGGCCTTGATCTCCCCGCTAAAAGGACCCAGTTAGATGGGCTTCTCTGCGACTACCTTGAAGAATTGTGGGCAAAAGGGGAGGGGCGTGCTCTTGCTTCGGATACGTTAGCTGCTTTACAGGATGCTAGTCCTCGTTTACGTGGGAGTATCCCGGGGGCTTGGCGCTTGTTACGTACGTGGCACGCCAATGAAATCCCTAATCGGGCTCCTCCTTTCCCAGAAAAGGTGGTCCAGAGCGTGGCTGGTTATTTTGTTTTCCACTCCAAACATGCTCTTGCTCTCTCAGTCCTGTTAGGCTTTTATGCTGTCCTACGCACAGGTGAACTGCTGGGGATCCGGAATAAGGATGTTACAGTGGACCTGCAATCTTCGACTGCCGTTATCTCGCTGGGTTTAACCAAGGGTGGTAAACGTTCAGGAGCGTCAGAGAGTACTACTGTAGCCGTCACAGAAGTGGTGCGTCGCTTAGCCCAATGGAAAAAATGTACTTCACCGGGTAGTCTGCTTTGCCCATCTCCTCAAGTGTGGAGAAAAGAATTTTCCCAAGCTCTTTCTGCGCTTTCTCTTGATTCCTGGGAATTCCGTCCATATTCCTTGAGAAGGGGAGGTGCTACTTTCTGGTTTGGGAAACATGGTTCTTTAGATCGCATCCTCCTGCAGGGGAGGTGGCTAGCCGCCCGTACGGCAAGAACTTATTTGAATGAGGGGCTGGCAGTTTTAGCTGAATTAAATATTTCTAATGCAGTGTTGCGGCCGTTTCACACCGTTTATCTCAATGCGCTGAGAACGCGACTTCCCAAGTGGTGAATAAAGTGCTAGAGTTTTGGCCAATTGCTTGAGCTTCCTCGTTCCGAGAAGGTTGGGGGGACGTGGAGGTTCCCGTTTTTCTTTCTGTTTTCTTGGCATTTTGATGTGATTTTGCCTAAGGAAGGCTCGGAGAGTAAGGAGTTGGTTTTTTTGTTCTCCTTAAGTTACCTGTGCCTACTACCTCGGTTTTGCGAGGGACGTAGGGGGTAGCGGGGGGCAACCCTAGGCCTTTGGTTTTGCGAAGGGTTAGAGTTGTCGGGGCCCCTCTCTCTATTTGCAAGTTTGTGGTTTTCAATTTCTTTAATTTCTGACAAGATGGGTCTTGCTTGTGCTCAGAAAAGAAAGGGTGCTGTCTTTGGTAATCCGCCCCGGGTTTAAAGACACACCATGGAATTTCTGATCTATAGCAATTTGGCTTAAGTTCCCGCACCTCCCGCCCTTAAATGGGGTGTGGAGGTTCCCGTTTTTCTTTCTGTTTTCTTGGCATTTTGATGTGATTTTGCCTAAGGAAGGCTCGGAGAGTAAGGAGTTGGTTTTTTGTTCTCCTTAAGTTACCTGTGCCTACTACCTCGGTTTTGCGAGGGACGTAGGGGGTAGCGGGGGGCAACCCTAGTCCTTTGGTTTTGCGAAGGGTTAGAGTTGTCGGGGCCCCTCTCTCTATTTGCAAGTTTGTGGTTTTCAATTTCTTTAATTTCTGACAAGATGGGTCTTGCTTGTGCTCAGAAAAGAAAGGGTGCTGTCTTTATATATATATAATTATGTATATATATAGATTGTTATTTATATATACATAGGATATTATATGAAATAACGCGCGCTTTTACATGTAAAAAACTGCACATATGTATAAACAGATCAGGTTCTGCACTTTGAACATCCAGGCCCATCTACTTCGTCACTTCCCACAGATTTTTCCCTGGTTCAACGGCAGGTGGCGTTTCAGAACCACTCGCTGCATTTCTCACTGAGCGCCATTGAGTTCGTGCGGCAACATGCGTTGCACAGAGTAGCGGAGCACGCCCTGATGTCCCCCGGCGAAGCATGTGTCGAAGCGTTTGGCGTGGCGGTGGGTTGTAGGGAAGCTAGGGAAAGGAGATGTGAAGTGGTCAGGGGTATGAATGCTGGTTATATGATAATATATACTACATATATCTATATATCATTATATATACAGTACATGTGCGCGACTGTTTCTACATGATAGTTTGTTCTTTTACACTATATAACTTTACTTGGATGCTAACTGTTGGAAGACAGAAATAGGTATGTGATGCTTCTTATAGCTGCCATCCAGCTGCAGCTTGGTCTTTGAGCCTTTCGCTTTATATATTTCGATCGCATCTGTCAAAACCAAGTTTGCAACGGAAGTCTTATGACATCACGTTTTTCTCCTCTCTTCTTTTTCTCTTTGATTTCAGTTTTTGATATTGTCCGACCAAGATGATGGAATTCGGTTCCCATGTCTTGCGTGCCGATGGCTCGACTAGGTCGTGTCTGGCATGGAGGAACAAAAATGGTTGGGGTGGGGCGGGGTGAGGTGGGGTGGCATGTTAACATTCATGCACATTTTACATTGAGGACGCTACATTGATCTAAGGTTGATTTTTTGTTGATGATGTCAAGGGTTGGGGGTGGGGTGGGATGTTAACGTTCATGTACATGTTGCATTGAGGATGTGGCATTGAGGATGTGGCGTTGAGGATGCTACGTTGACGATGATACGTCGAGGATGTTACGTTGAGGATGTTTCGTTGCGGATGAAGTGCGCAAATCCCACGTATAATTCAGGTGGCTGCTGAAAGCTGCAAAGCATGGGCCAGTGAGTGTAAAAAGAGGGTATACTTAACCACAGAGCGGAAAAGCACACGACATGCAATGTGTAAGCCATGATGCCAATGCACTCAAGGGTCAAAGTAAAAGCATGTAAACGCATTGGAACTCACAAGATTGACGGCATATGGCATGTGGAAAGATTTGAAATCATATTTGGCTGCACAAGTCATTGCCAAAGGCAAAGACAAAGCCTTGAATCGGAGGCTGCTTACATACATGTACTATCATGTACTATCATGGACTATCATGTGCTCCTTTCTGTTCCGGGAAAGAAGATACTTGCCTATTCTGCAAAGCAAGCAACTGAAAAAAAATAATTGGAACAAAACTGTTTTCTTGCGCTGCCTCCAAGACATTGGCAAGCGTGGGACAAATTGCATGCAGGCCTCCCGAATCAACAAATTCACATATAATATGATTTTTTCCGGATGATACAAGGATTTGCTCAGCAAAGCGCTTCAAACCTGACTTTTGCAAGGATTGCAAGCTTGCAACCCCTCAAAAACAGCGGGGTCACTACGCGCCCCGTTACTTTGTTTTAGGAGGGATGCTTTTGCTTTGCCATACGGTTCCTTTAATTATCTTTATTTGCCTCATTCGAAACAAATATTTTGAAAATTTGTAGGGCTTCATCACCACACATTACCGCAAAAAAGACCTGTTCGGTGCTTTGTTCTGGTCGAAGGATCGCTTGTAACTTGCATGTTTTTGTTTGGATCGCTTGTAACGCTTGTTATTTGTCGATCGCTTGTTAACGCTTTTGAGATCAAACAAAGAAACCATGTAGGGTATGTTCATGCTCCAGTAGCTCCAGCAGTTCCAGCTAAAGATTCACGCTCTAGCTACGTTTGCAAGGTTTCGATCCAAATTGATCGTGTACAAATTTCTTGACTCATGTTTTATGATGTTTTTTGCATGTTGGAACAATTGAACTTTAAAGGCGGGGTCCTGAAAGTATGCAGTGAAGGTGATTTTCGTCCGAATCCGGGAAGAGGAAGAGAAGACCTCATATATACTTTCATGCTGGGAACCTCTCGTGAATCACCAATAACCAATATTTCATGGAATGTCGTTGCGGGTTCTGACGACTTGAATTTTAGAGCTACAGCATACTATGTATACCCTCTCGTAATGTAACATAGCTTTGGAAATTAAATCATCACCTTTAAAATAGGTTTGAAAGGTAAATCATCTAAGAATGGGCCATTTGCATAGGTAATTAGGTGGAATACAAGAGGGTACCCGATGTTCAGTCCAACTTTGGCAGTGATTCCGGTCAGACTCGTCGTGCTCAGGATGATGTCGCGGAAGGATGGTGAGGATCTCATGGGGTCGATCCAGTGCATCAACTTCAAACGCCAGGGCCTTGCTGTTGGTTGTTTTCGGCATGCGGCTGATGCGCCGCCCTTGGAAGGGTTGTTAATTTTGAGATATGCCATTTACGATCCCTTGGAAGGGTCGCAAATTTGAAAAATGAAGGCCGCCAAAATGAGGGTACAGGATTTGCTTTTCGCCTTTGTTAACATGTTGCACATGCTGTCGTATGTTCATCAGGGGCTGGAGGGTGGGGGGGTGTATTTACGTTCTTGACGAGTTGTAACAAGGATTACCCTCACAAAAGATTCAAGATCGTCCAAATCAACCACATTTTTTTAACTATATAAGACTTATCATTTTCGAGGTCGTTTGCGGGGCAAATCCCATAGAACCATTGTTGCTGGTATTCAACAAATGGATGGTACATGGAAGCACGTCAAACATGGAAACCAATGTCCATGCTCCACAAGAAAAACCAACAAGTGCGCAAAAAAAGGTACTCTTTGGCTTACAGTTGGACATGGCGTCATAATGTCGCCTTGTTGGAGTCTGTGGCCGCTGCGTTGCCAAAAGCACTCGGGCACTGAAGCTTCGAGAAGAGGAAAAAAATAAATTACTTTACTTCGTGTTATCCCCACCATGACATTTATCGATTTGTTACTGGCAAATGTTCTGGCATTCTATCTGACATATCTTCTGGCATTCGATCTGGCATTCTATCTGGCATATCTTCTGGCATTCTACCTGGCATATCTTCTGGCATATGTTCTGGCATATCTTCTGGAATATGTTCTGGCATATCTTCTGGCATTCTATCTGGCATATCTTCTGGCATTCTATCTGGCAAACATTCTGGCACTCTATCTGGCATACCATCTGGCATTCTATCTGGCATATCTTCTGGCATTCTATCTGGCATATCTTCTGGCATTTTATCCGGCATATCTTCTGGCATTCTATCTGACATTCTATCTGGCGTTCTATCTGGCATATCTCACTGAGCTCGGAAGGTCCCCAGGTTGAGGTCCAGCGGTGCTCACTGAGCTCGGCGGGTCCAGGTTGAGGTCCAGCGGTGCTCACTGAGCTCGGCGGGTCCCGGGTTGAGGTCCAGCGGTGCTCACTGAGCTCGGACGGTCCCAGGTTGAGGTCCAGCGGTGCTCACTCAACTCGGCCGGTCCCAGGTTGAGGTCCAGCGGTGCCCAGTGCGCTCAGACCCTTGCAGTTGAGGTCCAGCTGTGCCCACTGCGTGCGGAAGTTGGCGAAGAGCTTGGCGAAGAGTTGGCAAGGCGGAAGTGGACATGAAAGTGGAGGCAGAGGTGGTGGAGGAGGAGGAGAAGAACAACTCTGATAAAATCTAACAACCCTCACCTGGCAGGTGGGGAAAAAAATGAAAAAATGGATGGGTGGATGTTTGCCTGGGATGATTGAAAATCATAATTTTATAATGTTTTTAACCATTGAAGAGCAAAATCGATTCACTGCGCATGCGAAATGCAAATTTTGACACTTGAGTCACACGCCTGCCAATCGAAATGAATGTCCATATTGCAAACATTTTTTGACAAGTCCCACAAATACCAGCATTGTGTCTCTTAGCCTCAGAAATCACAATTTCAAATTCATCGCCCTTACAAGGGCGGCGAGTCAACCGGTTGCCTTGTTTTCCCGGCATGGATCACGGTGGAAAAGTGTCCTAACATGGTTTTACTATGATCAGAAATAGTGAAGTAATGGTTATTCAATATGGTGGTCTCAACGGACTGAGCACTGGGGGGTCGAACAACAAAGATGGGGATGATGTAATGGGGATGTGAAATGGGATTTAAACTAATATCGAGGATATAAAGCCAGGCACATAGTGGGGATTCAATCCGAATATCAGACACAATATGTCATACAGTCTGCAGTATTTTATTGCACGCGTGTGCCTGGAAATTTGGGGTTACCCCAAGTTGTGACCACTTTAGCAGTGAGTATTTCGAAAAGGCACCGACGAATGGGAGACCCTATTTTCAGACGAACCCACATTGCGAAGAATATTGGATGTCAATTTCACACAACACGTATATCAATATAATCTTTCTACGAAACGAGCACTAAGCGACTCAAGCGTCAATTCGACCAGAATGCATCAATAAAATTACTTTACTTCGAGTTATCCCCACCATGACATCTATACGTTTTGTTACTGGCAAATCTTCTGGCATTCTATCTGACATATCTTCTGGCATTTCATCTGGCATATCTTCTGGCATTCTATCTGGCATATCTTCTGGCATTCTACCTGGCATATCTTCTGCAATATGTTCTGGCATATCTTCTGGCACTCTATCTGGCATATCTACTGGCATTCTTTCTGACATTCTATTTGGCGTTCTATCTGGCAAATCTTCTGGCGTTCTATCTGGCATACCTTCTGGCATTCTATCTGGCATATCATCTGGCATATCTTCTGCCATTCTATCTGGCAAACATTCTGGCATTCTATCTGGCATATCTTCTGGCATTCTTTCTGACATTCTATCTGGCGTTCTATCTGGCATATCTTCTGGCATTCTATCTGGCCGTTGAGGTCCAGCGGCGCTCACTGAGCTCGGAGGGTCCCAGGTTGAGGTCCAGCTGTGCTCACTGAGCTCGGAGGGTCCCAGGTTGAGGTCCAGCGGTGCTCACTGAGCTCGGACGGTCCCAGGTTGAAGTCCAGCGGTGCTCACTGAGCTCGGAAGGTCCCAGGTTGAGGTCCAGCGGTCCCCAGTGCGCTCAGACTCTTGCAGTTGAGGTCCAGCAGTGCCCACTGCGTGCGGAAGTTGGCGAAGAGCTTGGCGAAGAGTTGGCAAGGCGGAAGTGGACATGGAAGTGGAGGCAGAGGTGGTGGAGGAGGAGGAGGAGAAGAAGAAGAAGGAGGAGGAGGAGGAGAAGAACAACTCTGATAAAATCTAACATCAGTCATGGAACGAAGGAACGCAGATATATAATGCTGTATTTCAATAAAACATAATTTAATAATAATCACCAGAATCGTTCATTTTTGTCACGGCCATTTGGTCTTGAACCCTCAAAAAACGGTTTTTCTTGTGGAACAGCCTGCCTCGGCTGTTGTAATTCACGCTCCATTTTGGGTCAGCAAAACTTGTTCCATACGTTGCGAGTCATTCAGCCAAATATGTGGTCCCTTCTACTATCTGCCCTGTTTTCTGTTCGGCCTCGCCTTGCAACCCCTGTGGGCTCATTGACTGATTGACTGGCCCCGCGGGCTCGGGAACTTTATCGCTCTGAGGTCGCAAGGGTCTTCGTGACAAAATGAAGCATTTCTTTGACTTGGCGAAGACCAAGGACAAGAGCGGAGAGGCGGTTGAGCACTTTCTGTTTCTCAGCTCACTCAGTGTTGTGATTTGATTATAGCTTGATGAAGGGTTTTTTTGTTCGGTGTGTGTGTGTGTAAACCCTCCTTACACAGGGCGCGGTACGAATATGCAAGGGGATGGAGGGGACACATGAGGCTCCATCCAACGAAGCTCCTCATCAGGATATCACCTGCGCCATTTTTTCTGCATTCGGGTAGTCGGACTGGTGACTCCACTTTCTCTTCACCGATTTTCTGTGTTTCTGCATGTCACTAGATGAACTGTTGATTTCAAGTCTGGATTCCACTCAATATTTCAAATCTTTATGAACGCTGTTGCTACCAACATTGTAACTAACAGGAGCTCTCTGCCTCCATTATTTTGGATTTCATCTCGACATCGACCTCAACCGTTTGGATTTACCTTTGGCTGCTACCATGTGGGTTTATTCTCCGACCTCAGCCCTCAGCATCATTTTGGATTCAACTTCAGAACTCGCAACCAGACCAGTGTGTATGTGGGGAAGTGGAGAGGGTCTAGCAAAATAGCCCAGAAGTGAAAGTTCAATGGTTCCACCAATGGGCTGTGTGGAGTAGCGGGAATTTCCCGCTTAACCAACCAGCAGAACGGGATGTGCATTAGCCCAGATTGAACCAGATTTCGAACGCCAACATTACCTGGGGTCCCGATTGGCTTTTAAATGTAGTTGTTTGAAAATCAGGTATACCCGATTAATTAATAAGGAAACTGATGACAAACCATTGGATTTTGATGGATCTTGGGGGTACCCTTTTTCCAGACGAACCCATGATTTTCAGGGAGGAGTGAAACCGCCAATCAGAATTTGTTGAATTTTCATTTGGAGAACTCGCATCTTGGTCAATTTTGATAGGGCTGACAAAAGATTGTTTTCCCTTAAGCTTTAGTACCGCACAAGGCTCTGGCGGAAGTCTCAAAAATAGGAAACCTATAGGAGAGATTGGTTGTTGTGAATCACGGATGGCAGAGCGAATCCACTGATGGACCGAAAGGTGGTTGGAGCGGTGTTTTTTGGAGTGGCTGCAATGTTTGCAGTGGTCACCTGGTCGGTCACCTCACCCACAACTGCTGGATGTAGTGTGGTGTAGTGCAGCTGTAGTTGTAGTTGTAGTGTAGTGGAGTTGTAGTTGCGGTGTAGTGTAATTAGTGTAGTTGCAGTTGCATTTGTAGTGGTGTAACCAGTGTAGTGTGACGTAATGTGATGTAATGTAATGTAATGTAGTGTAGTGTAATGCAATGTGGGGTAGGGTAGTCTCAGCGTAGTGCAGTGTAATTGAGTGTAGTGTCGTGTCGCGTTGTGTCGCGTAGTGTAGTGTGTAGTGTAGTGTAGTGTAGTGTAGTGTAGTGTGGCGTGGTGTGGTGGTAATGCAATTAGTGTAGTGTAGTTGTAGTTGTAGCTGTAGTGTAGTGTAATGTAGTGCAGTGTAGTGTAATTGAATGTAGTGGAGTGTAGTGTAGTGTAGTGTGGTGTAATGCAATTAGTGTAGTGTAGTTGTAGTTGTAGTTGTAGTTATTGTAGTGTAGTGTAGTGTAGCGTAGTGTAGTGTAATGCACTTAGTGTAGTGTAGTGTAGTGTAGTGTGGTGTAGTGTCGTGTCGTGTTGTGTCGTGTAGTGTGGTGTGTAGTGTGGTGTGGTGTAATGCAATTAGTGTAGTTGTAGTTGTAGCTGTAGTGTAGTGTAGTGTAATGTACTGCAGTGTAGTGTAATTGAATAGTGGAGTGTAGTGGAGTGTAGTGTAGTGTAGTGGAATGTAGTGTAGTGTAGTGTAGCGTAGTGTAATTGACTGTACTTGAATGTAATTGAGTGTACTTGACTGTAATGGACTTTACTTGAGTGTAGTGGAGTGGAGTGGAGTGGAGTGGAGTGTAGTGGTGTGTAGTGTGATGTAGTGTAGTGGAATGTAGTGGAATGTAGTGAAGGTGTAGTTGTAGTTGTAGTGGAGTGTAGTGTGGTGTAGTGGTGGTTGTAGTTGAAAATGCTTCAGAACCCTCACGTTTTGCTCACTTTTGACAAGGTCCACAATCCCTTGCGCCTGTGACGCGAAACGACATCTGAACGTCCAAATGTGGTCCGAACCCCCGGTGTTTTTAACATTTTGACTTCGAAATGTGCTTCGCGCCACAAAGTTGTGCACTTTTTCGACATCTCAACTTCCAAAAGTGGTCCGGACCTGATGTGTTTTGTGCATTTTGACTTCGAAATGTACTTCGTGCCACAACGGCGTGCACTTTTTCGACATCGCAACTTCCAAAAGTGGTCCGGAGCTGGTGTGCTTTGTACATTTTGACTTCGAAATGTGCTTCGCGCTACAACGGCGTGCACTTTTTCGACATCGCAACTTCCAAAAGTGGTCCGGAGCTGGTGTGCTTTGTACATTTTGACTTCGAAATGTGCTTTGCACCACAACGGCGAGCAATTTTTCATCTCTCATCTGGCCAGATGGCTCCGCACCCGCCGCTTTAGCGAGCCTACTTTTCGACCCTCCGGAGCCACAAATCATTGGAAAAACACAGTTCCCCAAAAGACGCCTAAGGTTGCTTAAGATAGGTTTCACCTAAGATTGTATATTAGAGGATTGTTCTTAGAGTTGAACCTTAAGACACTTAAGGTTGCTTAAGACAAGTTTCACCTAAGATTGTGCATTAGAGGTGTATCTTGAAAGTTGAACCTTTATTCGATGTTTATTCAAAAACTGTTGTTGTTTTTTGTTACAAAAAACTTAATCCCTGGGCGGGTCAAACATGACGCCGCAAACACATCGGTAGGTGGCACCAATGGTGTCGCGCGCCTGGGATCTCATCAAGCAGAAGGCCCCTGGGTCATATCGGCTGGACAGGATGGGCTTATGGGTAGTTTTAGATCAATAGCCAGACAGAATGGGGATATAGTGGGGATATAGTGGGGATATCATATGGAATTGCTTTATTGGGGATATATAGTTTTACAAAATTGTCTGATTATGGTGATGAACCATAACCCTGTATGTACCCCTTTTGCTCGCTTTAGAGTAGCTGCGGTCTACGGATGTTCATCACCCTAAGAATGGTATTTAGTTTAGGGCATGGATTCATTTCCACCTTATGGCACGCCCCCACCCCCCAAAAAAAAGTCAGGCAACTTTGGAAGCTTAAGTTTATCTGAGTTTAAGTAACAGATACAGGCCCCATTTGACCACGTTTCCGGAAATACATTTGATCATATGTTTTCCGATCAGCTGGCAAGCAGGAGATCATCCCTCCTTGGAAATGGTCAACAATATCCTTCTGCAGAAATGAATGATAGCTGCTATCATCTGCTATTTCATGGATTCTGAATAGTTCCAAGCCAAATTTAAACACTTAGCACACTGACTCAAAATTGATTCACCCAATTTAAGCATACAGAACCACATAGAACCATAAACATTAGTTCATCTAGTTGGAACGATTGTGTAAATCCAGCCATTTCGGCTATGCGATTCCTGGCCTCGCTTCCATTGCGCAGGCTGCCCCTGAGGGATCGCCCTCTCGTTCTCGAAAGGAACGCTCCAGGAGTAGGAGCACGGAACGTTGGAAGGAATGGGTCAGTTCAGTCATCCGGGGTTGCCGAACCGGGGGATGCTTGTTACACCCCCATTATGATAAAATTAAGGAATGATGGGTAATTACACGAACTTCTCAGTGGGGTTGATATAGGGGGAAAGGCCTGGTCGAGGGTTTGGTTGCTGAACATTTCAGCTTGGACAATCCCATGACAAACTTGGAAAATCACAACAAATCCTTCATGGACTAGTGTCGGATTCTCATGGTTTACACTGCCTTTTTTATACATGCTTTTTACGGGAATTCCACAGGGTTGGGGTGCTGCCTGGAACAAATTATGTGGTAATTCCGTGGTAATGGTCACTGATTTGGTGTGTGCTCATTAATTGCTTAGTGCTGCAGCCATTGTAATGATTGTAAGCCATTTTGTTGAATAACTACCAACAATCCAAGCATGCTTAAACTCATGTCGAACAAATGCTGGTAAAGAAAGGGCAGAGTGTTATTTAAGTAGGAATTCTTGAAGGGAATTGCTGTTGAATTTGATGAGATTGTTGCAGGGCTTTACTGGTCTTAACATTCAGGGTTTGCGTGGGACTGGCCCGTATTTATGATTCGTTGTTGATTTCTAATGGGTCTTCTTGGAAAATCAGTGCCTCACTGAGGGCAGAAGAAAGTCACAAAACTTGTGCAAGCTTGTATTGCTCGTTTTCCGGTGAAGAGCCACAGAGATGGCTGTGGGAATCTTGGAGGGGCCCTATCGATTTTAACTTGGTTTTCATTAGGTTTCCATGGTTTCTGTGGAGTTTTGACGAGTCTATGCCAAAATCCTCATTTATAGATTGTTTTACTCATAGAGACATATTATATATACACTGATTATATATATATATATATACACACATGAAAATGAATAAACATACAGAAATAGATAATATGGGTTATAGTTTCTGTTGGGTTATATATACTTCCAGCAACAACAACAACAACAACAGCGCAAAAAAAAAAAACACTGCAGGAGTCGCCATTCGTGGCGGCGCTCCAAGTCACAGCGCCGCTCTAAGTCGCGGCGTCGCTCCAAGTCACGGCGGCGCTCCAAGTCACGGCGGCGTCGCTCCTGCAGCCAAAGGAGTCGCAGGCGAAGGGGCGGAGGTATATATTGATGAGTGTTGTATGGAGGTTTTCATGGGGAAATCATCGGACTACTTCGGAAAGTCGTATCAGTTGGTTAACGAAAAAATATGCCATATTATATTATCAATAGCCGTATTATACAGGCAACAAGACGAACCAACTCGAACCCGAATCCAGTTACGTAAACCAATTTTTGCAAAAACATGTTCCAACACTCTTGTACATTTTTCCCCTGTTACTGTGCCGTTGTAGACTGTGGAGTGTGGTGTGGGGGGAGTGCAGAGTTTCAGTGCAGTCTCGGGTGGGGCGTGTAGTGTCTAGACTAAGAAGAGGTGTGGAGACTGGAGTCCTGGAGTGTAAAGTGCGGAGTCAGGAGTGTAAAGCGTGGAGCGTAGAGAGTGTGAAGTGCGGTGGGTGAAGTGTGGAGAGTGTAAAGGGCGGAGTCTAAGGTAAGGAGTGTGGAGTGTGAAGTGTGGAGTGTACAGTGTGGAGTGTGAAGTGTGATGTGTGCCATGTGGAGTGTAGAGTGTACAGTGTGATGTGGGGATCTGGAGTGTGGAGCGTAGATTGTTTTGAGTCCGGAGCGTGTATTGCGCAGTGTAAAGAGTAGAGTGTAGAGTGTAAGGTGTGAAGTGTAGAGAGTGGAGCGTAGAGCGCAAAACGTTTCGAGGGTAGAGTGTAGAGTGCGAGGTGTGGAGCGTAAAGTGTGGAGTTTAAAGTGTGCAGAGTGAAGCGTAGAGTGTAGAGGGGAGAGTGCAAAGTGCGGAGTGGGGAGTATAGAGTGTGGAGTGTGAAGTTTGGAGTGTGAAGTGTGAAGTATAGAGTGTAAGGTGTGGAGTGTAGAACTTGGAGTTGGGAGTGGGCAGTGTAGAATGTGGAGTGCAGAGTGTTGAGTGTGCAGTGTGGAGTGTGGGGTGCAATGTGTAGAGTGTAGATAGTGAGGTGTGGAGCCTGAAGTGTGGAGTCTGGAAAGTGGAGTTTAAAGTGTGGAGTGTGAAGTGTAGAGTGTAGAGTGTAAGGTGTGGAGTGTTGTGGAGTGTGAAATCTACAGTGTAAGGTGCCGAGTGTGGAGCGTCTTTTGGAGTGTAGAGTGTTAAGTGTATACTGTGGTTTTGGGATGTGGAGTGTCCGGGGTAAAGTGTGGAAAGTGTGGAATATAGAGTCGGGAGGGTCAAGTCTACAGTGGTAAGGTACCACGTCACCAAGTATTGCACTGGCCACGCAAAATGGCATTCCACCTGCGCGGATCTTCACCAAACGCTGCGCTTGCCAAACAATGATACCCTCACTATCGATGCCCCACTCCGGCCATGCAATATGCAGGTTGCCACCACTTGATGCAGCCTTGACAAGTCGATTTGCAAAAAACAAGCAACACCACACGTCTAAAGGGCCGCGCCTACCACGGAAAATGAACATGGACACTACGTCCAAAGTTTTACGCCTACCACGCAGCATGCAAATCATCTTCTGAAAACCTAGCAAAAGTATATTTTGCGTTGGTCACACAAGACACTTTACCAGACGCGTGAGAATGTCTTGAAGTGCTATACCTGCCTCACAAAACGACAGTCCAATCCTCTGGGGAAATCCTCAAAAATGAGAGGTTTTGCAGCTTCTTCTTGCATGGCGGCACCGCAACAAAACAAAAGAATCGAGACAAGACATGTAGGAGGCTCAAAACAACAGTTCGTGCGAAAAGCCCTCAAATTTTCACAGTTTGCAGCTGCACAACCGACGTGTTCCTACGAGTTTTTCTCATGAACCGCAAAATTTGCCACCTCAAATCGAGGCGTCCGTAGCTTTTCATCACATGTCTGGTGCCGCCCTGCGAACCCTGCGATACGGGGAAAATGGACTTGGACAGCCTTGATGCAGCCCTGCGAACCCTGCGAACGGGGAAGATGGCAAACGTCACCTTACGAAGCTGTTAAGAAACTGAGGGAACCTTCACCGGAAGGCCCCCATTTGCACATAGTCACCACTTGTTGCAGCCCTGACGATCCGATTCGCAAAAAACAACACCAATATCTAAAGTGCTGTGCCTGTCACGTAAGATGAACATATATAGACACGTCCAAAGTGCTCCGCTTGCCACGCAAATGCATGGCATCTCCTGAAAACCACGCAAGGGTATTGCGTTGTCACAGTGAGCGATTTTTGGCACGTTATGTGAAACATGTGTTGGAATGTCGTGCCACCTCTGCCACACGATACGACGTTGCATGCGTGTGTCAAACATCCAAAAGTGACCACTCTTGCAGGACTCACCACAGTTATATACTGCCATAGCGACCTCATCGCAAACGGTTGCAGATTGTTGCGGACGCATAAAGCCGTTTCCATCCCCAGACCGCCCAAGTAAAATGAGAATGCTTCGCTATGTGTAATGTAATGGAATGTCATCATCCATTATAAAGTTTAAGGGGGATATAGTGGGATATACAACCAGCGCGATGGAGGTTCCAATGCGAAAATCGTTCTGAGCAATACTATACATGGGGATTATATAATTGGAAAGTCTTCGCGCAAGATGGGAAATCCCTTGATAAATATTGGAGAATCACAGTATAACACGGGATTGAAAAATATGAGAAAAGATTGGGGAAAAACAGTTATAAATGGAGTCTTTTGCTGGGAAAAAACTTCGAGCCCAATTAAGTCGAATGCCTAGGGTGATTTATTCTCAGGGAATCAAACATGATTTGCTGGAAATTTTCCAATTTATAGATGAGCTTCCCGTGAAACCTTTCCTTTATATGGGGTTTACATAGATTTCCCATTTCCATGTTTGATTTCCGAAAGGTATCAAGGGTGGTGCTACCATTAGGGATGATCACAATCCATTTCGACAAGTCCTGATGCCCAAGCAATATACAAGGACGACCTCTTGAACAATGCTCACATGAGTAGATAGATAAATACATATATTTACATATTTGTTAATTTGACGAATATGTGCGCACATATCAAAAAACATTTACATATATCAGTGCGCATATATACACACATACACACATATATCTATAAAATATATATTTTTTAATGTGTTACACATGATCTCCACCAAGCAAGTTTCTCAACTCAAAAGCATCAGGCGGCGGAGCCGAAGCAAGCATGGCAAGTCACGTTGCAGCCGGAAGCGCAAGCGCTCCAAGACCAAGGACTGGAAAACGGGGGTGAAAGGTCGGCGGCTACCAGCGCTACCAGCTACAGACGGGGATGCAGTTGGGGTTGCAAACGTGTGTAATCATGGCTGTCAACGTCCCACACGTTAAGATATAAACCCTGTAATGACGGTTACATATTATCTTTGTATCACTGGAACTGCACTTAATCATATCATACCCTTCGGCAATCAAACGTGGCAAAGGAAAATCCACCATTTATAGATGATTTCCCCTTTATAGGGGATTTCCCAGGCAGCCATGTTTGATTACCAGGGGGTAGGTTGAGGGGTCAGACCCAAATAGTTCAGGAGTGCCAACAGCCTACTGTAGTTCCCATATGTGCCATCGTGAAAACTGGGTAAAATGCTCATGACTAAGGATCTGTATATTCATAATGGCTCCCAAAATGCGATGAGTGACCATACCACGCACACACACATCATATGTTGTCCATGGCACGTATGCGCCCGTGTTTTCATTTTGGGGCTTGGTTTCCACAAAATGATGGGATGGGTTTCGGCTTTGCGTGCTTGTTGAACTGGGCGTTTGAAGGATGCTGATTCCAGTGTTGGCTTTGCCAACAAAATTAAAGATTGATTTCGTCATCAAGAATTCTCTCCAGTGAGATGGGGACACTGGAGGGAAGGGGATAGTAGGGCTGAAGACCAGGGCTGGGATAACATTGGTGGAACGAATGAGTCGCGGCGACGCCTTAAAAATAAGATTTGGGCTGGTCTGGGGTTCATTAATAAGATGGATTTTCCAGATAGAATCAAAGGGGCGCTTCACTGGTATTATGGGAAGCCACTAATATCAACGTTCTTGCCGCTAAAATCACTGGGCTGCCACATCAGATCAGGTCATGTGTATACCCGTGACATGCCAGAAAAAGCCGTCCTGGTTACCAGGCAAACAGAAGTAACTGCCCCCTGGCAACCAAACATTGCAATTGAAAATCTTCCATTAATGGGCTTCTGGTGACCATCTTGGCAATGATTGTTATTATCGTCAGTTGTATTTGCCTGTGCACTAGCAGACATACATACCACAACTACATATATCTATACCTGTTTATTTATTTATGTATTTACGTATGTATTTATTTTTATTTTTTTATTCACTCACACCATCATGTCAACCACATCATCATGTCAACCACTGACCATCAAGTAGTTGCGAAGTGCAACAGTCCGGAAGCATGTGAGTTCATGGGTGAAAAACATTCTCGGGCGCGAAACCCTGTCTTTTTTTCGGGTAATGTGGCTCCTGGGGTCGCCGAAGTAGGGTCTCTGTTTTCTCATTTGCGGGCCTGGATCTGGCAAAGTTGTCCACAAAAAAAACGCACTGGACTGTAGCGAGAGCACGGTTTGCACTTCAACATGTTGAAAGACTGTCATTCCAAACGCACTTTTGGAAGATGAGGTCGACAACATGTACACCATGCAGGCTGTAGTGGGAGCTCTATTTCAGACAAAAATCGCAAAAAGTTGCTGACTCTGCGCCAATGTTGGTCGATTTGGTGCGCCGCTCCTTCTTTGAGGGTTTGCAACTTGCTGCAAAGAACCGCATTGGCATGGCTGCGCGCAAAGCGTTCAGTCATGCTGCGAAGCTCCTGACAAGCAGGATTGCAGCTGGAGGTTGCTAAACGCATTGGAACTGCTGCGTGAAAATAAGATTTGGGTTGCAGAAGAGCTAGCTGGAAGGCAGCTCAGAGGAGGTTGAGAGAAGTAGCCCAGATAAGAGGCTGCTCCAAGAAGAAGTAGCTGAGAGACGACGTACCTCAGCGAAGATTGATTCATTATAAACTGATTCATCGACTCACTAATTCCTTCATTTATTGATTCACTGATTCATGGATGCACCGATTCACTGACTCACCGACTCCCTACTTCACTCATTCATTGATGAACTGATTCATAGACTGAATGAGTTTTGATTTGCTGGTTCATTGGTTCATTGATTTACCGACTCACTAGCTCACTGGTTCATTGATTGCTTGGTTCATTGGTTAATTGAGTCATCGACTCACTAATTCATTCATTCGCTGACTCGCTGCTTCATCGAGTCGTCGAAACACTAGCTCATGGTGCACTGATTCTTGGTTCACCCACCCATCAACTTACTCATCCATTGGTTCATCATGTTCATCGGATCACTACTTCTTATTCACTGATTCACTGAATCACGGATTCAGATTCACTGAATCATCGGTTCAATGGATCATCGGTTCATACATTCATCGATTCATTGACTTCATAGACTCATTGATTAATTGTTTCATGGATTCATCGATTCATCGGCTCGCTAGTTCATTGGTTTACCGACCACTAACTAACTCATATTCATTGATGAATGATGTGATGCATTCCGTTCATTGATTCTTCGATTCGTCGTCTCAGCATCCATTTGCTGATTGACTGCTTCATTGATTCACTGATTCATTGTTTCATCGACTCATTGTTGATGCAATGATTGATGCAATTGAATTGTTAATTCTTTGATTAAGCGGGTCACTATTTCATTCAATGATTCATTGGTTCCTTGGTTGATTCGGTCCGTTGCGCATGCATTTTTCATGCCAACTTATTGGCATCTCAACCGCCATTTGCTCATTGGTGTGCCTCGCAACTTCAACAATTCACTGCTTCTGCATCGCAAAAACTTGCCTATAGTCAATAGTCGATTGACTTCTTTGGCCATTGATTTCTTTTGTCATTCATTTTTTCGAAACTTCCGCCCCGGCATAGGCCGGGCACTATCTGGTGCAGTATACATATAGTGTATACCATGCTTGCTCAGCCATCTAGTCGCTCAGGACAGCAGCAGCAGTAGCAGCGCTAGTTCCTCCAAGCCGGTGGCGAAAGCGAAGGCGAAGGTGGCGGTGAAGTCGAAGGCAAAGGCCAAGGCCAAGGCTGGGGCACCCAGGTGGCGACTGGGGGAACCACATCAGTTTTTAGCAATAAACTAAACATACCATGGTTGATTGGCTGTAAGGAGTTATATTACTGGGGTTGGAAACCTGGTTGAACCATGAACCCAGAGGGGGCATTTAGCTTGGTAAGTATACACAAAAGAATATGGAAAACCATTGGGAAATCCCGGAGAAAATGATCTGTGAATGGTATGTTTTTTGCTTTTACATGAAGGCGAGGATGAAAAATAATAATTTCGTCACCAAAAATGGGGGTGACCCTACACATGAATTACAATTTGAGCATTGGATAAGAATCTGTTAGTTCAGCGTTCAAATTGCAAAATTCTGGGAAAGGCATCAGAGATTACCCCCAGTCCTTCAATTCTTTATATAGTGTTGGTTGGGAAACAATGTTTGGTTCATTGGGGATCATGACAGCACCGATGTTGATGGGTACCTCCGGCAATTTAGTTTGGCTGGCGAGGCAAAAAAATAAAGAACTTTAACAGGAAGATGGTATGTCAGTGATTATATAATGTTTCTCACCGTCAAAGTGGACAATAGTATATAATGTAGGGTAACTTGGGGATGGGTCTTGATGGGACCGGTAATTGAGATTTAATTAAAGGGTAGAGACGCTTGAGTCACACATGGACTTCCAACTGGACATGAGTTGGCCAGTGCTGGTCCCTTTGCCAAAGTTACCATTCTGGCTGCTATTCCTAGACTTTGGCGTCGTGATTGAAACAATATCTTTACACTTGTTGCTGATGGTGTGATTTCTGTGTAGAACCTGCTGAGTCGGTTCCGTTTTTTTCCAAAAGCCTAGCAGCAAACCATCCCCAATATTACCATCTTTAAATGAATGGTACCATCCCCTAAATGGTCTAACTAACCATAGGTGGTTTGACTATACGTTCCGATACCCGGGATGATGATCCACCACTTTCGCATACAGATTGGTTGCGTTGCCACCACCACATTTTTGTTTCCCCTATGGTAGTCAATGATGGCAAAGGATAGTTGAATTTCCTAAAGGATCGCAGAACATCATGGAGGCTATCGCAAATATCCAGTGCCTTTGTGTTCGCCCGATGTTCTGTGAGTACTATATTAGATTATATTAGGTCTCCATGCATGCCTGTATCCCAATGATATCATCCCAATTTTTGTGTCTAAAGAGTCGCATTAAACCCATCAATTATTTAGTTTGGATTAGGCTTAATGGGAGCTCTGAAATATCCGGTCGCAGCAACAGTAGATTTGAACCGGCAATTTTTACACTCTAATTTATGCATCACTAGTGGGTTTGAATTTATATGACCACTGTTCCATAGCTCAACGACCATTTTTTCATAGTTAAAGCACTATTCATCATTCAATCACCATGTTGTTTTATAGTTCAAACCGCCATATTTCATAAGTTTCCACAGTTAAACCATGTTAAATCATCATTTTGTCATTAGCTAAGTGGCTGATCACATCCTGCAATTCCAAGTTTTAGTCTCCCCCAGGCCTCTCAGACGTGCAGCAGCAGCAGCAGCAGTGATGACGAGCCACAGGTGGAAGCGGGGATTTTGGCTGATGGATGTGTCACCACAAGAAAATTTGGTTAAAATGATGGGAGAATGATGTGAGAATCATGGGATGATAATGGGCATTTGATCAATTTCACTGGGAATCAATGATTTTGTTCCTACCGAGGGAGGGAATTGTCCAGGGTTTTGAACGCTGTTCATATGGTTACTAAAAAACAACTATTCTCTAGGATGAAGACATAGCAATAGATACTCGTAGTTGAATTTCCAAGAGGAACCTATTTGCAATGGCCTTTACCATGTTTGATTGCCGGAGGCTGTCCCGAACACTGGATGGCGTTTCTCTACTGTAAACGCCGAAATTCTTGGCTACTTTGGGCCTTTAAATTTAAAAGAAAATATGTAGTTTATTTCGATCCTCCTGGGGTGATCAATTGATCAATTTTTTTTTGCTTGGGAGGCTTACATTTGGTGTGTCCCCTTCTATGATCATCTATGTAGATTATCTCTATGCCGTCTATGTGTTTGATGTTGGGCAATGCCCCGGGCAGGATTCAGAAGATCCAGGCTCCAATGTTGAGAAGCGAGGGCGGTATGTCCATCTTGTCGCACAGGATCCCAAGAAACTGCAGCCACTGGTACACGACAAGCCGAAGACTGAGGACAACGTGCCCAGCATGTCTGTGGAAAGCTGTGGTGCCCGTGGGCGGTGTAGGTGCACAGGGGTTTAAGCAAAATGTTTGAAGGATCAAGCAATTCATTATTGCAAACCACGAAACCAGAGGAAGGAAGGAAGGCAGGATGGACAGAAGTAAAAAACATGCAGGAAGAAAGGAAGGCAAGTAGACAAGAAGGAAGAAAGGCCGGAAGGAAACAAGGGAAGGAAGTGCGTCTCTTTGGTTCCCTTGGCAAATGATTGTCTTTTTTTCTGTCCCTTGCTAAACAATAATATTTCATTTCTATATTTCATAAGATTTCCATAGGCACAAGATACTACATGTTCCCCGGCTTATGCATTTCGTCTGAGGCACTGTGCCCTCCCCGCGGACCCACCTCAAAATCTGCAGGTTCTAACGCCAAAACATCAAATGTTGTCGTGTTTTCGTGATCCGCTTTGTTGTAATTGCATGTAATTGCCTTGTTTCTTGGGGCTTGACCTAGATTTGAGTCTTTTGTTGTTGCTGCGCCGTGAAGTATTCTGCCCTGCTCTTCACCACCACCTCTGTGAGCACATCTAAGCCCCAACTTTGCAAGTGAAGTCTATTGAGGCCCTGCAACGGAACCATGTGCTTGGACTGCCCCTACCTGGTCCTCGGGGCAACTTGACCGCTTGCCTTTTCACTACGCAACTACTGCTCAGATGCGATTTACCAAGTTCATCCACTTGATGTTTTTTCTCAGTATCGTAATGTATCGTATTATGATTATTATTATTCCCTCCTTTGGCTGCCCATTCAAACCCGGCCGATCTTGATTTTTGGATTGACCCTATTTACTAGTACCTAATGTGTCCATCCTGGCTTTGCCAGGATTGGACACAAAACATGGGATATATTGGGATATTATTCCCCTTCCTTCCTGGCGCTTCTTTGGCCATGCTCCTCTGTGATCTTTGAAGATCATCTTTGACACCTAACTCTGGCACGGGATGCTAGTGGAAAGTGGAAGGTGATTCGCGCATGCGCGAAATAGAAGTCGTTATGTACTTGCAGCATGCAAGTCTTGGAGAGAGGAGACAAGTGTTACCTGACTTGATTCAATGGTCTCTTGCATGTGAATTGACATTGATGGCAGTCTTTCCACTGTAAAATATCCTAATACTTGTTTTTCTGTGTGTCCAAATCAGCGCAAGTACAATGTGTTGGGTTCTACCGGTTTTGAAATTCCAAACAAGTAGAGTGATTATGTTCATGTATTTTGTAGGCACACTGAGGCATAGGTGCATGTATGCAGATATAGATAATAAGAGAGAGAGAGAGAGGGAGATGCTTGAAGATTTGGCCCAGGGTGTCAAACAAATGGGTTGTGCATGATTTGGGTATCATTTGTTTCTAATGTTTTCCATTGTTTTGCAGTTTGGTGTTTTCCGATATTTTTCCTTTCCGGATATGGCCAGGAACTCAGGGTACTGCAGCCACCCTCGAAAGACAAGGTGCAGCATGTTTTTTTTGGCTTCGAAACCGGGCATCGTATTCTTGCTTAAGCTGCTTGATAATCACAGGGGATTTTACTGTTTAATACATTGCGGATGATGGAGTCCATGATGAGGATCATGGGAATCCCGTTTTTTAAACCAGGATTAAATGGAACGCCAGAGGGATTTGAATACTGTTTATTTGAGGTGTTCCGTGGTTTGTAATCCAAACTCCCAAATATTTCAAGGAATCTACAACCATTACTTTTTTCACTGTCCATATGTGTCCATATCCATATGTGTTGATATATGCACATGGATTTGTTGTTTGGTTTTGTAACGTTCATTCGATCCATTACAATATTCTACGCAACATTAGGTCGGTGTATTTTGTCCCGAGAGTTTCCACCTCTTCGCAGCAACTTTGACAGGAGATTGTCAAAAAGCCTTCCCATGACGAACTGCATTCCAAACTGGCTGAGCTGAAGAAGAGCTCCAAACTGGCTGAGCTGAAGAAGAGCTCCAAACTGGCTGAGCTGAAGAAGAAACTTGAGGATCAGCAGCATGAGCAGAAGAAGGAGAAACGAAAAAAGGCTCGATGCTTAAGCTTGGTGTTGTATGTATTGTACGGTGCTGTTTTTCTCTGTGTTTGTCTTTTTGACAGTCAAGAGGATTCGGCTGTTAGGAAAACGGAGGTACTATCTATGCTTACAAACCTCAAGGATAGGAAAGGAGCGCCCAGTTCTTGTGATCCCTACAGGAAGGAAAATGCATCCAATGCCAAACAACACAGTGTTTCTCTACTGCAAAAGCCGAAAGCATTTGATCAACTTCACTGCGAATCAATGTTTTTTGTCAACCTATTTGCAATGGGGTAACGTTCCTTTACCATGTTTGATTACCAGAGGCTGTCCCGAACACTGGATGGCGTTTCTCTACTGTAAACGCCGAAATTCTTGGCTATTTTGGGCTTTTATTTTTAAAAGAAAATATGTAGCTTATTTCGATCCTGGGGTGATCACAATTGACCAATATTTTTTGCTTGGGAGGCTTACATTTGGTGTGTCCCCTTCTATGATCATCTATGTAGATTATCTCTATGCCGTCTATGGGTTTGATGTTGGACAATGCCCCGGGCAGGATTCAGAAGATCCAGGCTCCAATGTTGAAAGAAGAAAGGTGCGTGTCCTTGGAAATGGGTGATGCATGCATATGAATCGTAGGATACCATTGGCTTCCTTAATGCGGGTCTGGAAATCATAAGTAAATAGCTAATTCTAGTGAACATATAGCATAATGTCCTGACTTTAGAGTGGGGTCAAGTCCCATTTCATCGGATAGTTCAATAGCAATCGTCAATTTTGGATTTGAACCGACTCGGAAGGTGAATTCGCGGAAAAAAAACATTGTTCCTCTACATTTTCTGCTATCAGGCTATTTTTGGATATTTTTGGGGGGGTTAGTCAAAACAAAAAGCGATTGCAAACTCTAAATATCAATTGGTCCTTCAGGATCCTTCAGGTAACAAGAAAATTTATTAGTTTTTAATGATATTACGTACTTATTGCATCGTATTGCAATAAACATAGTATATAATATAATTTTATATCATTTGTATATACTATATTTTATAATATTAATATTATATATATATGTATACATGTTTTAAATATTTAATTACCATTCTACCCTGCCCCTGGACTCTTAGCATGTTTCCTATCCGGTGGGTTGATTCCGGCCTCAGGTGATGCTGAAGCCAAGGACCGAGAGCAAAAAGTTGGGAAACGTTCGCAACGGGAAGTTTTTGGTCAGTGGCAAAGGCTTCACCACAAAACAAGACATGATATTATATGATATTGTTGTGACTTAATGTCAATAGAAACTGAAGGTTTTGGTTGGTCGACTGTAAGTTGTGTTTCTCATTGCTGGCGTGAGTATGTTGTTCGGATCCCCCTATGGATGTATTTGTATATTTTGTATTATTTTGTATGCATTTGTGTGGTTTCCTGCTTGGAGATGAAATAGCGTGGATGACCTGAATGTTCCCTCCATTTTGTTGTAGCGGATCGCCCTTGCCGATTCCTGGGGCATGCAGAGTGCCACAGCAACTTGGGTTTTCAGCATGGAGAATAGATCTGGAACATGCACTGCAAGGCAGCATAACAGCAAAGTGGTTCTCCAAAGAAGCAAACTCCAAGATGATTGAAGACACCGACAGAATCCAGCTGATGTGGAGACTTAGGCATGTACATCTGAGACGAAACCAATTGTGGTGCGGCATTCCCCACGTCCTGCTTGAATCCCTATTTGGCTAAACTACAGGACATTTAATGTGGAAAACGACACGATTTGGTCAGGTGTCCAAATGTGCAAAGGTCTCACTGTCAAACCACCCACATGAAAGAACGTAAAGTCAAGGTGTTTACCCTGGATGACAAGAACCCTTCTCAGATCGCAACTCAGACACAGCGATCCTGTTGCCGTGTTTTGGTGGCCGAATTTTCCTTCGCCATGGTCACTCCAAAGGGTCCTGAAGGGTTTGGATGCCCAGCCGGTAGGGGAAACTCCAAGGAAAGTTTCCAATGTTTTCCCTTGCATATATCGTTCTTGGTTGGTTTCAGTAATTTTGAGGAAACCTCAAAGATATTTGGTGCTAAAGATGGTTTGACCATGCTTCGTTCGTTTTTTTGCTCGGGGGGCAAACTTTCAAAGTTACTGTACCGTTACGTGCCGAAATCCAATCCGCCGCCTTCACACCTACCAGGATACTGATGTTTCAGGTCTTGGCAAGTCATCAATGGACCCATGTTTCCCATGATTGGTTACATACCATGTATACGTATATAAAAATATATAAAAGAATATATATATATGTATTACTGTATTACATTTACACTGGAATTGAAGGCAAACTTATAGAATTCAAATCACAAGGGCTGATTCACCCAGTTCAGCGTTCGGCCCCGGCCCGTCGCGAGGTGTCCCATCGCGGTGGGGTCGGAAGTGAGGTTGATCAGCAGTTGGGGTTCCCAGGCCATGGCCAAAGGAAATGTGGAACCAGCCCCGCAATCCGAAATGACCCTACAAATGACCTTATAATATGAATAATTGTTGTCTCCTTTCACAAGATGTTTAGGATATTCTAGGATGTTTTAGGCTGCTCAATTCGTATAATGTTATTCCAGAATTGATCATTGGCTATTTTGGGGGCCCTGCTGAATCTGCTACATGGCCGGGCACTCCAGTAGTTGTGGTCAGTGCTTGGCCATTTCGGCTGGGGACACGTGACATAGTTGGAGAAGCTGACCAACATGCTCCGGCTACACATGGCTGGCATATCAACATTAGTAGGTCGACCCGCACTAGGGATCCCATGATATACAGGTTTGCGAATTGCATTTGTTTGCAGCTCATGTCACGAATTGCAATCTGAACCTTGGATAATAATCCCAATGACTTTCATATTTTTCAGGGGGTGTTGCTACTACTTTACCAAGCCTCAGGTGAACATATCCAGATCCTGAAAAAATCATCCACCCAATGGCCGAGGTCTATCAAAGGCCATGCGACTTTGCTTGGGCCAAGGAGGATGGGTTCCACAAATGGAAGCGACCCTTGGAAAGGCCTGTGGTGGCGTGGGTGAGGGTAACCCCTAGACAACAGAATGAGTTAGTTATGCATGCCGGAGTGAAGAAGTGATTTGTTTGATATACATTTACATTGAATTACATTGTAATTACATTATATTAGTTGTACATATTTGGGATGAACAATCTCGACGTATTGAAGAGAGATGTCAGGGGTCTTCAAACTCCTTTCACCCGCAACTAGTGAGAAAGACGGTTCGAGAACTTGCTTCATGCTGATACTACTAAACGACATTTGGATGAGGGCAAGACTCAAGTCATGTGAATTCTTTTCATTTCCCCTTGTCAAAACTATTTGTACACAAAAAACGCATGTTGTGACAAATATGACAAATTGAACGCCCTGAACCGTACCCTGATGCTTTGACGCCAGGTGGGTGTAGTGATGGAAGTGCTTCCTTCCGGCAATCTCCGAATCCAATGCGGTGGCTCCTTGTCAGGTGGCTCAGGCAATCCACTCGTGGCCTCGTTTCCAGTTCTATTGTCGCGTTAAAATCTGGTAAAAGAAGGAGCATAAAATCTGCTGGAATTCTTCAGGCAGCTCTACCTGTTGAAGCAACGGACAGAGATTGGTTACACTGACATGACTTGACAACTGATTCCTTACCGTGGGATCCGTGGGCCATAGATCACCCATCTGGTCCCCAGCTGCGGGTCTCTCTGTCGGACCTGAGGCGACCCTATATCTATCCTCCAGCTCTGATTGCTGAGCACCTGAATGCTCCGAGACCACCACTTTTTGTGCATCTGAGCAGCACAGATGTTTGTTGTTTGCTGTCCCATTTTTCATAACAATGAAGTAACACTACTGGGACATTGTAGGTCGGAGCACGTTGGAGACCAGATCATATGAAATGATGACATGAAAACAATGCATCTCTCAACTTACAATGGTTGAATGATGTCATATGATGTCAAATGGGACGCAGATCATCCTCTTTCGTTAGGCTGGGGAACATTGGTGCATTGTTTTCAGTTCTGGGATTTGGACCTTGACCAGTGGTCCAGTTTGAGCCGCTGGACTCCCGCCCAAGTTTGAAATCTTGGCTCAGATGCTCAGGGTCTACAGGGTTACTAAACTGGGATGCAGCGTCTCAAGTTTATCCTCCGATCCCAGGCTGGACCTACATCCTCACAGCATCGTCCGTTTAGATACCGCTGGGCAATGTGTGCCTTGGGCCGCAACGTAGAGTTCAACCTTGACAACGGTGAGTTAAAGTTATTTAAGCACCAAAATCAGGGATCCAAAAACCTAACTAATCCTGAATGAAGTTTTCTTGTAGCAACACAAGTTACAACAACAAGAATGGGGTTTTGATCAACAACACTAGGGAGTTTATATAGCTCAGTGAATACAACCTACCTGAACTGACTATATAATTAGCGAACTTTGCCACAACGATTGAACGGATTTGGGCGAAGTTGATGTTGGGGTTCTATGGAATGGAAGACATGAACATTAACGCTGGCACATGTTGGAATCATGGGAGTAGCAACCAAGAAAAGTAGCATACCGGACAGAATTATACAGAACCAAGATTTGGCATGTAAGAAATGAAGCACATGACAATCACCACAGAGCCAAACGTAATGGGATGGAGCCTTCCTGTTTATCAGAGAATTACTGAGCACAAGAGGCATGATTCAATGATTGCACCAGCAGGGGCTGTTGATCTTTGGTCACTTGCCACATCCCTGCTGGGTTCCAGATATGTTCCAAACATATCATTGTCATTTATGTCATTTCTGGTCTATGCTTATGTGGGATGGATCCCCTAATGACCAATTAATATGTTCGATTTTTTGGAGCCTGCAACCAGCGACAAACTTGCCGGGTCCTGAGGCAGTCTGCCGGCGTTCCTTTGAAGGGACCAAGGTAGTGGGGGTTGCCGTGAGATGTGAGACTGAGCAGGTAAGAGTGGATGAAAGGTTTGAAAGTTAGTCACCTTATGCTTATTACTTATATCATATTGATCCATATTGTTCCTACTGAAAAGCAAATATCGCAGCATACATGATAAAGAAAAGACATATGGATGCAATATAGTTGAAGGTGTTTCACAACAGGAGGACAATAGAGTTGCAGGTCCAAACTACAGAGACCGTTTGACAATCTGACAGATGTTGAGTAACTCTTATCTTCTAGTGATGTTATCCTACCAGGTGGCACACTTTGCCAGGGGACGAGACCTACAAACTCTGAAGCAGAGTACAGGACCAGTTGCGATACAGAGTACAGGACTATGTTCGCATTGATAAAGCCATTGTGTTCCCCAAGACACGACAATTGGACTTTCTGAAGGACCAAATCTTGGGGCTGGGTGGTTTTCAATGACCAGGGCCACTATGTTTTATCGTGACCCAATAAAATCAAGGGTCCCGGCTGGGTCCTCTCCAAGCCAACATGAGCCAATTGTATGTTGAGTGTAGGTGTCTGAAGATGGAGACCAGGACTGGGAAACAAAGGGTGTCATAGGGCTGTTCTGCACTGCTAGATCGTGAAGGCGTTGGATAAACGGGCAATGATATACTTTGCTCTGGCCTTAAAAGTCACACCCAGTGGTCCTCGGATCTTGAATCCGCACATCGAACTAGGTACGATTAGTGTTGCCGTTACTGATATTCTCATGATGATACACAACTATTGTTATGGTAATCATTACATATCATTACGAATTTGTACGATTTTATATGTGCCAATACCAGTATTATTATTGCTACTACTAGTAGTAGTAGTAGTAGTCGTGGTGGTGGTTGTTGTTGTTGTTGTTGTCGTCGTTGTTATCGTCGTTGTTATCGTCATCGCATTGGTGTGAATTGCTTCTTTCAAGTTGTTCAGTGGCACCGCTAAATATCAGTGACCAGATGCACCCCTAAAGCCCATAAGATTCCGCTCTGGCACCCAGTGATCCTTCTTCTGAACATGAGTTTTCGTCGCACTTCAGGGACTCTTTTTGATGGATATAGTTCCAATCCATGCAGTCAAAGTGAGCGAAGGTGTGCATAGGCCAACTGAATTTCAGTGAAAACGACATGCAAGAAGACCTGGTTGATGGTTTCAATATTTTTGAATGTATCTGTAATATTCTGTAATATGTCTTAATTCCATTTAATTCCATGATTTACATCGGGGTATCTTGGGATATCTTGGGATGAAGCGCACGATTTTCCAAGAAATCTCGTCCGAGTTCCAGGACTCAGACGCATTGGATACATCTGCCGCTCAGCCGCGTTAAACTTCCGCTGGATGAGTTTGTCCACTAGGGAAACATATGGAAAACATCAACTTTATGATCAGACCAATGGTCAAAATCATGATAAACCACTGGATTGTAAGTCTTGCCAGATAGGATAGATACAGCTTTTCATCTTGGTCCCTGATGTTGAGAAGGATGGACTAGAACTGGATCTTGCCTGTATTGAGTTTCCAGCAAGTCCCAACAAATCGTAGGGGATTGTCAGGAGAAGCAGATGGGTCTGTCCAAAACTGGGGACCCAGAAACATTATGAAACATGTTTATGGATGTATCAGAACTACTGCGCATATTAACAAACATCCCCCAATGCCTGGCTCTGAGGCCCTGGCAGCCTTTCTGACTGGGCCCAAAGGCTCCACAGCGATCTGGGTGAGGGACATGGCCAACGTCACCATGATCATAAGATATGACAAGTAAAGATATGGTAAGGATATGTAAGGATCTTAATCCTAAAATACGAATGTACAAATTTGTAAGAGTTACATGTGGATAAAGTCATTTTGACATTTGACCAGCTGCATCCTGTGACAAGGTCACCTTTTTTTAGAGGGGCCAACCACTCATCGTGGCGAGGTCGGTTTAATTTGCGAATAATTTAGTAGGTGGAATTGACCTCTATGGTGTGCGAATGAATTATGAGTTGAAAGTGGTCCAATATATCTCATGGGTATTTTCCCAGTACGTGCCATCCACAAATGGTAGATAGTATAGTAGGTTGAACACCTTTTTGGGTTGTGTGCTTACATCTCCACAAGCAAATCTGTCAGTGCCCGCATCCTGCGGGAGAATGTTGAGAGTTCCTGGTGCCCAAACCTCTAATGTAAGCCATCATTGGATTGATGATAATGAAGAAGTTTGGAATGCCCAGGAACACAGGCAAGTACGTCCAAGACTTGAGGACAGCCAAAAAGTGTTGATTTGTTCTGCATTCAAATAGGTCAATAATTGTTGCAATCCAAATCTGAATGATCTGATCTGGTGATCTCCCATGATTTGCTCAGTTGATCTCCCAAGATCCTTCTGCCGTTTCCAGGTGATAAGATTGGAGGATTTGGATGTAAAGCCTGTGAGTTCTACCTCTGTAGCATTTGCAGTCAGTCCACGCCTCAGCGAAGCCTCCAAAAAGGTGAGTGGTGTTCAAGGCATTTCAAGGCCGATAAAGTCCACATCATTGCAATGGTGAGTGCTGATTGGTATACTGGGTATTGAATTAGTCAGAGAATGCTAGAGACAATCATGATTAATTACCCAACATTAAACGTATTAAAGAACTCCCCGGAGTGGCCACCATGCCGCCAGGCCATACCAAGTGTCTGCGCGGCGCCGTGACAACAGCCACTGGGTCCAGCCATGATCTGCCATGTGGTCTGCCATGTGGTCTGCCATGTGGTCTGCCATGTTCTGTTAGTTTTTCCAAGAAAAAACATAGGACATAGGACAACTGGGGCTGTTCTGAAGCTCGATGTCTGAGGCAACCCTCAGAAGGTGGCAGAAGCATCGTTGCGTTTGGGGGTGGGGGTCTCAGAGTCCAGGCAGGACAAGGCATCCCTAAGAATTTGATGAGGTTTAATGGGAACATCTCTGGAAAATTCTGGGGATTTTTGTGTGGCAGTGTTTCACCAGAGTGTACCTGCCTTTTTTTTGGGTTGGGACCCTTGGATATTCTCATGTCCATGATGATAATAATATCAAAGCTTTTGGTATTGTGGCAGACTGAGCAATGTTTCCTGGGTCTATACCATTCTATGTCATTCTACTGGCTTCCACTCCGCTGACCACGGCATCCTCCCAAACTCAGGTCATTCGAGTCTCAGGTAGTCCCTACAAGTGAGAAACACTTGTCCACACAATACCGGAACTGATCTTCTGTGATGCAAAGTGCAGCGGCTGCCAAGGCTATGTGCAAACTGCACCATGGCAACAAATGGCACAGTGCTGTTGTCTTGGAAACCTTGCGCGACTCCAAAGTCCGGGTTCACGTGCAGCTGCCATGGTTTTGTTGGTACAAATACCTGGGGGCACAAGGAACCCTCCAGTACCAATGATGGGCCCCTACTTATTAAACTTATGGATAGGGCTTAGCATCCTGGTCAAGTCCTTTGCATCGCCACCTGGGTGAAGTGACGAGGAGACGTTGCTTTGGGGGCTTATGGCTCAGCTATGAGTCATATATCACCGGAACCAGAGACAAACTGAAGGTGTCACGGTGTGGGCAGATGGTAAAGTGCACTTCAAATACATTTCCATGGAGGTATCATAGGTGTGATCTAACACAAGTTGGTCACCATGGAATCCCTTTCTAGTTTCAATATGTTTCAATACCTGGATGGAAATATGTTATGGATTGTTATGGTATGTTATGGGTTCCACGACATTGGAAAGTCTGAAAAATGTCGCGGCACGCGGCCCCCATTCTCTTTGCAGTGCCAGGTACCCATGGAGGAGGTACCGGATCAAGAGTTGGAAGTGACTTCCAGCAAGCTAAAACCTGCCCGCACGGAGGCTACACGGCCACGCTTCGGCTCGGGGAGTCATGGTAGCCACTGGTAGCCATGGTTTCTATTCCATGGGGACGTCACAAGGGCAGAGTGTGGATCAAAATCATTTCAAAACCGATGTCACCACCAGAAGCCTTCCCGACTTCTGCTACCATCCAGGGGGGAACAGCATGGCATACACTTATGGCATACACCAATTTGCAACCAATACAGATGTCAGAAGACAACCACCACTGATGGACGTACAAGGGCATTTCTTAAAGTAAAAGAATCTTCAAACCCAGCCTCTCTCAGTCTCGTAAAGTAAGTCAGTTGATATGCTGGATAATTGAGATCTCCACTTTGTTTGGACAGACACGTGTCTACGTAGTGTTTCTCTTTACCATATCACTGTTGAAATTCACTTTCCAGCTGTATCCCTTGACTGCATCTCAATGTTTGTCATCGGGAGGCCTTTGAGCTCTTTCGACATCCCTGCTATCCTGAAGGCTCATGGAGGGTCGATCGGGTCAATTCTATGGTCTCCTCAAAGGAGACCATAGAATTCCATAGTAGAAGTATGTTTTGGTCAGTGCTATACCGTAGGTATACTGTATACCGGTCAAAGATTGTTCTACGAGTGCATTGTTTACCATCTTAGAGCAGAAATGTGTTCACAGAACTGAGCAACACGATTACCATCGTTTGCCTGGGACAGGTGCCATTTCCTGCTATTTCCCCATGAAGAATATACAGCATCAGCCATCATGCATTATCCTGCATTACTAATCCTCAAACTTCGAAGGCCCAGTTGTCATCCCCCCATGTTTTTTCGGCATGGGATTTCATCACCGATGGAACTGGCGGTTATGGGTAAACCATGTTAAACCAACCTGCCAGAGCTTTGGAGGCCTGCACCGTGTGTGTTTCCCGGACGGTCTGCGCGGCACACTCTTTGGGGAGCCCGTGCGCTGCTCTTCTGATGAGTGCATGTCCGAATGGCCCAGCAATGGTGAAAGGAGAGCAGATGTTTACATCAGACCTGCGATCTTCAATTTGTCTTCATGAACACACACTGAAGAGTCTTGCGTTATCATAGTTTATGATAGGTTAAATATTAAAAGAAAATTCAGATATGCAACATATTATACGTATATATACAGTATATACTATATATATATCCAATATGTTTTTGAACTAGTTGGAATTTGAACTTCTTCGAAGTCTCTGAGATAGTAAGACTCAGACATCCGGCGTCGTTTTAACTGAGGCCTGGAGGATGCCGCGCCAAGCCATCCGAGGCCGCGACTCGGTGATGGCAGCAGATCGGTGAATGTTAGTGATATCTAGTGATATATGTAACTGATGATTAATGATATAATTAATGATATACAGTATAAAAATATAACTTGAATTATGATATAGTATTACACTATAGATGTAGACACTTAGTCATATAGATATTATGTAGATTATAATTGATTGCGTATGTATATTTGTTTATAATACAGTAGTATGTTTTATACATTTTTATACTATGTTAACATTATATGGAGGGTACCGGGAGAGATATTCCAACATCCTTGACTCCAGATTCTCGGATTGGTCCAGAGATAGTACAGGCATAAAGTCTTTGGAGTGATTGGTGGTTTCAAAATGTTTCAAATACTAAATACTTAGTAAATACTTAGTAAATACTTAGTAAATACTTTGTAAATGCTTAGTAAATGCTTAGTAAATACCACTTGCTATTGTCCATTCCTGCTTAGGATGATCTCCCATTGAAAACACTGGGGACGTCGTGACCCCATGGTGACCCAGCCATGTGCCAGGACTCACGGCGCATTGCATACTTTTGTCCCCGGACGGCCTTTCTCCTTTGCGAAAAGTGCTCGGAGGTCTCCGGGATTCTCCGGGAGAATTCCATGATGTGAATGTCATCTTGAGTAGGCCCGGCCCAGTAATAACAGTAACATGCATTTGCCAGATGGTACTTCAGCTATTCAATCCATTTCAATCCCGAAGATGTGGCCAGAATGAGGATTTTGATGATTTTGGCAGGGGCAAGGTCGATTGGTCAATTTGGTGACATGATTCATCGCCAGAGTGTGGCAAGAATGACATCTCGCATGATCCTGGGAAAACCCATTGAAAAGGTGATGTTGATTGACACGCAAACCCTGGCAACTTTATTCATGATCCTGCAAGGGTAGCTGCAGTTTGTTTTGTTTTTGATCAGTGCTGGAGAAGAGACTTGTGCGGAACTTTAAGTCAAGCGTAAGGTTGCAACAATGGAATCTATGACCTTGACTGGCCTGATCAACGTTTGTAATGGATATGTTCGAAAAGCATCGGGATAGTGTGTCCAATCAGGTCTACAATATCGCTTACATACGGTTGAAACTAGTTGAAACCACCAAATAGTGATCACACAGTGCCAGATGAGCCTTGGGTCATTCCCGTGTCAAAGCACCAATTCCTCTCACAGATTTTGTCTCCATTTTTCGCCGAACCTAAAGTTCCTCTAGATATATCATTATATAAATCTTTAAATTGCTAGTATGGCACATTATATGGCACATTATGTCAAAAAATGTTCCCAAACACTTAGGACTTTGGACATATTTGGAAACTTTGGACCAGGAAAGTGTCCAACTTGGTGGATTTCGAGCCTGACTCTGCCAGGTGTCTGACCTGGGACAAGTAACTGTCAGCAGCTCAGGGCATGGCGGGGCCAAAAACGATGATTCGCCTGACTCTTGATACTCTTGCACTGTGGCTGGGAGATTTCCCCCTGATTTGTTTCGCAGATATGTCTATGATGTCTATGTATTTAGATATTATGAACACTTATACTGATATGGAAGTAATGACTAAATATATAGAGACATGATATAAGCAATCCCTCAAACTCATGCCTTGGTCTTTCACCCGTTGCATTTCACAGCATGAAGCCACCTGACCAAGGCCGAGACGTGCCAAGAAGATCTGGAGAAGCTGAAAGACACAGATGCGGAATGTTGTGCGGTGGGTGCCTGAGAACTGCTTGATGGGTTAGCCGAACGGTTAGCCATTCACAGCCATAGATGTCATGAGGAAAAGCAACCTTTACACCTTTACTATGCACATAGTAACCCCCATGGCCAGTCAAAACAAAAAAGCCAATTTTAGCCAATGGCCCAGAATGGCCCAGCCAAATGGCACCCATCGTTGTTGCGATACTAAGAAAGGCAAAAGGTAGCCTTTTGGGGTTGCTGGTTGGGGTGGGAATCCTATGGTGAAAGGATGCGTTGATCCGAACCCACTAATAGCTGACCGAGTTTTTGTCGGGGCCAAAGCGACCAGCCAACTTCGCAGTTCTAAGTTATCATCCTATCATCACCAGAAATAGGGTCATTTGGATGTGGTTCCCTTGATGAAACAACATTGAGACCAAATGGGGATTAAATTGAGGAGCCCAAATCCCAGGTTTCCCTGTTGAAACAGATCAAAGTTGATCATTTGGGTGGAACTATGTTCCCTTTTTCTCAAAGGCCAAGCAACCCAGCACGTCGCAGGTAGCTGCGAAGAGGATCCTCAGCCTGTGCAGTAAATCGCAGCAGGCTGCCAGATTGGAGCAGTTGGGTAAGAAACTTGTAGATTCAACGATCAAATAATTATATCCCGTGGCCCGTGGCTCAAAATCTCACAGATTTTGCTGATGGTTTTGAGACATTGGAAAAAAATGATAGGTTGGTAGTCCCCAAATCACACAGCTACAAAGCACTTGTCAACATTTGTCAACAGGTGTATTCTGTCCGAGTCAAACTTCAGTCCATGTGCATAATATATCCAGAATACATCGACCATATATAAATAAAATGTGCATCTATACCCCACTCACGGGATCATCCCCCCACAACTTCGTCTCAGAGCTGGTGCTCGAAAGACCGCAAGGCTAGACTCCTCTTTCTGGAAGCTGGCATTTGCAGGGATTCCTGGTCATTTGTGTGGATGGACTCCGATGTGATTCATGACGAAAATTTGGCTATGTATATAGGGTTTCCAAATAGATTTCCATGGATTTCTTCCATCCACCTGACTGGGACTTCCGTCGTCCAGCTTTGAGGGGACATAGCAGGGCCCAATTTGTTGCAGGTTCGGCAACCGTGCCCGTTTGGACATGCCTCAGAATCATAGATCTCCAAGATAGGATGAAGATGGATGAAGTATGCAAACAAAAATGTCCAGAAATCCTAAAAAGTCTTGGTTTCTGTTTGGGGACCTTGGGGAACCACATCACAAGAAAAATACGGTAGCACACCTCCAGTTGGGGATGGTTTATGGCATTGGCTTCACCACATTAATTCCATTGCCAGAAAGTTATATTAGCCTACCATGATAGCAAACCCCCACTTTAACAACTTTATATATTGATAGTGTTATCATTAAACACGTGCTATCATTAATTGATACTGGTTTACTATCAATAACTTTCCCATAGTTGGTTTATTACCTTAGCCATTACTACCTGCCTTAGTTGGTTTATCACCACAGCTTATCATTCATAGTTGTTTATCGTGATAGACTATGATAAACTATGATAAACTATGATAAACTATGATAAACTATATTGTAATAAACATTAATAAACATTAATAAACTATGGCAATAAACTATGACCTACCATTAATAGCCAACCGTGTCCGATCGCCGGGCCTCAGGGCCTAGCAATTTTGGGTCCAACATCTCCAGGCGGCGTGATCGCTGATGCCACCGCAGCGATTGATACCTTCGGGCCGGAGCAGGACCGAGGGCCGTTGGATCATCCCCAAGTTGACCATAAAATCCATCAATGGATCAATGGATGCTATAAACTTTATCAAATCAATCAGAATATATAAGGCTGGTTATATGATTGCTTTACTAACATGATACCACAATATACCACGTTTTTTTTTGGGATGAAGATCCATTTGCCAGTAATTTGGTACGGAAGGGTACGAGGGTTTCTAGTTTTGACCAATACCCATGATACTAGAGTTTATAATATCAATGTTGTCTATAATGATAGGGCACTGACAATTCTATTTGGGTGTAACATGATAATTTCCCACGTGATAAAATCAGATACCCATAAAAGAGGTACGCACATCATCGCACATCTATAATATAATATGATGTATGTATGCACATTATAAAATATATACATGCTATATAACTATCATGATTTATAGAAGTACAGAAATATACTACTACATCGTATCTATTTATATCGTATATTTATACGATCGCAATTCGCAACCGGGCCTATCTCAAGTTTGCCACTTATTCAATTTTACCCGGAGAAATTCAAGCATGATGTTGGCCAGAGCACAAACTCAACCTATGCGATGTATGAGCGTATATGAGCCAGGGTCAAAACTGAATCTGAGCATGAAATGATACATGATCATGTATAAATAATGTTTGCTCAAAGCCCCTGTTCCTTTAGCATGAGTTACAGATATCATATATCCAGGATTTTTGTCATGTTTCTTGCCCACTTTGCCGGTCACATCATATCACCTGCTTGCTGGTTCTGTCCCACTTTTGCTATATTCCAGAGGTATTTTTGGTAGTTATATGATTCACATATGATGCTGTATTACTGTATGCCATCTATATGCCCATGTTGGCCAAGTGTCCAAGGCTGTTCGGTTTTCGACCGCAGGATCTCCCGCAGAGCCAAGGTGAGACCGGAACTTCTGTTTCTGCAGCCACGACAGGATGAGGGAAACACACAAAAATTACTAAAAATGGTCAAAGATGGCTCTAAGATTCTAAGATCATGAGTCATATTTGACTACGGTAAACTGCCTGTGTGTCTCACAGGATTGCTGACCACCAAGTGGGATGAGCATCCAGCCCAGCTGCCACCATGTTCAAGGAATGTTTCATGAAAGGCCAAAGTCCATCGGGACCACAACTGCAAGAACGTGGTGACCGGATTTGATGGTTCTGACTGATCATATCCGCAATATGTTTATAATGGATCATAATGGATCATGATTATAATAGATCATAAAGACCTATGTTTATAATGGATATGATAGATCATGATAGATCATGATAGTCCTTCCTAAACAACAGGCTGTTGGATTTCAACTTGACGTAGCGACTCTTCAAGGCTGTTGGGGGTTGCCAAAGCGATCCCGCCAGCCTTGTTGAAGCTCCTGACCTGCTTGGCGGAATGGCTGTACCTGGTTGGAGCCCCATTACGGTAAACCCTGGTGGCTGAGTGAAATGATTTCCTTGGTTAATGGTGATTGGTTAATGGTGATTGACAAATGGTCATTAATGGTGATTAATGGTTATTAATGGTCATTAATGGTGATTGACAAATGGTCATTAATGGTGATTAATGGTTATTAATGGTGATTAATGGTGATTGAAGTAGTATGAAGACCACTAGAGATCACTTGAGAACTGTTTTTGAAGAGTATCTTGGATTAGCCATGATCTAAATCAAAGATGGGAGGAATCCTTTCCGTCTGGCAGAGGTGTTATCCTCCTCTGGCTGGTACTTGATACTGGATGATACTTCCAGATAAAAGGATATAAAAGGGAGTTCACCTCACAGATTCAGGGTAAACATCTGGCCTTTGCTTTGATTATTTGTCCTTTATTGTTCACAAAAGAGATTGGCCGTTGTTTTATCTCCAAAGCTCATTTTGTGGCCCACTGGTTCCCGTTCATCATACAAAAACAGCAGTAGCTCCTTCGGAGATCTCTGGAAAATGCGTCTTCGCTTTCCAAGGAAAACATTCCAAGGAAAACATTCAGAAATATCCATAAGAAACACGTACAGTAGATCTGTAGTGATTTTTTACAGCTAAATTCCTCCAGGCGCCTCGAAAGCCAAAACCTGAACACCGCGTCTTGGTGAACGTGCCGGACCGTTGATGGCTGAGAAGTCCTGTGGGGTGCTGCCCTGGCCTGAAAACCATAGTGCTTTTTGGTAGATTCTGAAAACAATTTGATCTTGAGTCTTTCAGAGATTTCTACATATTCGACAACTTGAGAAGTAAAGTTTTATCGTCACAGAAGTTGCAGAAGTCACAAAAGTCACACATCCACGTAAGACCCGACATGTGCATTGTTTGAGCACCGATTTGTGACTCCCAATCTGAATTGCGTTGGCCAAGTTTTGATTTGTTACAAACCAATCTTGAGCTGCTTCTTCCAAAGATGTATCAGTTGAATTCATCTAAGTTTTCTTGGTGACAATATGGATTCCCATGGTCATAGATAGGTCAGATTTGCAAGTCTTTGGTCGCCTTCCTTCCCTGCGGGTTTTGGGCTGGTGGGGTAGGAAAATGCCGATGCTTTCTCCAGCGCTGCTCATTTGTACGAGGTGCAAGTGGTGATGACCTGTATACTATCATGGGATTTCTTGTGGAAACATCCCCAACCCGCTTGTTTGACCAATTTCCATCCCAGGAAATACCTGGAAAGGCCAAAATAAGCCAAATTTAAAGATGATCAAATACCCTAGGGACCCTATCCAATCAACTTTTGTGATGCCAACTCTGTTGAAAACAATCGAAAGCCATTTTTGGGGGGTTCTCAATTCTGAGACTGCCACCCCAATGGCCATTTTTGGCCTTGGGGGCCAACAACCTGCCGTGCCGCCACAGCTCTTCACTGGACGGCGACAAAAAGAACCTGGTGAAGAGGATGATGTGGATCTGGCCTGTCTTCAGACGTTGATCACCACTGTTTGTTATAGACATCTATTGCCTTTTGTCCCCGTCGTGGTCGGCCTGGTTGTCAGAATCGTCGTCGTCATCGTCGTCATCGTCATCGTCATCGTCGTCATCGTCATCGTCGTCGTCATCATCATCATCATCATCATCATCATGATCATCATCATGATCATCATCATGATCATCATCATGATCATCATCATCAGCAGCAGCATCATCATCATCATCACCACCATCATCATCGTCATCATCAGCATCATCAGCATCAGCAGCATCATCAGCATCAGCAGCATCAGCAGCATCAGTAGCAGCAGCAGCAACGTCACTTGCAGCTTCCTCTTGTTGTTGATCAAACATAGACAGTTGCTGCTGGAAACCATCCTGATTAAGCGCCGTTGCCGACTGCTGTACCCGCCAAGTGGCCAGGACTGGCAAGAGGCAGTGATTGTGAATGTGAATGGCGAACAAGAGGCACATGGGAATGACAGCAGAGACCCAGTGGCCGCTGTAAGCTGTGGCTGTGGACACAACCAAAAGATACCCAAAGAATGTAAAGGCCAAATTAGGTCACCTGAGCCTCACCTCAAAGCTTTCAGAGACATCAGAGATTTCACACAGATGGGAATCAGATGTTTTTTCCACACAGCGCTGGTGCACCCTGTGGTGCATTCTGTTGAAAAACAATCAGGCCAACTCTGTTCAAGTGCAGCTGGTGCGTGGCGGCAACCGCATCAGCGTCTCTCAGGCATCCCGTTGAAAGTGGCGGGGGTGAACTAACGGGACTGTTATCTTGGAAACGTCCATCCCGAATTGAGTCGGAATGTAGATTATGGGTACTTTTTCTGGGAAAGCACTCCCAGTTATGTCATGTTTGGCTTCGGATAGTAGCAATCTCCACTTGACAGTTTGAAACCACGGGCTGTGCTGTAAATTATACATAAACTTAGAACATATCACCAACAACTCTGAGAAGCACGTGTGATAACCATGAGTCACCTAACAGCCTCACCTTTAGGATGGCATATGATGGCATATAGCTCGCTTCAGCGCGCGCTTGCAACTCCACGACCCAGCTGCCGGTTGCAAACGCTTGCCTGACTTTTGTGTATACTGGCACTGTTAACAGCATGCAGAGGTCTCACATGGTCCAAAGCCCAAGAAAACCCATGCAGCGAAAGTACCTTAAAATGATGTTACACAATCTTACACACTTGGAACTGCACTCGTTTCCCTGCCGCTTTCCATGCAGACCTTTCAATCTCTACATCCACACCAATCACATTTCCCCTGAAGCCAGACGCGATTCTGATCAACACAGCTTGCAGATCCATTTTTCTAGAGACTCCAGTGCCAGTTCCCCTTGAGACCACCTGCCGTTTCTGCCAATGACACCTGGTGGACCTGGCGGATCTGGCGCCTCGCAATGCTCCCGGCAGCGGTGCCACGCGGTGATGCGCCCACAGGCGTGCGCTTGGAGCGGCATCCTGAGGTGGAGGCACCACCTGCGTCCGATTTTCGCCGTGCTTGGGGTGGTTGAACACCACTTTTTGGTCGTTAAATTGGTGTTGAAAAGTTTCAAAGAAAGGGAAAATCAAGATATATTTAAAAAAACAACATCCAATAAATTCATAGACATCCAGTGAATAACGGAACTTGAATCTCAAATTTTGTTGCTTCCAGTCGAGAGATGTCAAGAGATCCCAAAAAATCACCAGTTGCGTACATGAGCTCCATGCATGATATTTGCTGCTGCCTGGAGGCCCTTCAATCCATTCTAGATCATTCTATAGCTACTTGTTACAAGTTGGCATAGATATGTATACATATAAATAATTAAATATATACAGTATTATACAGTATATTTGTTTTGTAACGATATATTTATATATATACATACATTCATGACCATATCAAAGAATATCAACCAGGAGCGTATTGGTCCATTATCCCAACAAAGTACTTAGCAAAGTACGTTTTGTTAAGTGGTTGCCCGTTTATGGTGCGTATGGATGGGTCGATGGATGGAAGGATCGATAAGTAGATAGGTAATTAGATAGGCAGACGGCTTGAATTCAACCACCACAACATACCATAACCAGGTATATCAATCCCACATTAATCCATATGAATCACCATATCAATCCCCATCTTAATTCCCAATTTGGACCCAAGAATCAGCATCCCATCCGGTCCCATCCCAGCCATTACAGGAGTTGTTGGTCTCCGATGCCGACTTCGCCTGCGGCGCCCTGGTGCTGCGCGAGCGCTTCCTGCTGCGGGGCCCAGCTGAGCTGCCGCCGCTGGAGATGTTTCGCCCGGTGCCGCAACAGGTGGGCACCGTGGAGATCCAGGGGGAGGCGCGGAAAAGGGGGATGATATGGGATAGTCTATGGTGAATCCCTGGTGAATCCATGGTGAATCCATGGTGAATCCATGGTTGATAATGGGATATAATGGGATATACTGGGATATACAATGATACATGGTGCTGAAGCTAAGATCGATGGTGCTTAAGCATGGTTAATGATATGGGGTTGAATGTTCTACCAATTTCCATGACATGTCTATGTGCGATGTGGTGTTTGTACGTGCATGTTCGATGAGAATCTAGACAGGAGAAGCAGTGAGATGATGCTAGTTCTGCATATGTTTGAGCTATTCTTATTATATCATCAGTTGCTGTAGCGGATGTTGTTGGAGTAAACCAGCACCAGCATCACCAGCTTCCTTTGGGCAGGATGGTTTTCCTCAGTCTGTGATCTTTGACAACGAACACCTGAAGCTGCTGTTCGAGTTCATGAACTCTGAGGTGGAGGTCCAGCAGGACCCAAGAGTTGGACTGGCGTCGATGGAAATCTCTCTGTGGTGAGTCCATTGCAGTTTGAGGATGTTCAGAAAGTCACCAAGTTTTAGACAACACATATGTGTGTTTCATATATATATATATACATATATTTATTTATTATTATTATTATTATTTATTATTATTATTATAATTATACATTTATATAGTAGATGTATAATGATATTGCACAATAGGCATTGCTGCAGTTTAAACACATCAAATATGACTTGTTTTCCCACCTCTCGGTATCCGTACCATGCTGCGCGTCAGGAGGTGCTGGCCATGCAAGATGCCATGCACCCGGCCTCCGAGACCTTCCAATCCACCTCCAGGGTGGCTGCATGGCTGGTGGAGAAGCAGCTGCCGTGGTTGGAAGGTGAGGATGGGAACGGTATGGCGAAATGTGATAGAAAATGATAGAAATGATAGGAAACATATCTGTTTATAGAAACAAAATTTACGATTTGTCGCAACTTGAGTGTTGGTTCGACGCATGATTCGAGTTGGCCTCAACGTGGGAATCGTTGAGGCAGGTGATTTTGTTTATATAATCCCTATCAACGTCACAGTCCCCTACATGTGTGCACTTGAAGGCAGTTGAGCCACGTTCTAAACCCTTGCGTTCGTGTTTAGGAAGGGGCCCCTTATAAGGGTGTGGCGTAAGCAAAACTCTGGTGAGCGTAAGCCAGCGTAAGTTCAGCGTAAGACAAGTATCCCCGTAAGCAAGACCTGTGTGCGCGTATGCAAAACGTAAGCACCCGCGTAAGCATTTCCTTATTTGGTGCCAGGATACGAGACATTTAGAACATGGCTCACTTGCCAGGACAAAACATGATAGTCTTGTCACTTTCAAATTTTCCATTAGGTTCACAGGATCATCATTGCAGCAAGATTTGCCCTGATACCCATGGGAATGACACCCCAAATCTCCGATTTATGGGGGAAACTATGAGAAACTTGTCACTTAAACCACAGTCTAGGTAAAAGAGCTCGATATCCAAGAGCGATAAAGAGCATTGTTTTTTTTGAGAATTCCCAATGTTCTTGACCAAAGACTTCGCTTGGATACTGTTGCCGACCAGCCCAGCATCACACTGGCTGTGATTCCCTTGCCATCCATGGCCCCTTCGACAGCCTGTCTTTGAGGCATCGATTTTTCTGAGCTGTCTTGGCTTCTGCGACTGTTCTGCGTAAACTCACACCCTTGCAAAACTGCTGGAAATACCAGTGGTTTACTGAAGTGGGGCACGATGATCAATCACAGTTGCTTGCCGAATGTGGCTGGGACAGCAGCTTTCTTCTTGATCGGTGGATGATTTATACATATTTATACCAGACACCCAGTTGTTAAGACATGTGGGATGAATCTTGGGGTTATCCTTTGTGGATGGTGAGCAGATGTTTCACATGTCCTACCAACAAGCCGGGGCGCCGGGGCCCAGGCATCCACTGAAATCCCAATGGCTTTCTGGTGATCGGGAATGAATGTATGGGAACATATATGGTATTATAATATATCATATCATAAATAATATGTCCATGTTATCATATTCCTATTATCTTCCTATTCTAGCAGTATGTCCACATCCCAAAGATCAGTTGGCTCCCAGGTTGTTTACTCCTCTGTGGAAGTAGATGGAGACTTTGAGGGCCACTTTCGGGCCTGTCGCCCCATCAAGAAGGGGGAGGTCTTGGGAGTATCGTACATGAATCTCGGTAACCTTACGGTCGTGAAGTATAGGAAGTGGAAGGTTACCCCTGGGATCATTTCAAAAAGTCCTACCAGTTGGGATTTATTCATTAAGCCACTTGATTTGATGATTCAAATCAAGTGGTCTGTCTTTGGATTTATCGTGATTTATCCTGAAACTAACCCATTTTTTGGTGTTTGGAGAAACACGGGGTAAAGATCTTCCGCAAAATGGGCTAATCTGAATCAGTAGCGGCCGATTTTGAGTGCCACTAGCTCAAGATATGCACCAGTAGACCATGGGCCACCAGAGCCGACTTTTTTGGTGACTTCCAAGCGATAGGATTTCCGCCATTCTAAAGACGTCCAAGCAATGTTCTTGATTCTATCCCACTCAATCCCCATTTACTATTCCAGCTTTAGTGCCGGATTTTGTGAAAGTCGCTGCCTCTTTTTTCAGTCGGTAAATGTCCTAATTCAACATCATCCAACTATTGGGGATATAATCTCCAACAAATACTGTACTTTAAAGTGTCGTTCAAGATATTTGTTTTAAAAAAAAACTCAACCCCTGTTTTTTGTCATTCAGATATTAGCCTGAGATTTTGGTGCGCGCCTATAAGGTACTTAAGGAAATGAGAGAGGAAGCTATTGTTTGCATAAATTATCAAAATCTAGGTCCTTGAACATATTTCCATAAACCAATTCCGACAAAGGCAAAAAGCAGTTGTTTTGCTCATTTTGCTCCTCAATTTTCCCAAATTGGAAGTCATGTACCCATTCTTGTTGGTTATAATGATTACATTGATATGATATGGTATGATCTGATATGATGACTTTATAACTATATGCATATGAATATAAATATGAATGTTGAATCAAGATATATCAAGATTACGTTTGTGGTACATCTAGAAATACCAGCACGGCGCTCCCAGGAAGCTCCAAGCCACCTTGGCTCCCATGGCTTTGCGTCGCCGAATGCTTTGGTATTTGAAAGGTGGAGCTGATGCCTCGTGATTTTTGGATATCCCTGGTGCGGTACTGGGCTTGATCCGATGGAACCCCCATAATTAAGTGACATCATGCGACACCGGAAGAAGTTAAACAGCTGAATCTCTCACTGGTTGAAACCCAATATGCCAATATGGCTAGGGTTTGAAGACCTTCATGCTTCTGAACAATGGAGCTCGGATGGTATTTTATTGTT